TACATGTGTGTCTGTGGTACACTTATTTACGCACTCCAAAATCATACTTTCACTAACTAAATTCTCATGAATGTATTATATCTCAACTGTTGATTTTCAAAATATTTTCAGTGTTTACCTTCATTTGTCGTTTTATACAACATTCCTGGCACCTCACATTTTTACAGGAGTGATTAGTTCGCATGCTAATTAGCAGATCAATCAGCTGCTTGTCCTTACAACTCTTTGCTGAAAATGCAAATTGCTATTGCTATCATTCGTGAATGGGATGTATTAAAAAGATAATCATTTATGGCCACACCAGAGCCAGTCTTTATGGAATTTATTTTGTTTATGTACAGTGTATGTAAGCTAGTGTACCCATGTCTCAAACATGATTATTTTCCTGACATATTCAAACATTATTGGCACCTGTCTTAGATAAAGGGTAGGCCCTACATATCTACCATAACTATCTATATCATTATCAGTAGTGACATTGCCCCTAATGTCATGTAACTAATATTATATTTATGCACGTATTTAGCTGAAGTTTGCAGATATATGAAAACAGAAACAAGTGATTGATAGGTTACCTTCCTTAAGGCACATTTTAAAATAATATGAGCTTTAAGTTATAAAACATGATGTCCTGAAAAACAGGTTATTATAAATGACACATATAGACTTGTAAACTTATTTTATATTTCTATATAAGATGATGCAAATTAGAATATAGAGTCTAGATTTGATATTTTGAAGAATATACATATATACAAGGTTTGTAAGATTAAGAAATTTGCTGCACCTGTGTTATGAATGACCTATAGTGTTGTGTATATGGTAGTTAATTGGTATATAATGTTAGATATAAACATGAAAGAAAAACATCTGATCATTTATATTAGTGAAGATGGCATGACCTTATCTTTTACATAGAGTACTTACTGACTTGTGTTGTTGTACATAATTAATTTAAATCAATTGGTTGATTCAGACACTTGATATTGGATTTGTTGTCTATCGGAATGGATACTATCCATAATATTTATTGCATAATTTGTATCATCAAGGACAACATTTGTTTAATTTGTGAACTGACCAAGAGAAAGGGAAGTGTTAGTATTAGGAGTGATTCTTCCCACCCTAGCAACAATTAATTCTAATATTTGTCCCCCGCCTTTCGAAGAAAGCAGGGGACTATTAAAATGGGTTCGTCCGTCTGTCTGTCCGTCTGTCTGTCCGTCACACTTTTTGGGACACAATAACTCTCTTCCTAATTGAGCTAGAATGTTCAAACTTGGTGTATGTGTTTATTAGGTCAATGCCTTGATGGAGTTCGAAGATGAGCATTTTCCGCTTAGGGTAAGCAGAGATAAGCAATTTGATTGGTTGATGCTTTGGGACACGATAACTCTCTTCCTAATTGGGCTAGAATGTTCAAACTTGGTGTATGTGTTGATTAGGTCAATGCCTTGATGGAGTTCGAAGATGAGCATTTTCCGCTTAGGGTAAGCAGAGATAAGCAATTTGATTGGTTGATGCTTTGGGACACGATAACTTTTAATTGAGCTAGAATGTTCAAACTTGGTGTATGTGTTTATTAGGTCAATGCCTTGATGGAGTTCGAAGATGAGCATTTTCCGCTTAGGGTAAGCAGAGATAAGCAATTTGATTGGTTGATACTTTGGGGCACGATAACTCTCTTCCTAATTGAGCTAGAATGTTCAAACTTGGTGTATGTGTTGATTAGGTCAATGCCTTGATGGAGTTCGAAGATGAGCATTTTCCGCTTAGGGTAAGCAGAGATAAGCAATTTGATTGGTTGAACTGTTTGATTGTTCAATACTTTGTAAAAGATAATTTGTGATAAATTTATATGTGTCCTCTAATTATTTTCCTATTTCGGCGGGGGACATCAGCCTCACTGTTGGCTTGTTACATTCAAATACATAATATAAATAAGCAAGTGATTATGGTAACCATGATTACATGATTTCAGTGCATAAAAAAAGTTTAAACCATGTATTAAATGTTTTTCACACTGAAGAAAAACTTAACAACCTACATGTAACATTGAGTAAACCTGTTTTTATATATTGGTATTATCTGTAAGCTTAATTTTCCATATGTATAGATAAGATATAATATTTGTATTTTGGTACAGATAGTACTTTGTACATGACTACCAGTAATGTTTTTACACTGCTATAGTACGAAACTACCAGCCATTAATATAATACTAGGGTATGTTTAGAAAGGAAGTAAACTGCCAGTACTATATATTTAATATAAAGTAAAGCAAGTGTAGGACATTAACGTTAAAACCAAAGGAAATGTATCTCATTTTAATCCACAAGCTTCAAGTGTACAATCTGTCAACATTTGGATCTAAAGGTAAAATACATGTTCTTGTGTGTTGTAATAATTATGTAATATGGTGACTTATAAATAACATAAGACAAGCCTTAAATTTAACACTTACTTATATTGGTTATATTGTTGTCAGAAGGTCTGAATCTTATAAAATAATTTTATTTATGGTAAAGTCACTCCAAATTTTACTGAAGATTGATTAACAGTAACATTAATATTTATTATAAAGAATCTCTGAATTATGATTTTTTCTGTTTGGTATTTTTTAGTTTAATTTACTTAGCAAAAATATCTGTGATGAGCGATAGCTAGCATTCATGTAAAGCCACTGATCTTCATCAGATATCTAATTTAATTCATGGTTAATTGATTACTTAACATTTAATCTATATTTAAAAAAAGAAGATTCCCATCAAATTATAGCACTGTCTTGTTTAAATCTTCTGCAAGGTACATGTACATGTATGCAAAATGTTGCGAAATATTCAAATCATCATATCTTTGTAAATACTTAATGGAAATGAACTATTTTGGACTGATAAAGTGGACAAACATAGTTCATAGGCTGATAAACTCAAGTTTTGTCATTGAGTTTATGTAACACAAATCAGTGGTACTGTAGATATGAAATATGATGTATATGTTTATCTACAGGACACTTTTGTTAATTCAAGTTAAGCGAAGCATTTCAAAGCTCAAATTATGGATGTATCTTTACACTCCAGCAGGTGCCCCAAAACTAAAATACCATAGCTTTTACAAGCTCATAGTCATAACCAGCATTCAAAGGATGTCTGAATCACATTGTAGACAGGGACAAATTTCTTTACTATAGGTAGTCGACAAGGATAACACCTGACACTAACATTCTTCTCCCCAGTACATGGTGACCACTTTGATCTCTTGTCTAGTGTACCAATAATTGAAACATACCACTGTCTAGTTGTTTTTCCATCACCTAAGTTTACACTGGTCAGTTTAAATAGTTAATAGTTGACATGGGTCAGCTCTGCAAATAAATATTATATTGTCCTCAAGACTTCGCAAGGGAAGTTTTGTGCATGAAGTATGGGTATTTCTACATGTAGTAAATGAAAGTTGTAGTTTGAAGTTGCAGAAATATGAGGAGGAGTTTTAGAATGAAGAGGTTAGTCTATATTATTATCTAAATCATAAAGCTGAACAATGGTAAATTGTCAGTGTCTGCTCAAATAGGACAACTTTTGACCCCAAACTTACCACAAGACAAATTTATTTACTTGAAGTTTTTTGTGACATTGATGACAATGATCTAAGTTAAATAAATAAACACTCAGATAAATGAATTAAATATAACAATTATCAGTGTCCCTGATTTAACTTAATTCAAGATGCATGTATATACACGTATGCACATAATTTATACAATAGAGCTCATCAAAGTGTTCAAATTCAAATGGTTTTTCAATAATATTCATTCTAATTTGTTAGTATTTTTTTATTTGATGTCATTTAGAGCTAATGGAATTTGCTCTTCTATTGTTGTCTCCTATGAAATATTTATAATATTCATTCAATGGAATGAACTAGTATTCAGATATAATTTAAAATATAAAGAAAACTATTGATTTGGCTGATTTGTTTTTTCTTGAAACCTAGAAAACAATACAAAATTGATCTTTCAGTTAACCGTAAATTAAAAAAACATTTGAACAATGACTTAGAATATTCTAATAGTAAAATCAGCATTGGATATTGGATGTGACCTTTAGCATAAGTACATGTATGTGAAAAGATGTGAGAACATATAACCTTGTCTACTAAATAATTATCCAGAACCATAAAGTAGATGTACATGTACGTTGACCTATCAATTTGCACAGGTATTAACAACAGGAAGTAGGTTGACAACTAAAATTGTTTTGGCTTCTGAACGTTTACTGACCAGACTTTTCTTTTTCAAATATTAAACAAACAGATTTTTAAGTACAGAAAATAGTTTAAGAATCCTCCATTGGTATTTATTTTTATTAATACATAGAGCTGTTGGTTTCTTGTTTATGTTGAGTCTTTTATATGCCATCAGATTATCAGACTGGGTGTCTTAAACTCAAGACCTTATTTAATAATAATGTTAATTCGTTGACAATCTACCCTCGAATCAATTTACTTGATTTGTTTGTTTGATACAAGTGATGTGTTCATGTGTTTGTCTTCCTTTTTTTCTGGTTTTGTACAGATACTACACTCAGAGGGCGATATTTAAGTATTCTGTTTAAAGTCTGACATGGTATTGTGACATTACATGTACACCAATGGTACACCCACAATATGCTTGTAGTAAAAGTTATATGACTTGACTTCCTGTTTAATATTTGGTTTGGACCATTTGACGATGGATAAATCTGGTGTAATCATAAGAAGTTCTATTTGTTCAAAATGAAATTGGCCATTGCCAGGGAAAAAACAAGTTCCCAGCGATACCAGTTTAAAAAGGGTATGATGAGGCTGTATACAATACCACACCTCAACAACAAAAATGCATGATATAAACACACAAATCCTGGGTGCATATAATCTGATTATGATATATTTGATATTTGGATATTTATAAGTATTATGATTTGTATTGAAAGTTAAATATCTTTATAATTTGTATTTTTCAGTCCATTCCTGAATGCCCCTAACCCACCTGGTATCACCATACAGTCTCAAGATTTATATCAATTGGCTCAATATTTACAGGTGAAATATTATTTTATCCCTCAATCATTCTTATCTTACAAATATTGGTTTTGAATTCATTGATTTTTTTTATAGTGAAATAAGAGAAAATGATATCTAAGAGAAAATGAAATCTTAACCTTTTGTAAGAGTTTAAAGGATTTTGGTGAAGTATTTAAAATATATGTTTTGGGGTTTTTTTTTTTTAGGAAGCCTTACACAGAGAGAAAATGTTAGAACAGAAGTTAGTAACATTACAGCAGTTGGTTCAGAATACACAGGAAGCATCAGAGAGTGGTTGGCAGGTAGGTAATATTTAAATTGGCTGGAACTATCACAATGCATTGATGCAGGGGATAAAATGCTTCAGATAATGGACTCTGAACCATAGAATAGATGCTAAATTGCTACACCTCCCCCTTATATTTTCCGGACATTTCTTATACGATTCTCCAAACGTCCGACCAGGAAAATGCCCAATCGGACATCAAGATATGGTAAATAATATTAAAAATTCCAAAATATATTGACTGTACTGAGTGCATAACTGCTACTCCTCTCGATTATCGATGATAGTAGGCTGGATTGATTATATAATTAAGTGATCAACCTATTTATCATGTTGTACAGTCTACCCCTACCTTGATTTACTACTTAATCTGCCTCGATTGACTGACTTAATCCTTGAGGTTCTGTGAATGCTCAAATAATGTTATGAAGTTCGAAAGAAATCTAAAACAACTGGTTAACTTGTAAATGAGTGGTTACCACAAATAATTAATCAAACTGTTTCACAGCAGTACTGCAAAAAAAGATTTTTTTGTTACACTGACCTGTAAGGTCATACCCAGTATAGTTCTACATGTGATGTCACATCATATGGCGGGGGGTTGGATGGCTGAAAGGTTAGTGTGCGCGCGCTGTATCATAAAGTCTGTCATTGAGTCGACTGGCGTGGTTTCGAATCCCCGGTTGTACGTGGCAAGGAGTAGGGTCGCCTGTCCAACCTCGTGGGTTTTCTCCGGGGCCTCCGGTTTCCTCCCACTGCTAAAGACCCCTACGCGCAAGCGAATTATGTAAATAAAATTAAACCATATGTTAGTCCCGAAATGAACTAGTTTGTGTCAAGTGGACGTTAAACCCCATTTCTCTCTCTCTCTCTCTCACATCATATGGCATTGATAAGGCATGCATTGTTTACAAACTGGGCCAGACAGAAATAAGTTCTTATATCTGAATTTCTATATAGGGTTCATAGTGAGAGTTCTGTAAAATAAAAACTGACCTGATCCCAGCCAGTTTCCAATAATTAATCTCAAACACATCGATCTACAGAGTGTGATTACATGAAATAATGAATAAGGATGATAACAATGTAGGACATATTTAATAAACAAGGAGGATAAAATAATGTGTGACATATCTGCAAACAAGGACAATAACAATGTATGACATGTTTGACAAACAAGGATGATAACATAATGTAAGCAAGGCCAATAACATAATGTTGGACATATTTGACAAACAAGGACGGTAACATAATGTAAGACCTATTTGAAAACAAGGGTGATAACAAAATGTGGGACAAGTTTGAAAACATGGACAATATAATGTAGGCCATATGACAAACAAGGACAACATAAAATAGGACATATTACATGTACATGTATATAAATTGATAAATTAGTAGAAATATTGTTCATTTAGAATAAGATGTTTTTAATTTGATTATTATTACAGGCTTTAATAGATGAAGATAAACTACTGTCACGCTTAGAAGTTTTAGAAAATCAATTACATATATATTCAAAGGTAAATATCTAGTGTTTTATATCTAAAATTTATTTCATTTATTAGATACATAAATATGATGACTTTTCTATGATATTGAATAGAATGCACTATCCTATGTAATCACAGTTTACTCCCAACTTCTTTTAATCAGAAATTATTGAAATGGGTCATCGGTTGTGTATTCATGGTTGTCTTGACAAGTAATACACGATCCATACTCCTATCTGAGTGACAGTCACAAATATTGTAGATATGAAATGATATACAAATTAAGTAATTGCAACGGAAAATACACTGGTAGGGTACAAATTTGCAGTGCATGTAAAAGAATTGCTACATAAGTTTAGCAGTTACTACTCAGAATGGAATGAAAATCAAACAGGATTGTGCAAATTTAAAAAAAAGGTAATTTTTACTCTTATTCAGTTGTCAGAGTGTATTTAGACAGATTAATTATTATTATAAATTGTTACAGAACCATAGTGAGGATACATTACGTCAAGAATGTGTTACGCTACAAGAAGAAAAATTACAGTATGAAACAACTGCTAAGGTATTTCTTAAATATATTTGAAGCCAAAGAAATCAGCTAGTCATGAAATAACCTAGTTAATTTGCTGTACTTATATTTATTTGTTGTACTTATGTTAAATATATGTTTAACTTTCTCCTCTGAATGCAGGGGCTGAATAAACCAGAATTTTAAAACTAGCTTAAATTGGTATCGTGCAACCAGAATTTTGTTCAAAATTTTAGTTTTCATTGTGCATCCAACATGAATTGGATAACTCGAGGATAAACTTATATACAATTATCTTGTACATTGCAGAGGTGATTTTAAAAGTCACATAAAACCTCGCTCAAATTATCTGCTAAAGAAAAAGCATACAATTCTTTCTTTTTCATAACTTCTAGATTATTATACTGTCTATAAATATCTTTATGTTTAAATTTTAGGAATCATTAAGAAGAGTTTTACAAGAAAAACTTGAGGCTGTAACTAAATTGTCTGAGCTGGAGGTAATTAATTAATAGATAACAGTGAAGTGATATTGTTTATTGAGAATGGTCTTATTACTTTTACAAATATCATTTAGACATAACTTTGTTACTAGATAATATGGGATTAGATTTTGCAATAATCTTAATATGGACAAATGGTTCCAATATAAGTATCAAATATAAAATGACATATCAATAATTGACATCTGATTTTAATTAGATAGTCATAAATTTCATCCTACCTAAATGTTATGGTGACGTCAAATAAGTGTAATATCAAAATTGAAATCCAAAAGTTCAAGAAAATCTTATAATTCGGTAGTTCCTAATTAAATACATTATGTTTGTTACAGAGGTCACTGGGTGGTTCTGAAGATGAGTGTAGTCACCTTAAAGAGATGTGTGAACATGCTCAACATGAATTACAGCTACTAGCCGAGAAATACCAGGATAAATTAAAAACAGAGAAAGAATTAAAAGATGAACTTCAGGTATGGTCTTATTTCTTGATATATATTTTTAAAACGGAATTTTCTATTTTGTCCAAATTTAACCTAATAGTTACATAGGGAATATTAGGATTGGACTTGATTCAATTTTGAAATAAATTCCCTGAGCCATTGCTGAGATTTAGACATTTCATTTGATGAGTCATACAGGATTTTAGTGGTTTTCAAGAAGTTTAGCTTACATAATACTATTTATTAAATAACATACTCTACTAAGAAGGTTAGCACATGAATTCTCCATAATTATTCAAATGTAAACCTATTTTGGGTGTAATAATTCCTGTTTAAGTTACTGGTGCTTGTAATGTTAGTGAGAAATATTACTGTAGCACCTGTTACAATTATCTTATTGATCATATTTATCTTAATAAGTAAACCACTTTGCTTTACCCAGTTAACAATTTTTTGGTGTGTATCATGCTATTCTAAAAAAAGGAATAAATATGATTTGAATTAGATATTGATATTGTTTCATCATATTTCAGGAAGCAGAGCAGAAACATGCTGAGGAAATGGACCGTGTTGAACAAGAGAAACAGGAATTATCAGAAAAAATAGAACAAATGACACAACAGGAACAGTCTCTTTCAGCTCAGGTTTACTGTTTCTTATATTCTATTTACATTATATATTACTGGCATAAACAATTTAAACAAACACTGTATACTATATTCTGTTTAGATTCTTTAGTATCATTTAATTCTGTCATTAAAAACAATTCCTGCTCCCATTAATTTTGGGATGGTTGAATTCTTATTTTTATTTTTCAAGAATTAAAACTGATTTTATCTAGAAGAATCCCTCTAAATAGTGTTTATGTTTATGTATTAAGTTTTGTTGATTTTAGATTGAATCCCTACGAGCAGATAACGATTTCTCTAAAGAACAATTAGCTGCAATGAAAGGTAAGTTGACCAGATGAGATTTATCACCTACTTCTATATTTAATTGAGATATTCTTGCCCAGTTAATTGTATCAACTTTATTGTAATAGATGTAATGTCATGTGTATCTACTTTTTACTTTTAGAACGTTAAACCCCATTTCATTTCATTTCATTTCTGTTTACTTCTTTCAGCTAAATTAGAATCAATTAAAGAACTCAATGATGATGATAAAATCTCATTAAATGATTCAGAAGGTAATTTAATATCATCGTCAATCTACATCTTATGTCCTACAAATGACGGACAAACCTCTTGTGTATATAAGGGGAGGTAGGTGGCCGAATGGTTTGAACCTACATGTTCGATCACAAGGCCTTTTGTTGAGTCAAGTGGAGTGGTTTCGATTCCCTGCTTGTACGTGACAAGGAGTAGGGTCACCTGTCCAACCTAGTGGTGTTTCTCTGCATACTCAGGTTTCCTCCCACTGCTCTCTCTTTCTCTCGTTCTCGTGTATATAGTTAAGATTCCTTTAGTTTGGTGTCCAATACGCACAAAAACTGAGGTTATGAAAAATTAACTCAAATTACCAGTAACTGAATATAACTCATTATTAAATAGTACACCGTATCGTGGATAGTTAATGAGTTTTCAAAAGCTTCAATTCTTCGTTAGTTTTATAAAACAAATAAGTTTAATGAAGTATTGATTTTCTATGTGTAACTTTATCTTATTTGAAATATTTATATGTTTCAGTTTCAAATCCTGATATTATACCTTTAACATTAAGTCCTAAAGAAATAGAACCTGTGTCATTAGAAGGTAAATTTAGTATGTTTTATTGAAGTTGGTAGCACATCAAGATATCTCTTTATTTCATGATGTATGTATTTGCTTCTACATGTTTCAATATAATTTCTTCACGAAGCCTTTGATAATATTTAATGTTGCAAGGTTACCCTTGTGAGTCATAACGGAGGTACATAACATTACATGAATGAATAAAAAAAAATATAATATGTATACACAAACGATTCAATTAGCTACTTGTCAAAAAGAGATCAATCAGGCTATTTTATTTGTTTAGCAGAGATCTAAATTTGTTTATGAAATATTCCTCTTTAACTGTTCTCTGTTTTGCGCAATCATTTAGGAGCTGGTAAAAGGGGAATATTTGAAATATTTGTGTGTGCATGTGTCCTGATGATCGCTCAGTATGATGCAGTATTCTGGATTTTTTTTATCTGTGATTTGTGTACAGCAACTCGTGATCTGAAATATTCTATTTGACCAATATACTGCTCCATAAGTCCCAGCAATTTATGACATAGATCACATTTAGATTGAGTGGATATTGTTTGCTTCGAAGGAATATTCGCAGCTCCTCATTCGTTCATTCATGTAATGTAATGTCCCTCCATTATGACATCACGAACAAATTGCTTTAGAATTAGATATTATTTTAAGGGCTATAAAATAGAGCAGTTTAGTGGTTGTTTTGTATTGAATTCACCAATAGGATGTTCACAGTTGGATTGTTGCTGTGAACCTTTTTTTAAGCCTGTTAGTATGGCAAGTGATGCAATGTGCATCTATTCGTTCAGGACAAATTTCAAAGCCATTTATACACAACATAACCCCCATCACTACATTGGTTACCCATAGAAGCCCGAATAACTTTCAAGATTCTAACATTGGTTTATATGTGTCAACATGATCTTTCACCATCCTACCTCACAGGTCTCATTCATTCATATCAACCAAATCGATCACTTTGTGCACAAAATAAGCCCTTATTTAATCAGATTTTAATGTACATGTATTATAAATGTTTCATTACCGAAAAAAGTAAAAATATGCGACAACTCTTGTTGACTGCCCGGACGATAAAGCTGCTGTGGCGTATGTTTCGTTGCCTGGCAACCTATCTTTCATGCTTTCGATGGCCTACACTGCATGAAGATCTGACAAGTTGTAGCGATAGGTTACATCAGAGGTCATACAAACGGCTTTTGACCCTATGATGTCAAACATTTGATTAACCAATCAGCATTGATGTTTCTAATGGATTACCCACAGTTTCGTGCAAAACATGCCTAAAGCTCGCCGTAACAGACCGTTTCATTGGCTAATCCGGAACACGTCAATGGTAACAATCTGTGTTTTAATCAGATTGATAATCAGGTTTATGGAAAAGATAATTGTACACTTATTTATTTTGTAGAAAAATTGAAAGAAACGCAACAACAAATAGAAAAGTATAAAGGTATGTAACAAAAGTTACATTTGTCTCTTCATTTAAAATCACTTTTTGTTGTTTTAATAATGAAATGAAATAAAAATAAAACACACTTATATGGATATACTACTTCTGAATTTATTAACATGCTACGTTTCGATACACATACAGATGTCGTTTTCAAGCAAATAATGATAATCAACAATAAATGTGGTACAATATATAGGTAACAAGTGGAAACCATTTAACAGAATAATCAATACTATCAACAACGCATTATCAAGATCAAAGAAGTTATATAAATTAACATGATGAAAGAATAACACTAATAATACAAAAGGAAGAGATTAGAGGATAATTGACTACTAATAATACAAAAGGAAGAGATTAGAGGATAAATGACTACATGAAACCGTAACATCAAGACGCTAATTAACTATATGAAACCATAACTATAAGATGAGATGAAAGTCAGAGATAGAATTAAACAATCATCACAAGTGAAACCTTAACTACAAGATGAAATAAAGGGGGGGGGGGGTCATACACTTATGACCACAGACACTTCTCATCACTAACACACACTGATTAAGAATTAAATAAATCAACCCAAAGATTTGGGAGGAAATGTCCTGAGTCTCTGTTTAATTTTGGCTTATGTTTTTGAATTTCCAAAGCCTCGCGAAGAACTCTGCTTTTCCATGTTGATAGGTTTCTAGCTAGTATTTCTGTACTTTCCCATTTGATTTGGTGCTGTGGGTTTTGGTGGATATGTTCTGCTAGCGCTGATTTGTTTTGTTCTTGTTTTTTAACTGCTGTCTGATGCTCTTTAGTTCTGATTGAAATTGGACGGGATGTTTCGCCCACATAGGCCACATTACACTCACAATTTATTTTGTATATGACTCCCTTTGGGTCCTCTTTTGGTTTTAGTATTCTACCATCAGCTTTTAACATAGTTTTAAGTGTGGTTCCGCTACTGAACACTACCTCTGCACGGATTTGCTCTGTTAAAATTCTTTTTATTTGGTGGCTAGCTGGTCCTATAAATGGGATGGAGATAAAAAGCGGGCTAGTTCTTCTGATGGCAGTGGGTGGTTTGCAGGTATGAGTCAGTGTTTTCTTCATGGTGGCATTAACTGTATTAGCAGGGTAGTTATTGAATTCTGTAAGGACATGGTTGATATGCTGTAATTCATTATCGAGGAGGTCTTCATCACATATTAATTTTGCGCGTCTCGTTAAGGTACTAATAATTCCTGTTTTTACTTTGGTTGGGTGATTTGAACTATTATGTATGTATTGGTCAGTGTGGGTTGGCTTGCGGTAAACAGTGGTTTTTAGGTAATCTGCGGAGTTGTTTACTAATACATCAAAGAATGGTAATTGGTTGTCTTTTTCTAATTCTACTGTAAATTTCATTCGAGGGTGGATACTGTTGAGGTGTTCAAGAAGGTGTTGTGGATTCTGACCTAGTTCCAAAATGGCAAATACATCATCAACTTTTCTAATCCATGTTTTAGGTAGGATGGGTGAAGTCTTTAAGGAAGCTTCTTCAAAATGGGTCATATATACTTCTGTTATGAGAGGGCTTATGGGAGATCCCATGGGTAGTCCATGAACCTGTTCATAAATTTCTGATTGCCATGAGAAATATGAGGAATTGATACATTGCTCTGCAAGTTGAATGATACTGTCTAATTTGAGGTTTGTGGATAGTTCTTGGTAAATAGATTCTATTTTCTGCCTTAGCACTTGTATTGCTTCATCCCGTGGTATATTCGTAAACAAATCAACAACATCATAACTAACTAACTGACCATTCACATTATTTTGTTTAAGTCTATGACAGAATTCTGATGAATCTTTGATGTAGGAACTGGCACTAGTAGCAATTGGTGATAACAGTTTAGAAATATACTGTGCTGTATTATAGTACACTGATCCACGAGAACATGTTAACAGTCTAATTTGTATTATTAGTAGTCAATTATCCTCTAATCTCTTCCTTTTGTATTATTAGTGTTATTCTTTCATCATGTTAATTTATATAACTTCTTTGATCTTGATAATGCGTTGTTGATAGTATTGATTATTCTGTTAAATGGTTTCCACTTGTTACCTATATATTGTACCACATTTATTGTTGATTATCATTATTTGCTTGAAAACGATATCTGTATGTGTATCGAAACGTAGCATGTTAATAAATTCAGAAGTAGTATATCCATATAAGTGTGTTTTATTTTTAGTGAAATCTATTTCTATATGTCTTATAAGGAAAATGAAATGAAATATATAAATATAAGAGATTACAATTTTACATAACTAGACAGTAATTTAATATATGAGATAGAGAAATATTAACAATATTAATTCCATGTTACAGCTCAAATTACCGAATCAGACGTGAAATTAAATGAAAGCAGTGACAAAATAGAACAGTTACAAAGTAAGTACATGTTGAATATTCCTGAACAAGATAATGATCACCTGAGATATGATCCTGATAATCAATTACAGAGAGAGAAAGATTTGGTTCTATTTGATCCAACTTTAAAATATTAAATGTTAAATTTTTAGCTCTAAAAACAACTTCAATTACTAGTATTTTTAAAAAGGTTATTTTGCTTTTCTCTTACAATCAACATTTTAAAAAAAAAGACCTCTATATTTTGTATTTTGCTTGTTATAGGAGAACTAGAACAGGCCCAAATAGATTCAAAGCAATATATAACTAAAATAGCCACTCTAGAAGGTAAGTTTAGATTTATTTATAATAATTCATTTATCACTGATGATGAATATTTTGTGAAAAGAGCGTGCTGGATGTAATAATGTTTGTACATTTTGTGATTTGTTCTTTTAATCAACATTTGATCACTTGATATTAAGACTGTTTGATAGTTTGAAATTAATATCACGAGGCAGCACCCAACAAATTTACGTACCAGTAGCCACATTATATAGAAATAGACATATGCTGTCAGAATTCAAACTGTAATTTAATTGAAACTAAAACATTATTAATGACATAATTGATTAATGCTTTTCAAATATTATGACTCTGTTGTTATCTTTCTTCGAGATCAATTTAATCATCTAATTAAGGTCAGGGCACTAGACTCTCGACTAGAATGTCACAGTTTATAAACTTTCAAGCTCAGCCTTCAATTGTCACATGCGTGAGGCCGACAGGGAGAGAGTGCCCAAACTGAAAGTTATTGGTTAACCCACAATAAATGAAATAACCAAAAACATTATGTCAAAAACAGATAATAAATAGGATTGATTAGCCAAAAGTTAAATTTTAAAAATAAATCACTATTAATGATTTTGTTCTAAATTGAGCCTTGATTTGCATGAATAATTGACTGAAATTGACCTTCAAAAATCATACATCAACAATATTTGTTTTTGGACTATCCAAACAAAAAAACAGTTAAAAAAAATTAAAGCTGGTATTTTTTAGGAATTCACTGTAAACAAAGTATACAAAAACAATATGAATAAGTGAGAGAACTAATAGATCATAAATAAATGTTTAAAATTGACTTGTATGTTGTATATATGCTCTGAATGTCAGTCCTTGTTTTAAGCATGAATGAATGTACAGCGTTCTCGTGATTATAATTAACTGTAAATCATTATTTTGTATTATGTGGAAATTTTATTTAAATGCCTATTCTGATTCAATGTTCATGCATAATATTAATATGTCAATCTTTTACCGTTCATTACCTCATTATTTTCATTATGCACTACAAAACTGAGATTTTAACATATTGCACAGAACAATTACCATGTAGCCAGTCCTCCGCCAGTTTGTTGAGCAGTGGATTGTTGTTAATACTCTTACATTTTTTATACACCCATATTGAATTTCAACAATGTTTGATAATAACTTCTAGAGGTATTGCACTTTATCACTTTGTTGAATCTAGTGACAAAATTTATCATTCAACATGTTTGAAATTGATGTTATTCAAATTAATGAGCTTCAGAAGCCTATAATTTCAACGATTTTAAGATATTAAATTAGAACGGTCTTGTGAAATATCTAGTATTTCCATTAATTAGCTTGAGCAATCAGTTTACATATTTTCTGGTAATTGGAGTTTGTTTGCATTGATATTTCACATAAATTTCTAAATTCTTATTTATTTTTAAATTTTCCATTTGTCCATGAGTTAAGGCACATTTCATAACCCGAATGGTCCATGTAGTTTGTGGTGCATTTGTTAGTGGTCGTGATTAATGTAGATAACCTATAAATAATGTTTGATACATTACTGCATACATGTTGTCAATACATGCTGTGAACTGAAGGTAGAAAAAGAGTGCTCTTAACAGTTCAACTGACAGAAACCTCTGCAGTTCATTCATTACACAATGAAACCTGTATGGAATGCCAATAAGTTTCATATTTCATGATCAGTAGAGAAAACACACGTTTTATGCATGCCCGATTTTAGGATTTGAACATATTGTTTGTGTCTACTTTGATTAAGTAGACTAGGTCACTGACACAGAGGGTTTACTAGTTAAACAGACTAACACTTTACAGAAACAGCTGTCATTCTGGTGTGAAACTATTTGTCTATCATATATTTTATTCCTTATTCCACAATTAGTTACCGAAAACCTGTAATGATAGAGTTGATTGGTTCCTTAGATTAGAGACCCAGCAATTTACCGCACCAATATACGCGATATATATGGCAAAGCCAAATCTTAGTGAAGCTAAATAGGTAATTTTATCACGTCATGATCATAAAACCCAACAGCACAATTGCCAAATAGCAGTTGAATACTAAGTCTAATTGTAGACTTAGCATGTCTGGACGAGTTCCAAATTATGCTATCTATTACTAGGAAAACTTAGTGCATATTACTCAATTCAATAACCCAGTCCGGTTATCCAAATAATTACCACTTGTTTATATTATTTCAAATGACACAGTCAAATGGGTTTGGGAGACTTAGAGTCTATGCAAATAAGCATTTTATAACAGCAGTTCTTTAGCCATCTCTCTGTTCACCATGAAACAGAAGCAGTTGCTGCGGTGATACAGTACTGTGCCGTTCCAACCAAGACCTATTTTGTGCTCCGGTCCCCGACGACTATATAAATGGAACATCCGAACAATCTCACGTCAACTGAACGAAACTACCGTAGTCGCTTCATGAGAGAAATCTGGGACGACTACTTACCACTCATAGATTTTTAATTTTATCATATATTGAGTTGCAAAAATGGACAATGAGTTCAAACATTATTTTGATTCACACTTACAGATTCACAAGCAATGAACACACCATTTGTCACCGCCTAATTTCACTCCTTGTTTGCTGTAGAACTCTGTTTAGTTTCATTACCTTTTTATCTCCCTTGTATGCTATCACCTCCTTGGTTCTTAAACATTCATCATTTTTATTACTGAGTGTGTTATTTTCATCTCATTATGCAGAAAAATTTCAACTGTCTGATTTGCATTTGAACCAAATGATGGAAAATGCCTTAGCTGATATGAAACGTAAGTTTGTGCTGCAAAAGCCTAAGTTCTGCTCTGTGATTATTTTAAGATTTGATTTATTTTATTTTATTTTGTTTTCTTGGTGTACATTGTTAAAGTTTAGGAGATGATTTCAAAAAGCTTAATTTAAGTGTTAGCAACTTGTCCTGTATTGTTGTTTTCCTTTTTTTTTTAAATGACAAATATTGGGGGAAAAATATGTGTTGCTTTTGAAGTTAAAATACATTTACTATTCAGAATCATCTATCATAATAGGACGAGTTCTTTTAACGTGATTTTGAGAGAAATTAAGATTTATGTATGTTCCCTGGATGGTCTGTTTTGCCTTTGAAGAAGCCCTAATACATTCATAATAAAACAAAATAATTTGACACCTATTAATTCACACATTTTCAAAACTGATTCTTATTAACCTCATAGAAATAAATTACCCAAAATAATGCACTTCTTTTCAATAATTTCAAAGCACTTTCATCATAATATAATGATTAATATTTTTTCATTATGAAAAAAAGTTTATTCAATTAACAATGGCAATTTCGGTGCTTTATAGAATCGGAATTTGATCGCAATTAATGCTATAGAAATAATAGCCACACAAGTGACATGGTCGATTTAAGAATCTGTTTCAAAAACCATGTTTATATTTTTTATTTTATATTACAGTGCAATTGAAGGAATCTCGTAAACAGTGTGATAGCAGTAATGAACTCATTTTATCTTTACAAGGTAACAACATCAAGAATATTTGTGTTAAAAATTCAGGGCAGATCATTCACATACATTTCAAAGATCATAAATGTCTACTATTTTAATTTATAAACTGTTCTTTTTATGCAGTTAAATACTTCTGTGTATAAAAATATGTTCATGTAGAATGGGCTGGCAAAATGACGGCACAATTTTTATTGCTATATTTGTCTAAGAAGATAATAAAGATAAAAGATGGCATTGTGAAATCAATAGAAACCAATGTAAATTTAAAATGGCCGTAACATAGAATGTTTTGGACCAAACTATTTTTTAGATAAAAGTATGTTTTATTGTGTATGGTTTTAAACACTATATTTAACCTTCATTCTGATTTCTGTTTGAAATGGTTGTAAATCTATTTTAGAACAAATAGCAAATCTAGAGAGTGAAATAAGTCTATATAAAATACCTCAACAAGAAGATAAAACTGTAGTTACATTAGTTGGTACCCAATCACCTGTAAATAGTCTTCATTCTTCATCTAATACCTCAATTTCTTCCACCACCTCTGATCTTTCTGAAGATGAAAGCTGGAAAGGTAAGCAGATCTGGTTTATGGTGATGATTTTAAGTGGGAAAACCTAATAATACCACAGACTATATGAGACAATCACATGTTAAATTTGAAACCTGCCCTAAACTTATTAGGAAATAACTGTTTTAATTCAATCGGTGATGAGAACTAGACTGCTATTTGTTGAAAAATACATATTAATATCATTATTGATGGTTCTCTTTAATTTTTATATTTATGTTTTAGAATTACTAGAAGAGGCAAGACAAGCTCAGAAAAAAGCTGAAATTGAATTACAGAAGAATAGAGGTAACTATTATATATTCATATATCATTTATTGATAACCTTGAGACCATTACTTTGTCTTTTATGATCATTCCAGTTAGATAAATCTTATGGTTTAAATATAGAATAAGTATGCCTTTGATAGTTGGTAAAAAACAAAGAACTCTCATTTGACATTGGGAGTGTTAGATTAGGCTGACCTTAAAAATATCTTTGTTTCGCCTAACGCGACTGACTAACTAAAACCACCCCCGACTTAAATTATTTTATTGCACTTTTCCGCGATCTTTTTATTTTATTTTGTGTGTCAACCTGAAATATATCACGAGAGTTATTTCCCTTTACCATGGCTATGGTTTGAATTTGATTCATTATTGAAACTAGCTGATCAATACGAAAGCGTCATAGGTGTCGCTTCTCAACAAAATGGTTGCAGACGAAAGCATTCCATTTCCACGAAATGATTCTGCCTTTATGTCTGTGGAGCGTCGTTTTAAACATGATGACGATATTTTCAATATACGTTTTCTAGAAAAATGAAGCCACAACCCACACGATCGTTAAAAACGTGTTGAAGGAGTTTCATACTTCAAAATCGTGGTAAATCGCGTGCGAGCTGTCGTGCATCACGAAAAATCCCGATGTCATTCATTTCTTTGCCAATAAAAGAAGACAAATGTTTCCACCCGGAAAATTATCAAGCTGTCAAATTAGCTCTTTAAAAAAAAATCTAAAAAAAAAAACGACCTACCGACCCTTCTCCTCGATTTTGGGTCGGGTTTGGTGAAACAAAGATATTTTTAAGGTCAGCCTTACATTAGAAATTTGGAACAAAATCTACCAAGTCTTCATTTATACACATTTAAGTTTCATTTTATGAGTTTTGCATATGGGTGGTTTACAAGGAGTTTGATGAACACTTGAGATTGAAAGATATCTATGTAGGCCCCTGCTTTGACTTTTGATAATTTGTTGAGACAATATTATTGTTATTTTGAATATGGTATTATAACTCAAAATTAATTACATTTATTGTCTAGTGATGATGCCTCTTTAGTTGAATTATAAACAATAAAATTTTTACCCTGAACTTGCATTCGTATACTTGCAAGAGGTAAGCAGTGTTATATTACTTATTTTAATGGTCATATGGAGGCATGTGGATTAATCACATCATGATCATATGTTACAGGTGAATTAACCATGAGTCAGTTACAAGTCACGAAGACAACTGAAGAAATGAAACTGTTGCAGACACAATTAACAGAAGCAAACAAAATAGCAGATGAAAAAACAGAGCAAGTGGCTAATTTACAGGGTGAGTTCATATCATATCATTGTTGCTATCTCCAAACTTTTCTTGCTGGACATTTTTACTGAAAATAAAGGGGCATAACCCTTATTATTTAAGCAAACATGTCAACAAAATATTCAAATTCATATGTAATAAGAATAGGTGCACCTCGCTAGTTTTTATTCGCCCATATTGAAATGTGGTTGTATATTGTCGTTGCCCCTGTTCGTCCGTCCACAATTGCTTATGGACGCTCTAAAGGCTAAAGTTAATGTCCGATTGACTTTAAATTTATACACAGTGTTAAAGGTCATGAGATAAAGAAGCCTATTGATTTTCAGCAATTTCCGATAATTACTGCCAGATTTATGGCCCTTGATCACTTTGAAAAATCTTATTTATGCTCCAGAGACCAAAGTTATCATCTGATTGACTTTAGATTGATACAGAGAGTTTAATGTCTTGAGATGAACAAGTATATTGATTCTCAATAAATTTTGATAACTTGAACAGCTAAATCCATGATATTAAATGTTTTGTATACTAAATGTTGGCATGGGGCAAAACTAAAAGCCAAACAAATTCTAATGATTCTCTGATAATTACTTAATGAGTTGTTACTCTTTTAATCAGATTTTAGTGTATTATAGATGTTTCATTACCGACAATAGAAAAAATATGCGACAACTGTTGTTGACTGATGGACAACTTAGCTGCTGTGGGCATATGTTTCGTTGCCTGGCAACCTATCTTTATATTTAATTCCTGTACAATAATCGGGATGAGTAGTAGTTATACACCCAGTCAATTAATTTTGGAATTTTGAATACAATTCTCAAATGAAAATAATATTCTGCTTCTCAGATACCAACACATCACAACATCCTCATTGATTACTTCACCTTTCAATTTTCCGCTTTCGAAGGGTACCTCTTTTATTACCGTTCTATTTGAATTTGGAAGTGTCCAGTAAGCTCAATTATCAAGTACATAGCCCTGATCAATGTTATTGGCACTGCCAGACAATCAACTTCATTTTAAAGATCTTTATAATAAAATTGTAATATTGTACATTCATTATTAAAATAGACTTATTGTTGACCATATGCTAAAAATTAAAAACAAATGTCAGCTGTCTTTATTTACTTGAACATTTTATGATTGAAATGCTGTTGTATATGTCATTGGTGTCCAGCTGGCGACAAAATTGCTTGTGGATGCTCTAGAGGCTAAAGTTAATATCTGATTTATACACAGTGTTCAGGGTTAGAGATGAAGAATCCTATTGATTTGCAACAATTTCTGATAATCACTGCCAGAGTTTTGTCCCATGTTCACTTTGAAAACTCTTGTGAGTGACTTCAAATTGATACACAGACTTATTGCCCTGATTATCTTTGAACAATCTTGAGATGCTCAAGATTATAAATTTATCTTTTCGAGTGCCTTTATTTTTACACTTCGTGTTTATGTTCATGAAAGTTTCTAGTTTATACTCTTTATCACTTTTAAGAATCCTGTGGACCCTCTAGCTGTTAATGTTATTTTCCGAAAGATTTGAAATTGATACACAGTGTTTATGTGATGAATCATGAAACCTATATATTTTAAACAATTTCTGATAACTCAAACAGCTAAATTTTTTATCGTTACCAGTACATGTTTTGTATCATAAATGTTTGCATTTTGAAGAAGTGGAAGCTAATCAAATTTTAATTTTTGGTTGTTACTCGTGATCAGTCATTAGTTTAAATGCTCCCACCTATAAAACCATTAATTACAACAACCCCTGTGTACTGCTTGGCCTAGTTGGCTGCTGGCAACCTATCTTTATTTGAATAGTCAGTAACTTATCTTTCTTGAGATGAAAACTCATTTAGATGTATTTATATAGAGCTATGTAGAAAAAATATATGTATGGCTATTTGATTGTACATGTATACAAGAGTTACAATTCTTTTGTAGACCAAGTACATAAAGCTGAAGCAGCAACAAAAGAGGTTAAACAACAAATACTTGATTTAAGAGGTCAGTTTATTTATTCATCATATTCATACACCATTTATCATAACCATATATCACACTGTTAAATAAAATTCCACATTTTAATATAATCCCCATATAATCAGATTTTTCTTTACATGCATTTTACATGTTAATTACATGTATTTCCTTGGACAGCTGAACTGTTGGCATTAGAAAATAACTTTAAGCAAGTCCTATATTCAGACAAAATTCATTTTATGGCACTAATCAATAATTAAACATTATTAAGGAAATAAAAATCTAAGAAAAATTATAAATTTGAAAATAAATTACTATAGTAGAGATATTTTTATACGCCCACATTTTCATGTGGACATATTATGCCGTTGCCCTTGTCCATCCAGACATCCGGTCACAATTTGTTTGTGGACACTCTACAGGTCACAATTTTTATCTGATTTTTATGAAACTTGAAATATAGGTTTATCTCCCAAAGGTCTTTGTTCCTTTCGATATTTGTCCATATCAGACTGTAACTTTCTGGATTATGGCTCCTGATTGTACAAAAAAATCACTGCTACACCCTAATAGTCAAATTACGTGAAAATTGGGCCGAAACTACCTGACAAAATGGCCGCTTCTTGTACACAAATAGTGTAAAAGTATGTAATACGAAGGTTGTGGACCCTCTAGAAATCACAATTTTTATACGCCCACATTGAAATGGGCTTGTATATTGTCGTCGCCCCCGTCCCTCCGGCAGTCCGGCGTCCATGCTCTACAGGCTAAAGTTAATGTCCGATTGACTTCAAATTTATACAAAGTGTTTAAGGGCATGAGATGAAGAAGCATATTGATTTTCAGCGATTTCCAATAATTACTGCCAGAGTTATGGCCCTTGATCACTTCAAAAAATCTTGTGGACTCTCTAAAGGCTAAAGTTAATATCCGATTGACTTTAAATTTATACACAGTGTTTGAGGTCATGAGACGAAGAAGCCTATTGATTTTCAGCAATTTCCGATAATTACTGCCAGAGTTATGGCCCTTGATCACTTTGAAAAATCTTGTGGACGCTCTAGAGGCTAAAGTTAATATCCGATTGACTTTAAATTTGTACACAGTATTTAAGGTCGTGAGACAAACAAACCTATTCATTTTCAGCGATTTTCGATAATTACTGCCAGAGTTATGGTCCTTGATCACTTCAAAATATCTTGTAAATGCTCTAGAGGCTAAACTTAATATCCGATTGACTTTAAATTTATACACAGTGTTTGAGGTCATAAGACAAAGAATCATATTGATTTTCAACGATTTCCGATAATTACTGCCAAAGTTGTGACGCTTGATCTCACTTTGAAAAATCTTGTGACGCTCTAGAGGCTAAATTTATCATCCGATTGACTTCAGATTGAGTTTAAAGTCTTGATTTTCAATGAATTTTTATGACTTGAACAGCTAAATCCATGATGTTAAAAGTTTCGTATACTAAACGTTAGCATGGGGCAGAACTTTATAAAAACCAAACAAATTCTAATGGTTTTCTGATAATTACTTAATGAATTGTTACTCTTAATCAGATTTTAATGTATTATAAATGTTTCATTATCGAAAAAAAATAAAAATATGCAACAACTCTTGTTGACTGCTGGAGTTATGGCCCTAGATCACTTTGAGAAATCTTGTTGACATTATCTGATAGACTTTAAATTTATACTCAGTGTTTACACTCACTGAGACGAAGAAGCCAAATGATTTTCAACAATTTCTGATAATTACTGCCAGAGTTATGACCCTTGATCACTTATGGATGCTCTAGACGCTAAAGTCAAAATCCGATTTCCGATAATTACTGCCAGAGGTATGGCCCTTGATCCCTTCAGAAAAGAAAAATATACGACAACCCTTGTTGACTGCCCGGACTACTTAGCTGCTGTGGGTGTATGTTTTGTTGCCTTGCAACCTATCTTTGTCCTCTTTTGATGAAAATATGTTTATATTCCTGGATTATGGCCCCTGATTGTATGAAAAATCACTTCTTTTTTTTTTTTGAGCTTGTCCATCTCATGCAAAATATGGTCGCATCTTGCATGGCAAGCATTTGTTATTGAAAGGTGTGTCCCAGATTTGTAACTAATGTCAGTCAAAGCCGTTTAGGTTCAAATTGAACTTTTGCACTTTGTTGAGAAATTTATTTTGATAAATGTGACCAGCTATGGCTAAATCAGACACATGTTGCAGATCCCTTACATATCATATTTCTCTTCACATTGGACTCTGTTTTTAATTCTTGCGAGTCAATGCATTATCATTGATGGTGTTGGTTACTATGGAGTCATGAGGATGTAACTTGTAAGATACCAATTTAAAACTCTTCAAATACATAACTTTAATGTATAAGCTTACATAACAGTGTTTTGAATTTGTCTTATTTTACTAGAGCTGGTCACATATTTTTTTTCAGTACTTATTTTAATTTGCATGTTTATCTTAATAGTGAACTTTTGATCAAGTAATGATACAAAGAATATATTTTTTTGTGAAGATCTTGTTGAACAACAAATTTCCAGTTTACTACCCCATTTCAAAATATGTCGTCCCAAATATGATAGTTTTTTTCATAATGTTTGAAAAACAACTGTCTCAGACTGAATCTGGTCGTATATTTAAATTTTAGCATCCAATCAAATTTTCAGGGTTTTTTTTTGTGTTATTACCAATAAGACAAAGTCTATTCTTTGTTTATGAAAATATTTTATGTGAACAATATGTCATCAATACCTCATTTCCTTATCCCCATGTAAGCTGGTTCATTTTCTGCACGATCTTCAATTACAGAAACATTATATCACCTTTTGTATATTAAGCCCTCTGTTTATTACCCATATCCTTTCCTTTATCTCTAAGTAAACAAGTTCATTTTCTTAGAGGTCTTATATAAAACTTCACATAAATATGAGCCACAATTAGTTTTTAATATTGAAACATAACGACTTTAGATGGCCTTCAGGTATTTCTGGAGCTGTTATCAATGCTGCATTGATCAAATATTAATTAAACTGGAAGTAATCAATATCAGATATCATTGTTTTTAATGTGAAGGTTATATGATCTTAGGAAATTTAGCTGGATTACAGGGATATGCCATCCTATTATTATTTATTCTTATTAATCCTAATCTACCTGATCTTATCTCATTCCCTGCATGGTTCACACCTTGTTTAAACTAACAGATAGCATGCTGGAAGAACAGGAACAATTACGTAAGAATCAGAATATGGCAGATTCATTTAAAAGTAAGTCTGTGGGTCAAAGGTTGTCAACTCAAGTTCAGATAATTAGTAGTATTTGTAGAAATCATTCTTAGTCGTATTTATTTCTTACATCATATTAGCTATTTTGATTAATCATTAAAAAAAAACAACCCTATTGTGATTATAAAAATGTTGATTAACATTATAAAGTCCCGATATGTAAGTCTCTGACGAGAAAAGTATGTTTTTAAAAAAATGTAAATAATTTAAAGACTGAATATTAGACTTTCAGACCATACACAGTAAAGTGTAGTTTTACTAACAAGGCAGATTGGTCAAAAAAATAATCAAAATCAATCAATCCAGATAACTCATTTGTATCAAGGTCAAGATGGTATGCATTGCAACCTCAGTTATTTTATCTATCGGTACATATATCTAAAAGGACACTTTAAATCTATCTATTTATGTTAAAATTGAAATATTGACCTAACACCATAAAGTTTAATTAAATATTTGTAATGAATATATTTATCCCTGATACAGTAATATATGATGAAATGTATTATTTTGTTGGTTCAAAACTCTTTTTATTCTGTACAACATTGTGTTCATTAGTGGTCTACTAAGATCAAGCTCGAGCAGTAACCCTGTTAGTTCTGCCTTATGTTGCCTCTGCTCAGTGTGTGTTCCCTCTGTACGGTTTTGTGAATAATTTCCCTTAATAATGTGATTTTTTACTACTGTTGACCAAGTAGCTCTCAATGATATTTGAAAATTTAATACATTAAAATATCCACAAGATATGGGTCATAAGTTTGAGGAATTTTTAGGTATTATCACTTTCTATTTCAACCAAACAATTATGTAATAATAATAAGCTTTATGTGTCATATTCAAACAAACCATAACTGTAAACTCACCTAATTGACCAAAATCTAAAAACTGGCTACTTACACTGTAACCTGGTATCATTTAATCTTATGTATTTAACCCTAGGATTTAACATATCGTTGTTTGAAAATTTGTAAAAATTGACTAAAATATGCCGAAAATCATATAATTTGTACTTGTGTCCAGTTTAAATTTGGCCTTCAATTTTGATAATGAGCATCCAATTTACAAGCTTTAATTTCCTGATCATTGTTCAAAGATTTAAAACATAGTTGATTATTGATGTACCTGGTATAATGATTAATTTTTGAACAGTGGTCAGGAAATTGAATACTCAAGATTAAATGATAACACCTTCATAACCCGTATAAACTAATAATGAATCTTGAAACATCTGTATCTCAACATTGGATTTGCAGATCTAGTTCATAATTTGCATACAATCTTAGGACCAATTCCTAATATTTCTATGGTCAAATAAAGAATATACTTTTGGAGAAGATTTACTACTAATGCTTCTTTAAATGATATCAACATTAATAAACAGATGATGCTTTCCAAGAATTATAAGTGAAATCTTTCTATAAGTTTCTCATTCGTGTGTGTAACGGTGTTGCATCAGAAGGTCTGTCATGTCATTGAGTCAAGTGACATGGTTTCGATTCCTCGCTTGTACATGACAAGTAGTAGGGTTGCTTACCCAGCCTCATGGGGTTTCTCCAGGTCCTCTGGTTTCCTCCCACTGCTAATTAATAAGACCCCTAGACGCTAGTGAATTATTGAAATAGAATTGAACTATGTTAGTCCCAAAATGACCTAGTTTGAGTCAAGTGGACGTTAAATCTCATTTCTTTCTATCTTATTAGGGATTAGATTCTCCACCTGTTTTGAAATAGGTTAAATCAGATCATAAAATAAATTGATTTAAAACGTGAACTTTTCTTGGGTGAAAAAATGGTGTTTATTTACAACTAGTTAAATTGTATGTGAGCATAACTATTTTAATTTAATGTTTTGAGTGCAGGTTCTAGGTCAGTTTTCAAATTGGTAGTAGCTGCCTCTGTAATGACATGATTATCCTAAATATCAGATTAAAAGCTACATTAATATATAAGGTCAATAATAAATTTGAAATAAAAAAAAACAAGTAGATAGCTGAAATATTTATTCCCTTAGGCGATCAACTTGATAGATATATAAAATAATTATCTTTTATGTTTTTCAGGGCAACTTGATACAGAGAAATCAAAGCATAAAATCTGTCAGACAGAATTGGAAGATAGTAAACGTATGCATTTCTTTTTTCACGTAACTTTTCAGATGAGTTCTGGCATACAAATATTATTTTTGATAATAGCTTTCCTAAATTCAGATTAATATACAATTTAAGAAATGAGTTGTGACATACAAATATTATTTTTAATAATAGCCTTCCTGAATTCAGATTTACATACATGTATATGATTTTTAAAAAAATGTATACATGGGCCAGATATTGTTAACCCACCTTGTTTTGTATAGATTAATTGGGTCCACCCACATGTATGATTAATTGGTCTACCTTTATGTCAACTCATCTACCTACACAATTTAAAAAAAAAGTATGATTTGTTGATGTATTTAAGTAATTGACATATTATCAAGACCCCTATAGATGAGTTGATGTGTAACCAAGCTGACTTGTATTTCCCAGGGAAGGGGAAGGAGTACTTCAAGTAATCAACCTTTATTACCCTGAAATATGTACACAGTTTGATCTGTAAGAAAAAAAACACTGATTATACATAATCATATCGAAAGTCCAGAAATAAATTAAACTTTATAATACATGTAACAACTTTGGTTGCATCAAGATTGTTCGCAAGCAGAAGAAACTTATAGATTAATTATTTGTTATATATGGTGATAGTACAGGATGTAAGCATGTTGAATGAGTGGCTATTGTATTATCTTGCAGCTTTATTGTGCTATTTGCAACTATATTACTTGTTGCCTTAGGGGATACAGCTTCAATAACAAATTACAACAAAAATTAATTTTTATATGGCAATACCTTATGTGGGAATATGTTTTCTTATCCCCTTCTCTGTCCGTCCATACATAAACAATTCTTGTAAATACTCTATAGGTTAGAGTTTCAAATTATTTATTTTTTCAAACTTGCTGTGATTTTTCAACTAGGAAGAACTCTATTGAATATCAAAGTTGTGCATCAGAGTCACTGCCTGTCATTAAAACCTAGTAGAAAACCCTCTCCAAGTCAATATTTAGAGGAATTGTTCGAACATTCTTTAGGAGAAACCAAATTCAAAGTCACAAGAATATTTTTTACTACCCCTACTACTGATCAAAACTTATAAAAAGTCTACAGAACACTTTTTTTTTAAATTTATATTTTTCATACTTTCTGGGATTGTTTTGGTAGTCATAGGGGGAAACCTATCAAATTTCAGAATTCAGGGACACATATCAAGTTTATACGTAGTTATTGCCCCTGACCCAAAAACTTAACATCCACCCTTTAAAATGCTGCTGGTGGGCTTTTTTTCATTGCCTAACAACACTATGTTTTCTGTAGATGAAATAATCGTCATTTACATTACTTCTTCTCTTTCCTTAATTGATAGATTCAAAGTTTTTCTTTGAAGGTTTGAATACTTATAGCTGATTTTAAACTTATTAATACATTGTACAAACAGGTTAAGCTCTTTGAGTTAAACTGTTAAACCCCTGGAGTTTATTGCATCATGAAACAGATTTTTTTTATTATCAGTTGATTAAACATAAATTATGCAAGAGCTAAATCTGCCTATTGCAAGTCTTTATTTAGGCATCAGATGTTATAGACCTTTGTTTAGATGACAAGTTCAAAATCAACTCTGTAGACCCACAGATGGCTTGGATACAGTTTGGATTTAAACAGTTGTCCATTTAAGATTAAATCAATAAATGGTGGACTAAGCTAACGTTTACCGTTAGTCGCTGATGTCACTAACGGAAACTGGTGATGAAAGGCCTGCCAAGTAAGGCTACCATAGCCATTGAGCATGTTACTTGATACCAGTAATCGAGAATATGTGGGTGAAGTTATGGTCTGTCAATCAAACGATCGCCAATTCTCATAGACGGTGCAGACACAATTGATGCCTATTTCTAGTCCAAACTTCCAACAGTGACAATTCCGTTCAGAACAAAGTAATTTGACTGAAAATTTCAACATTTACTTTTTTTTTTATCATCTATATTTGAATTATTATAGCAAGAATGGCCAACTCTTTATAAAACTGTGAACTAATGTATCTTTAAATTGTACTTGTCTTTTACTCTTTTTTTTTTCCACCATTTAAAAACACAAATTTTGTCCTTACACTTTACAATTTGGCTGTGGTTTAAATTTTTGGTAGTTTGGTACCATTATATCCTCTTAATCTTACTAGGCAAACTTCAAGAAGCCCAGCAAAGTGCTAAACAGAGTCATAATGAAGCTGAACAATTTAAAAGTAAGGGCATGGTTTTATTTATCTTATCACAAAAGCATGAAATTTTGACTCATGGCGTCATTAAAACAAATACAGCCACTAATTAACGATTTATTTTAATATTAAAACATTCATTTCATGTAGATTACTGAATAATAACAAAGTAGGGTTTTTAAGTAAAAGATATTTTTCTTTAGTTATAATTGTATGTGATGGTTTAGATTTATTGTCCTATATATACTTTTAAGTTTTAAATAGACATTTATGATTGCACCTGTTGGTCTTTGCTACCCAGTTGAACGTCAAGTAATAGATATACTTTTTTTTAAAAAAACAAATTCAAATTTCATAGCTGCAATGTTTGTAGGGTACTGAAAAAGGGACCCCAATACCATTGGTAAACAATTACTAGGTGTCATGATAAAATGAAAATCAAATAGGCCTTAAACCAGTTTATGTATTATTGTTTGTTTTAAAAATAGTGAAAGAGTTTAAATTCTATCTCATGAGGACTTAGCCCCATTTCACTATGATTAAATGAAGCCACAAAGTGCAAAGTTGTTCAAAATTGAAGATACATGTATATATTTTATCATAGTGTAAAAAGATAAAAGATCACATCTTTTTTATGCGTTACGTTCATGTAAGTTATAAACATTTAATAAATGTTTATAAATGGTAGCAAAGATTACAGAAGTAAATCATTGTGACGGTTGAATTCTTTTCGACTCTACTATTGAATTCACATTACTGTCTTTCAAAAATTAGTAATTTTATATGATACTGATTTTGATAAAGAAAAACAATGTTATTCAAATATTGCACAGAATTATTTTTCTTCTGACAAAAAAAAAATAAACAGACTTTAGGCAGATGTAATCTTTCAGTTACAATATTATTTGAAATTGATTTATATATCATAATTTCTGCTTCTTTTAGAGAGTGAAAAAGAATTCAGCCAAATGCTGCATCTAAATTCTACAGTTATGTTTAAAGCCTTTGTTCATTTACTTTAAACAGTACATGCATCCACATATCTTTATAATTCTGCATGAAACATTTGAATAAACCTCTTATCTATAACAATCAACCATAATTCTGTATTAAAAGCACAGACTAAAGTACGATAGTCCAGTGATTATTTAGTTTCTTGACAAAAATGTTCCAGATTAGAATCCTATTATGGGCAGAGAAAAATCTTAGAATTTTTCAAATTTGTTTTCCCACTTGTCGGGGTAGCAACTATCCAGCTGACAAGTGTCTGTTCATGCAAATTAGATGAAAAACCCTGGTCTACCAATGTTTGCCATTTCAAACCTTTTTTTAAATTGAAGGTTGCTGCTATAAGAGAAAGACTTTGTCTAATTAAAATGTTTGCTTGTAAAATCTATCTTTTTGAATTGACAGAACACATTATTAATGATTTCATTGCATTTAAGCATCATTCTTATTTTTTTAACTGTTTTGTAATAAGCTTGAACTCTGCTTGACAATGAATTTTTTTTGGTTTCCTTCCTGTAGTTTTTCTGGTTCTAGGTTTAAATTTTGCATCCAACGATGAGGGTATTTTGGGTTTATTTTTATTTCCCTTGCTGGTTTTTTGGTATGTTAAAATTGGTGATGTATACAGAATGTGGTCATGTTTAGATGCGCTTTGCTATATCTTCCCTCCGGCCTCCCTCCCTACCTTCTCGCTTATCCACTTGTTGTGCATAGAATTTTGCATCAGCATTTGTTTTAAAATTTTAGGTTAATTATGTTCAAACAATTTTCCATTAAAATTTTTAATTTCTTGCAAAGAATGTAACGGTGCATGAATGTGAATTGTCAACAGAACTTGATATTTTATTTATCCTTTCTTTTTATACGCCCACATTGATATATGGTCATATTGTCTTCACCCCTGTCTGTCGGTCTGTCTGTTTGACATCCAAAAGCAATCTAGAAGTTTAAGCTGTCATCTGACTTGGTATGCATACACAGTCTTTAGGACTTGATTTTCAACAATTTAAGATAATTTGTTTGTAGTTATAGACCTGACAAATCTTGTGGATTCTCTAGATTCTAAAGTTAGTATTCGATCATTATATCTTTATTTATTTAGTTTATGTTCATGAGATAAAATAGCTTATCTATTGCCTGTGATCAGTTTGAAAAATCTTGTCACCTCTCCAATGAATTTGAAATTTATACACAGCATTTATGTTTTGTTCATGAGATCATACAGCTTGTTGATTTATCAACAATTTTTGATAACTTAAACAGCTAAAGTTATCATCTGATTGCCAAGACATATTTCATTCATGTTTAGAGCAAGGATCAATCTAATTAAAATACAGATCTATATTTCGTTTCGTTTTTTTTTTATACTTTCGCTGACCTACACTACATGAAGATCTGACAAGCTGTACTCGAAGGTCGTGTCAGGGGTCATACGAGCGGCTTTTGACAATATGACGTCAGACATTGATTAATCAATCAGCGTTGATGTTTCTAGTGGTTTAGCCACAGTTCCGTGCATGACACGCCAAGAAATCGCTGTAACCGTTTCATTGGCTTATCCCTCACTTCAACCAAAACGCTGGTAATATAACAACTCTTCCAGATCCTAGATTTTTAATCAGATTGAACAAGGAAGTACTATAATTCTATATTGAGTGTCCTATTAATGTTCCCATTTACAAAACAACAACCTTTATGGACTGTTTGGACATAGCTGCTTTGGGCGAATGTTTGTTCTTCACATGACTAAAATTTTTATTGCACTGTGCATGTTGGTTTATTTTTTGAAGTACATATTAAATTCAGTCTTAAAAGTTTATAAACGGGTAATGGGAAATAAAATTTTGAATTATTTATAAATATTGAGAGTTTAGTAACATGATTTTGGATTGTGATTATTTTTCGATATAGACAAAATAAGGCATCTTCAACATGAGTTAGACTCTGAACGTAAAGACAGACGTGATGCTCATATCACGCGACACGCTAATGTGGAGAGTTACACTGGTCGACAGAGTCCCCGTAATAAAGGTAATAGTATCCATCTCCTCATTTCTATTTCTACAATGATAATTTTGCTGCAGATACAACAAGAGGATTTCGGCATAGTTTTCATGAATAAAGACACATTGTTTTTGAAAGGTTCTTTGAATTTACAAACAGGATTCATTATTTGTTATTCAGTTTAAATTGAAACATACTTATACACCGAATATTATTTAGTTTTATTAAAGATGTAGCTGAACCTTTTTGTGCAAATTTTGAAAGTTTGGCAAATGTATCCATCATTACCCCATTCCTGGCCCACCCCACCCCCAATCATCTACAAGGGACCTCACGTAAGTTTTTCAATGACCAAGGCTGTAAGCTGTATTAGTAAAGTATTGGCAATTTGAATGTGGAGATTCCAACAGGCCAGCAATGATATCTTGTTTATAAACTGAGGGGAAGGGGGTGGTCAGATCACACAGTTTTTCATTATCTTGTGTAGTTATGATTAATAAAATCTTAATTTAAAGTGATTAAATAGATATATATAAGTATTTGTCCTCTGATTAAAGCATGTTGTGTTTTAAATAAGACTATAAATTTATAGAATTTTATTTGATATGCTTGCTTGAGTTTTGGAATACATGTATTCAATGATTTTGATGTTTTGGTTTGTTAAAATAATTAGTATATAATATTAAGATACTATTATTGCTTTATATATTTATGGTTTGTTTACCCCTTTGATAGTGTGTATGTGTGTTTTTCCTAATTAATTATATTATTGTTTGTGTGGATTCCTTCTGATATAATCATGGTTGCTACCTGGTTGATCAACACAAACAAATATAATCAGATACCCATGGATATACGGTAGATAATATTTAAACATACATTATGCAAGAGCTAAATCTGCCTATTGCAGGTCTTTCTTTAGGCCTAAAATATTTTCTAAATTATTAATTAACTGATCCAAGCCATAATCAACTCTTGATGGCATCGGTTTTCTCCGAGCGAGACTTAGCTTCGAACAACCAATACGGTGGTTGAAATTATTGCACACGTCTTGTCAAACCTTCACAGGCTAATATCTTCGCTCGCAATAGAGTAATTTGAATGAAATTTCGAAATTATTCATTTTACATTAATCTATTTTCGAACTATTATAGCAAGAATGGCTAGCTCTTTATCTAAATCTTACATAATGTATCTTTAATGCTTTTCTGTGAGCTTATCATTTTAAGTCAATGGAACAGATTGTGTCACCATGAAAATCTACTGTCCGGTTTGTTGAATCACTGAACAAATCAAATGATTGATTTCACCATGACATTATTGTAATTTTCATCTAAGTTCTGGTTTATTGACTCACAGAACCAATCAAATGATTGATTTTTGTAATTTGTCATCTGATGTGAGGTTTGTTGACACACAGAACCAATCAAATGATTGATTTCACCAATACATTATTCATGTTATTGTAATTTGTCATCTAAGGTGGGATTTATTGACAAACAGAACAAATAAAATGTGTAATTTATTAACCAGATTACAGTGTATGTAATAATACTGTAATACTCGTGTGTGTGTTATACTTCAAGTAGTAACATTGTGTACCTAGGTCTACCAATATTGTGGAGATTCTAATGCTTCTACTTATTTGATTATTGTAAAACAAAACACAACAAAGGGATACCTGGATATAACTACTTTTCAGTTATTTAATAACGACATTTCATAACACATGAAGGTCACGTTTTCAAGTTAATGACAAATATCTAGTCAGTCTAGTTTACACTAAGCTGATAATAGTAAGAAATTGGAACTAGCTTTGCTAAACTTAGATTTCATTAATCAGGTTTACCGTACCTCTAGAGGTCATTAAAAGAATTGAAATATAATTATCTCAAGTCATTTGACATTTTAAATGGTTATATTAATGAAGTCTGAAATCTGGAAAAATAACTATCTATTGATGATGACAATGATGACATGTTATTAATATCAGTATAATACTTGATTTATTTTTACAGAATTTATAGCATTAAAAGAAGAATGTTCCAACCTTAGAAAACGAATCCAAGCAATAGAAGCCGAGATGAAAATGTAAGTTTGAATGTAGAAGGGTTTTTTTTTTTTTAATATTCCCCAATAAGCCTGTACACTATATGTAATTCCTACGACCCCTGCTCCTCAAATCAGTCCCCACTCATTAAAATCAGTCTCTGAACATGCAACAGCATGTCAAATCGGTAAATCTACAGCAGTTGACAAATGACTACTAGATAAGGTTCTAAATTATTATAACTACATGTGGGATATATGGATGTTCCATTTATCCATTTGATATACACTAACTTTATACATAATTCTCCAGGTCTCGAAGAGAGAATCTTCAGCTTTCTTCAGAATATAACAAACTACAGGAATCGTATAAACATTTGGAAGCCCTGAAGAAAAAGTTGGAGAACAACGAAATGATGTGGCAAGTCAACCTGACAGATGCCCAAAAAGATGCAGAAATGACGAAAAACGAGGTGAGGGGACGGAGTTTAACATCGATGCGACCCGCGCAACAGGTACATAACAATCATAATGTGTGGTGCATGGACCACAATTATTTTTGGTGTGGTGCTTTCCCCAAATGCCATACCCATTTCACCAGAAATGGGCTGGTGTTTTATAATTTTTTTTTATTTTCACCCAATCATTTTATTACTTTATAATTATGTCTAGATTCAATTTTTGGTTTTAGATTAAATTATATATATATAAAAAATAATCTATGAATCTTTGCAATTGTCACTTTAGTTTATTTTAAGTTATAATTATTTCTGTCCTGATGATCTTGTCTGTAATAATAATGATAATACACTTTGCGTTAATAATAGTAATATAAGAATGTAATTAAGGCCAGTCACATTAATCATTTACATGAAAAGATGTAATTTTGTTTTTGATATAAATAGACAGAAAATGAATGAACTCAATTTATCTATAGTGATCATGTTTATTATTTTTCTTATTGATATTATTCGTGTTGACTTTCATTATAAGATCTCTTAATGAACAAAGTACAATGTAGGCATTGTTTGGAAAGATACATATCTATTTTCTATTCTATGACCTTCGAAAAAATGACATAATTTTGAGGGGTTTATATACGCCCACATTGAAATAGTTACGTATACAGGACTGCAACTTCAAACTCTAGACGTGAAAGATCACATTGAAATTTTGTCGTATATAGTTTTCTATAATTTCTTGCTTAAACTCTTAAAGACTATATCACCCAATCTTTTTAGAAATTGATTAATTGTTAATAACATCCAGAGTTATTGCCCTTGATCACTGTAAAATCTTGATCTACTTGAAATTTATATGCAGATTATTGAAACAAAGAATCCCATCAAATTTACAATAAGTACAAAATTGAATGGTCAGCTTTAAACTGGACACAAGTACAAATTAGATGATTTTTGGTGATATTAAATGATTTTTACAAATTTTCAAAGTTTTGATATTGAATGAATGTTAAAAAAATTAATTCTAAATACCAAGATTAAATGATACCTGGGTTACAGTGATGGGACCTGTCAAATAATCTTATATTGTCATTAAGTGCATTAATGCAAAATAATATGATTGACAAATATATGTCCAGATAAATATTAACTTCCTTATTGCATCACCCATTATGATTTGCTTGTAGTACCCACCATGGGCCTAAATGTTGCCAGAAATATTTTATCTTCTCCAAAAACTATGCAATTCCATCTGAGCTAAAACTACTTACTTCAAATTTGCATAATATATTCTTACTGAAGTAAGCAGTGTTTTGTACAAAACAGAAAAAAAATAAATTGATAAGCATTGCTAATGTGTGATCAGTTGATTGTCACTTTACACTAGGGGCCGGGTATCATTCAGATTTGATGAAAAAAGGAAAGAAACTGAGCTTACCAACTATAATCTAATACACATATTCAGTTAATAGATTGCCATGCAGAAAGTATTAAATACCATCAAGATTCATCAAATAACGCCCAGTTTGTGCTACGGTTTAGTTTAAGAAACACCATTTAGTTTTTGACATCGGTCATCTAGTTTATGACCATTTAGTTTAGTTTTGATATTGGTCATCCAGAGGGGATCACGTGGCTAAGTGGGAAAGACGCTGGCTCGCTAGCCTGGAGGTCCGGTGTTCGATACCTGCATTGGCCGAGAAAGTTATCCATATTTTCCGGCGTGGTTCCCCGTTGTCAGTGATGCAGGACGGAGGGCCTGACAAGGACAGCTGTCTAGTCCTTCGGATGAAACGAAAAACCGAGGTCCCGTGTATACATTGGAATACACGTAAAAGATCCCTTGGCAGTTGGAATTCGATATAAGAGTAGGCGATAGTGCCGCTGCCCGGGCAAAATTTCCCTCATAGCACACTGTATGGCGTATGCCCGTCTTCATTAGCCCAGCATAGGAGCAGAACAGTAGGACGTTAAACCCCATTTCATTTCATTTCATTTCATTTTGGTCATCCAGTTTATGACTATTTAGTTTCATAAACTAGACAACCGATGTCAAACTAAACGGTAACACAAACTGGACGGTTTATGATGAATCTTGATTGTATTTAACACTTTCTGCATGGCAATCTATTAACTGAATATGTGTATTAGATTATAGATGGTAAGCTCAGTTTCTTTGCTTTTTTCATCAAATCTGAATGATACCCGGTCCCTAGTGTTAATAACTTGTACTTTTTTTCGAAAATATTTGCATAACCAGATACCCGATATTTTTTTCTGGCAACAATCCATGTTTATTTTTGCTATATATTTTCAATTATGATGTGTTTGTTTCTATTTGTAAATAAATTGCACAACATAAGTGTATATCTCACCTGGTTTTTTACTAGCTATAAAAATATTTTCTTAGGTCTTTGTATTTTACAATCATATATTTTGCCCGTATGTTGGTCTGTCATGAAAAGGAGAGTTCCTTGATGAAATGTGATGAATCGTAGAAGTTAGTCACAGCCTGAAGAGTTTGAATGGATTGTGCAGTGATATATTGTTAAATATTGAAAATGTGTCATCTGAAAATATCTATTCTGGATAAGCTACAATGTTTTTTTTTTATTTGTTAGTTTATTACCAACAAGGATTTTTTTTTACCTTGCTACTAAAATTTGAAATCATTTAGAGAAGTCAGAAGGGATTAAACTAATCAACTTTAAGAAAATCTTTTTTTATCTTTACTGCCTGCACATTGAAGTTACCCCATGGCAGACAGGATTTTGTTGACCAGTATATTAATAATAAATAACACTTGCATTTGTTTAACATTATTTGTTTTCAGTTATCTCACTCAGCAGAAAATATAGCAGCATTACAAGTACAGTGTAAAGATTATAGTGAAAAGATATCAAAACTAAATACTGATTTAACTGATATGTCCACAGATTATGCTGTACTAGCAGAGAAGAGCAAAATGGTTAGAATAGTTTTAATTATTTTTTTAATTTTGATTTATTCAACAAAATTATATCACTTGGTACAATGTACATGCATCCTGTTCCTCGAAGATTATCCCATGATGGATAAAACAACTAAATTGCAGTTCATTATCTAAAAATAACATTAATACCAGTTTCATCAAATATTCTATATACTGTTTACACTTTTCTTTCTCATATTTGATATACGTAGATATTTTATATACCCAGTCAGGGCTGGATTTACCTACTTATCAAACTTATTAATTGGTCTCCAAATTTATAGAAAGGTGGGTCTATACATATTGTACAGGGGTCTCATATATACTGAACTTAGTCTGCCTGTCTACAGTTAGCTCCACTAGACACTAAGCTAGGTGACCAACATTTTAAGTCCTAAATTGACGATTTTAGTTGAAAGCACTAAGTATACTTCGTGAATTTATTCTGCTTCCATTTAATAAAATTGAAAAAGTTTATTTAGTCTTTGTGTGTATGACAGATCTTTCACTTCGACAGGAAGTAATGAGCAAACTGTATCTCTAAAATACGATTGATGAACACCATTGGCACCTGGAACCACACTCTCAGAAAAGCCTGGTGCAATTCATGGCTGTGTTTGGTCTCGGTACGACGTTATTAAGTCTCCTCTGAATTTCATCCCAAAGATGTTCAATCGGGTTTAAATCCGGACTAAGGGCTGGCCAGTGCATAATGTTGACACCGTTCTGCTGTAGAAAGTCCCAAGTAACTCTGGCGGTATGGGCACGGGCGTTGTCATGCTGGAAAACGTTGGTTTGATGACGTGCGAAATGTATGACATGGGGTCTGGAGGCTTGATCAATGTAGCGCACTGCTGTGATGCCACGTGACGTCCTCTCCCTGGACCAAGATTTTGGAACACCACAGGACCCACTCTCTGGTTCAGGCCGATTCCACACAAAACCATTATGCTTGGACCTCCCCACGGGGCTCTTCGATGACATATTGGTCAGAATGATGCTGGCCACGTTGACGCATATTCTGGTCCTGCCGTCTGAAATTGAAACGCATTTCCAACTCTCATCTGTGAACAGAACAGTTCTCCATTCTGTGTCGCCAGTTCTGGTGTTGTTGGGCAAACTGTAGACGTTCACGTCGATGGCGAGGGGTGAGGATCGGTCCACGGTAAGGTCTACGGCAATGGATGTTCTCTGGTGAGACGTCAGCGCACTGTATCAGTACTGATGGGTCTTCTGTGTGTTCTGACTGTCTGACGTGCTGTCTCAGATGTCTGTGTGAAGGGATTCTGCACGTGCTGTCGCATAATATGGCGGTCTTGTCGCCTTGTCCGAACATTGACCTGGAAGCGAGTGGCAACAGCTTGGGCACTGTGGCCAGCGTTGAGTCTTCCAAGAATGATACAACCAGGTATGGGGTGCATTTTATAGGGCTGGTCCAGGCGAACAGCACGTGCAGCATGAGCTACACGAAAATAATGGAGCCCACATTACCATCTCAGAAGTCAGGTTGCGTTTTTGAGAACATTTCCTGGGTTCAAATTTTGTGTTTGGGAAGGAGCCTAATTGTTCAGATGTGGTCACAAATATACAATATTAACATTTGGCAAGTTTTATGCAATGCGTCTATTCAGAGTAACATACCAACCTGATGTTTCTATTGCTGCTTAGTATATAATTTCAAATAATAATATCCGATTAGGCATGCTTCTATATTTTACATGCCGTATGAAGGCACGGTAAATGAGATTCAGCTATCAAAATATTTAATTCTCTTCGAAAGAACTGTCGGACATTTTGATTATTTCCACGTTTTTGGGTTTTTTTTAGATATCAAATAATCACCGGTAAATTAATCATTAGGAGTAAATATTGCCTTGAGATAGGCTTTATCTTTATATATATCATTGACAATTATCAATCAACTAATCATTAATCCAAGACAACTGATTAGTATTACTCATTGACGCGATCAGGATTATTGGCCTTTTGATTAATTTATAGTATTCTGCCACATGATTAGAATTTTAAGATTTTATTCCGCTAGTTTTCAAAAAGAATCGCCAGGACCCCATAGTATTATCGCCAAAATCAAATTTTAATCACCACCTTCATATTTTTATCGCAAATTGCGACTTTAGTGACCAACAGTATGAGCCCTGCCTATACTTATTGTACAGGGGCCCTTATATATTAAATAAGAAATAGAAATTAGTTTCAGTGGACCCCCAGATATTGGTAAATCCAGATATAAATACAGTACAGTTCATGCACACATTTATGGCCAAAAATACATTTTCACATGTTCTACATATAGTTTTTTCGACGTGTAATTTCTTTAATATATAATCTCCCATTAGAAATATTACATCTTTAAAATACCATGTTTAACTGCTGTGTTGAATTAGTGTGAGCAAGTCACAAGAGTCTTGATCATGTTGTGTTTGTTCAACTCTTCATGGATTCTGTTTAGGTTTGAATATTATCAACATGAATGTTTATATCACTCTAAATCGTAACGGAAAAATTTGTCACTTATCGTTTTTCAGGGAAGTAACTCACATCAAAGTCACAACATCAATGTTTTCGACACATTCTTCGTATATTATGGCTTTACTGATTAAATCTTTTTAAAAATATTCTTGAAAAGCTTTTTATCTGTTTTTACTAATGTCTCTGACCATATATAACTTGAAATCAAGTGCACTGAAACACAATACTCAGAAACTCCTTTACAATTTGTGCATATCTTTCTTTTACATCTTATTATGAACTTAATCAACTTGTTAACCTGGACTATATTATCGCCTTCATACTATTTTGAAGCATAGATGCCTGTAATGTGGAAAATCTTTTTAAACTAACATTAAGCTGTGACTGAGTATTATGTCTAACTAAAGTTGATTACGTTCATGTTCCTAAGCGAGATTATACAATTCAGGGGCAAATAACTTGTCTGAAACCAATTCTCTATCAACAGTATAATATAACACAATACCAAAGAAAGGTGAGATCAAAATCATCAAAGTCTACTACCCTACATTCCGTCAACATATCTTCTTGTTTAAGACATCTACTCAAATACATGCGCAACAATCAACAATAGACCATGATACTGTACATGGTAGACTAGGTTATCACACATCAACAAACAGCAATCATCAATTTCTTACTATTAAGCTATAATAAATTGTTATTAACTCATTCTAAATAAATTTCTTCTTTTTTTTTTTTTTTTTTAAACAGGTTTCGTTAATATCAAGTATACCATTACTTCTGTTGTTGTTTGGCTTCCTGATGGCCTTGTACCCAACCTTGTCAGAAATAACTAACACCAGCTCCTAGCCTATAGCCTTCATGTGGATATTGTAACATATAGACCACTGTGGCAGCCTTCGAACGCCATATATCTTAACTTATTGAAAAATAGGACAAATAATAGAAAACCCAACAGGGTTGTACACAATTTATTTACAATTCATTTTCTTTAATAAATATTTTATCACTTATTAAAAGATTGTTTTTAACTCTGATTATCCACTATAATGTACTTATCCGGACGTAATTCTAAATTTGAGGGAAGAAAGTAAAATATCACTAAGTAATTATTATCTTAGAGAAATCTGTTTTTAACTCATGTTATCTATAAAAATGTACTTATAATCCTGATATAACTCTTGATTTCATGGAAGACGGTAAATTCCAGTGATATTCTGGATTCTGGACTAAGCAGCTCAATACATGTATTTTCATTATTTGTCCTGTTTGTCTCAAGTAGATGTATGGTGTATCAATTTATAACCTCAATGTACAGAATGAAACATGTACAATCTGTATATATATATATTAGTGTAATGTCGTACATGTTGATAAAGTAAATAGGACCATGTATCTTAATCACAACATTAACTGTACAATAAACACAACATTATTACTAATTTTGTTGAAAATTATTTATGATTATTTATTATGTTTTAATAATGAAATTTTGCAAGTTCAAGTCTGAAAAAAATGTATGTAGAAGCCTTATGTCGATGAAATCAAATTTAATTTCTTGTATTACTATTACCATATATAAATTTTGTAAGCATATTCCTATTAAAAACAAGATAGAGCATTTAAATTATGAGGTTATGATCTGTTTATTATGTACATTTAAGAAAAATTTATGAATAGATTACTGAAATGGGAGCATAATTTAATTTAAAGGTCATCGGAAAAGCTTCATAAATTTTTTAAATAATGAAAGCAATTATGTCAACTTGGATTATTTAAAAAAAATTATGAAGCTTTTCTGGTGACCTTTAACATGATTCAACATTGGAACTCGTTTTGCTATTAAAATAATCATCATAATGAAAATAGGGCTTGTTTAGCATCATGTTTTCATTTACTTGCATTTCATACTTAAAAAATACAAAAGTTTATTCATACGCATGTTTTTGTTAACTATTAATAGTTTATTGAATATGCAGTTGTATGTATAGAATGTACATAAGCTAATCTAAGAATAGGTATATACATATATTATATTAAGATATATGTACATTTAGTAAATGAAATTTAAATATGGTAGAAAATCTATTACGAAGTTATTATTGTAAATATATGTATATTAGTTTCACCAAACATTTTGTATTTAGATATGCCCACATTTAATGCATTATATTTATTGTTTCTTTTGTGCTAAATCATTTATAAATGTATAAAAAAATAATCAAATAAGTACCTTATCTCTCAATAAAAACAAATGGTATAAACTACCTTTTTTTTTAAATTTCTAATGATGTATTATTTCAACAAACTTTTTCTTTAAATTAAATTTAAACATTTTAGAAGTGCCAAAATTGTTACTAGGAAACAATAAATTCCTTGACAGTTATTATAGGTGTATCTATATATAAATCTGACAGGAAACATGTCAATATGGGGTATTTATTAAATACAGATAGGTTTTTTTCTTAATAACTTTGTCAGATTGTTCATTGGGTGTTAATTACAATTAGTAGAGTTCTTTGAAAAAACTACAGGATAGTTTATAATTGATCTTTAAGAAATTGAAATTCAGTTGTGCCATTTAGAAAACAGTTAATAAATAGAAGTATAGAAGACCAAATCATCAATTAAAATTATCTTGAATGCAAAAACAAAAGAATGTTCTCCTTGCTAAAAACATATATCACATGTTAAAACATTGATCATAAATGAAATAATTTTGGTCAAATAGTTCAGCCAACTCTTAAGCATTGTGTTAATTAGCTAATATTCACACAAGGTCATCGGTGGGAAAAAACCAGATGGACACATTCTGAAGATTTCATTTTTTCCTCATATATGGTTTAAACTGCTGTCTGTTTGCATTCCTTTTTAGTTGTGCATTAATTCGTCTTCATTTACCCCCCCCCCCCTTTCTTTAACATATTATTTATTTTAATTTATTGGCTATGAATTTTTTCTCCGATATGTTTCTGATTTATGCATGGAAATATAAGTTCAATCATGGAGGATGAATTACATATAGCATTATAAACCAGCATGATATGGTTGTTCATCTCGGCTCTAAATAATAAAATTTTTAAGTTTTTAGTTACGTTTACATAATATACATAATCACAATATTTTGGTTTTCATGTTTAATAAATTAAAATTAAAAACTACATTGATCTACGCTGCTAATTTTTAATACCTCATTAATCAGTCGTATAATAATAATATAATTGAGATGCGGAGATGTAACAGAACATGCTGTGTTTTTTTTACAAACACAAATGTTTTAAAGCCTCAAAAAGGCTATGTTGTAATAATAGTGTCAGAAATTGGAATAATTGAGTAATTTCAACAGTTTGATATATTGGGATTTGTCATTGTTTACCTGAGATACGGAAAATGCTGTTGTGTTTATTTCTTAATAATTCCTCTTAGTAAAGAATATTGAACTGTTGTGACATCTCTTGAAAAATAAATCAAGGTAAATTTTAAAATGTGATGCAGAAATAAATCAATACAATGGCTAAACCATGGTTTCAAACTGTTTAATTACTTAGATGTGCTTTTCAAATCTCTGATACTTTAAATGAGGAGGAAAAGGGTCAAATTATCATTAGTTTCGTGATGTTTTTCGCTGCTGAGTATTTCAATTGTATTTCGTGTACCCATCATTTTCTGACCCCTCCCATTGATTTTCATCAAATTACAAAATTTGTATTTTTGGGGCTTTAAACACAAGGAGTATTTTTTGTTGTGTTGCACTTTATACTTTTTTTTAGTTTGACTTGTTTATGTTTAAAGATTTTCCTATAATCTTTATTATTTTTTTTTTTGTTTTCCTATTATATATGATTCACTTTGTTTTGTTATTGGCCATTTTTTTTAATAAAGTGCTATCTCTATATATGCAGTTTATTTCGACTAAAAGGGAAAAAACAAATTTAATATAGAAACAAATTTGAATTTTATCTATCCTATGTAAATTGAAATGTATCTTCAGTTTCGTTGAAAATAAATAACAAGATGTATACTATATACATGTACACAATTTTAATTACGATAAACAAGTTATTTGTGTTCTAGTTGATACCCTGAAAATCCTGCTGAAGAAAGAAACCTACAGTCTATTGATCATTGCACAAACTTTTTAAACGCCAAGCTGTTTGTGATCTAAAACAGGACTGTCTGTGTATCTGATATATACGATTTGAATGAATTTCTTTTTGATCTGAATTTAATTCAAAATTGTCATTTTTCTGGGATTTTTAACATAGATTGTAGAAACTATAATTTGTAAAACTATAATATTTTTTTTTATTAGTGACTGAACTACGAACATGTTATGTTGTTATCTTGCATTCAGGAAAGATCTGATTTGAATGTCATCTTATTCAGTTAATGTACTTGTATTTGATAAAAAAAACTCAACAAATATCTGTAAAAATGTAATCCTGTTTCTTCTTGTTGACTGGTGTTTACGTTTATGTAACAACACCTATTTAAAAAAGAAATTTATTTTTATACTTTGCATATTGTTGGTATTTGTTAAGGTTCAATTAAGAGAAATTTTATCACATGATAAAAACTAAGAGAAAACAGAGGTTTCTTTATTCATAGTGTTTATGTGCAGGACTCAAACAGTTAAAGTTATCATCTGAATTAAAGCATATTTTTCATATAATAAAAATGTTATCACTAAGAAAAACTAGAAGCCAATCAAATTTTTATTTCTAATAATTACTTTATGGGTTGCTACTCTTGATCTGATTTTAGTCTATTATAAATACTCAAATTACATACAAAAGAATATATATGCAACAACATATTTTGTGGACTGCTCAGATGATTTAGCCGCTGTGAGCATGTTTCATTGCAACCTATCTTTATTTCAGCTAAATGCAACAGTAAATACATTTTTGTATTGTAAAATAAGGATGTAGAATGACGTGTAAATAATAAAGTTGAATATCACCAACCTACTACTAACTAGATCAAACAGCTCATCACTTCCATAAGGGAGGAGGAGCTGTGTGGTTTATTTGTACCCCATCTGTTTTGTATCATGTTGAGATTGTAACTTATGTAATCTAATAGTCTTAAAATTAAATAATTTAATAAAGACATTTGTTTCAAACAATATTCTTGATATTTTTTATAATTGAGATGGGACTAGTACTCTTTCAAGGCCATTTTATTAAGTCACAATCTCTTGTTAAAGATCCCATCGCGAAATCACAACCTGTGTATCATGAATGTAACCATACCCCCACCAGCAGCAAAATCTCCCATTGCCTACAAAGTTTTAATACAATCCCACAAAAATCCACGAAGCACTTTGGGTTTATTTTCGCTGTCCCAGGTTTTATAGAGGCATAAATTTCAATAGGAAGCTTCTGTATATTGATGAAACTTCCCTAAATTCAGTCGCACACACGCAAGCTTTAACAAAGTCAAATCAGAACTTGGAGATAAATGACATTTCTGAATTTTGACTGGGGTTTTTTTCCAATGCATTTTTATTTACAATGTCCTATGAAATTTCAAACTGCCTCTAAAAACATTATGAAACTTGTATCCATTAACTTAACAAATTGGTTCCTCTCCCTTTTATAATATTCGGTGCGATTTAGTACTACCTAACATGAATCAGTCTGGCATTAACTGAGTAAAAACTATAATATTTTTCATGAAAACTGCTATTAATAATAAATGTCATTTTTGCATTAGGTGAATGGTAAACAGCTAAATTCAATTAAGGAGTGGTCTACAGTGTTCTCTTTTAATTTGAAAGTCAGTCAAATGGTCGAATGTCTAGACCCCGGAATTTTAAACTTTCTCCTTCCAATGCTAAAGACACCCCCCCCCCCCCCACACACACACACACACACCTCTCTCCCTCTTTCTCTCTCTGTGACAGTAGATACAGTTTTAAGGACATTGCCCTAATTTAAAATTGTTAATACCACGCAAATATCGAAAATAATAAATATGATGTACAGAAAATAAATTAATCAATACTATTAGTCAATATAATCACGACAATGTGTGTTGACACATCAGTAATAATTGATATACTATAATATTTTATGTCATTAAACCTGAGGCCAAATAGATCTGGACGTTAAATTAATCAGATTATTCTATCCTGTTGCCACCTCGTATATGACCATTAATATTACTAATCTTGTGAACTTCGTTTCAGAATATAATTCTTAGTAAATGTTAATGAAAATCGATGGATTTGTTGGATGAATAAGGAAGTGCTCTATCGAAATGAAATGGTGTTTAATATACTACTGGACTGGGGATGGGCATAGGCTATGAGAAAAATTTTGCGCGGACTGCGGCGATACGGCCAGCTCTTATATCGGATTCACACTATCAAGGGTTATTTTATGTGGACGCCTAAGTGTACACGGTTTTTCGCCCCCGCCCCGAACGACTAGACACCGTTCCATATCAGGCCCTCATCCTGCAACACGGTGCTACCACGCCAGAAAATCCTGAGGAATTTTGTCGGCTAACACCGGGAGCGAATCTCAAGGTTAGCGGACCAGCGTCTTATACACTGTAGAAATTCTAAATTTTCGGATGGTAAATAATGCAAGTATTTCAGCCTACAAAATTTGTCAACGCTATCTGTACAGGACAAAGTTCCCAAATCATTTTTATTTTTTTTTATTTTTTTTTTTCAAATTTGGTAGGATGGGTTATTGAGACACGAGGGATAACTCGTTCGAAACAGAATATTTTTTGTCGGATTACAAAATTGTAGGCCTATGACCTTTCTTGCATTTTGCCCTTTAAACAATATGTACGTTAATAAGACAGAAAAGAGATAGAAATTTATCATAAAAAAGAAACAACCACAAGTTCATAATTAATACATGCAACAATGTATGAATTTATGGTTAATCAAATCGGGCGAAAGACAGTAATTAATTTTCATTTAGATATTTTTAATTAAAATTAGTTGGGCTCGGAAGGCGTTGCCGGAATCCATGCTTACGTCTATTAGCTTGATGTTTGCGAGATTTTCTATAATAGAATTATTAATAATTATTGACAGGTTAGGCTGAATATTTTCTTCTTTTCCGTTTAGTAGTAATTACCATACATTTAGTTTTTTGTTCATTTACAAGCATAATTTGGCACCATTTGAGTAGTGAATCGGTATCTATTTGTAATTTAAATTGACGGTCAGACATGTTATTCGCAGCAGTATAAACCGTAGTGTCATCGACAAATAGGTCACAGTAGGAGGTGGAGGGGAAAATCATTTATAAAAATTTGAACAGTAAAGGCCCTAGGATGGAGCCCTGCGGGATTCCATCTATGACGGGCTGAAACGTAGATGCATTTCCATTACCGGTAGCAAATGTACTCTGGCACCGTTGATGTAAATAAGAACTAATGAAATTAATAGTATTGACTGAAAGTTGGTACAAATTACATTTATCTAACAAGATCGAAAGCCTTTCTAAAATCGAAAAATATTACACCAATAAGATTAGTTTTATTTAGGGCTTCATAAAAGTTTTCAGTCATATTGGTAAGGGCAGTCAAACAAGAATGTTTATTTCTGAATCCGGATTGATAGGTATTCATCAGATTATGTTTATTCAGATAACCGTAAAGATTACAATGACTATGTCTTTCAAGTGTCTTTGAAATTGTTGGAAGTATTGATATCGGCCGATAATTATCTGGATCAGTTTTTTGTACATTTTTATGAACAGGCAACAGCTTCGCCCTTTTGAAGACTTTTAGAAAATAATGTGATTTAATACACAAGTTACATATATATGTTAAACTATTTGACAGATAATATGAACCTACCTTGACGAAACGGGGATTTACCATGTCGACACCTACCGACTTAGTAATGTCTAGTGAATCTAAGGCCTTGCATACTTCATTAACTTTTATTAAAGGAATGCCAAATTCGGTAGTTTGAGGTAATTTTGATTTGATGAAGTTTTGGAGATGACAGTCAGTATTAGATTTGTATTTGTTGATATTATCCTTTATTGGTATGTCAGCTATATTTGTAAAGTGATTATTGAAGAGTTCAGGATCAATGGGGAGAGAGTGGTGTAACACTATCTTAGTGATAACAGTAGACCAGTTTAGTAAATATAGGATTTATTCTGTTCGTCTCTTGTTGACTTCAGTTATATACCTTCTGATCATAGATAAGATCATGGTCATACATGCAATTGTCTCTTTTATCTCGTCATAGCATGCTTAATGACCAGTACGTATATCCTTTGAAATAATGCGGAGCTTGTACATAGAGCATGTATAGCTTGTAAAGGACATATTGAATTAATTACATGTTTAATTACAACACAGACAATACAGAGTTAAAAGGTCAATCAATATTATATATATTATCAAGTAGCATGGCTGCGAATCAAGGCTCACACTGGCTTTCAATTTCTTTTCCACCAAAATGAATAATAGTTTTTATATAAAAAAAATGTTTATATTTTTTTTCTGCCAACTAAAGTATTTTATCTGCCAAAAATGTGTGATAACATGTAACAATTTTATTTCATTACCGGTATACAATTTACAACACCTTACAAAATCCGTCGTTACATAAAACATTAGCCCAGTTTTAAGATGATTTACTAAAAAATCAGGCTCTATTTTTGGTGACTTTAGTCTTTTCGCACACCGTTATTGGTGTTATTGCACAATATATTTTCAGTATTTACACGTCAAATCGCATCCAAGGATTGTCAATTTTCTATAAATTTATGTTTTGCGTGTACACTAGCACTATTGTTATTTTCAGGTGCGCTCTGTATCATAAAGTCTGTCATTGAGTCAATTGGCGCGGTTTCGATTCCCCGGTTGTACGTGACAAGGAGTAGGGTCGCCTGTCCAACCTCGTGGTTTTTTTTCGGGTCCTCCGGTTTCCTCCCACTGCTAAAGACCCCTACGCGCAAGCGAATTATGGAAATGTAATTGAACCATATGTTAGTCCCGAAATGACCTAGTGGACGTTAAACCCCATTTTTCTCTCTATCTCTCGCATTTTGGCGGCCGTAATGAAACATATGGCGGGCTGTTTTCTCACTCGAGAATTGTCGTTACGTATACGACTAATGGTTATAATATAATTCGAAATAATAATATCCGATTAGGGCATGCTTGTATATTTTGCATGCTGTATGAAGTCACAGTAAACGGAATTCAACTATCAAAATATTTAATTCTCTTCGAAAAGGATTGTCGGCCATTTTGATTATTCCCATTTATTTTTTTAAGACGAAACGAAACATTAAATAATCACCGCTTGGATTAATTATTAGGAGTAAATAATGACTTGAAACAGGCTTTATATATACCATTGGCAATAATCAATCAAGTAATCATTAATCCATGACAATTGGTTAGTATTACTCATTGGTACGATCCGGATTATTAGCGAGGTAATTAATTTATAGTATGCCGCCACCGCCACGTGAACTATTGACACTCAATATAACGGTCAATCCAGGATATATACGACTAGAATTTTAAGATTTTTGTCGCCAGTTCTCAAAAAGAATCGCCAGTACCCTAAACCTTTTTCGCCAAAATTATCGCCATAATCAAATTTTAATCGCCATTTTCATATTTTTATCGCAAATTGCGACTTTGGCGACCGACAGCGTGAGCCCTGGCTGGAGGTCACTAAGTTCTAAGCACCTAAATGACCGTTCAATTTGAGGGAAGTTAAAGAGTACTTTGTTACAGTGGGTCATGTTATTTATTGCATTCCAAATTTGTTTAGAGTTGCGACTGTCGGAAACAAGGCTTTTTAAATACTCAGATTTAGAAGATCGGATCATGGAATTTAGGCTGTTTCTACATTTTTTCAACATATTTCCTTTCTCCTTGTGATAATCCCTATTGCGCATCATTTTCAATATTTCATTGGTTAACCAGGGTGGTTTAATGGCAGTTTTGACACAGTTTTGAGAGGAGCGTGCTAATTTATAATTGGGGTTAGAATTTTATAACATAAATCAAGACACTCACCGGATTATCGGAGTGAAGTATATTATCAAAGGCTGCGGAGGCTGTCATTCAGGTAGTTGGCTTCGTTGAATTTTTTTGAATGATCTATAACTGATATAAATGTGTCTTGTTTTGGGTATTTTGATACCCCTTTTTCCGCCAAGTAAAGCAGATTGGAAAGTGATCAGAAATAGAGCATGTGGGGACAACAGATTCAATAATATTATTGAGAGAAGATACAATGGCATGATCAATCAATGTGGAAGATCTATTCGATACACGTGTTGGACTTGTAATGATTTGTTTTAGATGGTAATTATCTAGAATATCAGTCCAGTATTTATTGAAGGATTTAGCAGATCGATGTTTATCAAGTCCATCATTTCCTTAAAATCTGTTAACCACTTAGATATTGATGCAGGGTTTCTATCTGTACACGAAATTAATATAGGCTGGGTTTTTTTTCAAATTGATTTCAACCCAGACCGACTCAATATTACTGTGTTCAAAATCATTTATTTGTTTACTTTTAAGTGACTCTCTTACATAAATTATGGTTCCAGACGAGGTTGCGATGCAACCATCTTTATGAAATAGGGGATGAAATCTAGGTATAGTTAGATAATCATCCTTGATGTTTTGATTTAAATGTGTTTCTGAAAAAACCTACTATATCATAGTTTTCAACTAACAGCTTTAGTTCGTCTAACTTGTTATATTATAAATGACACACATTTAGGTGCTAGAAGCGTAGGTCCCTTTGAGTTAAGAAGTTTTACATAGAGCTTAATCTTATTTTCTGATATAATTTTTCTTAAATAATAAATAATAAAAAAATAAATCAATATCTAGGGAAAATAAATAAGTGCTGGTTTTACACTAGAATCAATTACGTATTACCCAAGGTGAGATGAAAACAATACATAAATGAATGCGTACACGTACCTATAAAACAATCACAAATACGAATATCTGCATGCAATAAACAAGAAAAATGCTTGTTTACACTAAAGAAAAATGCTTATTTACAGGACAATTACTATCGACTTAATAAAATATACCTATAAATTAATCACAAATACAAACAGATTTTGTGCATGCAACAAAAGTAGTAAAGTGACATGCACACATTATCAAGAAAGGGGTAGGGGAATTTGAGCATCTATGGAGTGTGCAGTTGAACTTAATCCTGTGTCGTCTCATCGATGTCAAATAGAATGACATACCGTAATTTACAACTTTGTATTCATATGAATATTACACTTGTGATAATTATGTTGATAACACTTTAAAGAAGATACTTCATGATAGACTTGTATGCGACTTCATTATGTTTACATGAATGACTTTTCAGGAACTACACACAAGGTAGATGATATTAATGGTTTTTAGAAAATTAATCGAAAGCTAGGAATAGGTACACAGATAGCTATTCTAGTTCACACTTATATATATATATATATATATATATATATATATATATCTATATCTGAAGCACTTTAAACTCAAGCTAGGAATTAGCAGACCGAGAACTAGTCTAACCCGTAGTACTTTAAACACATGCTAGGAATGTAGCACACACAATTGCTAGATTAGCCTACATACGTATAGCACACACAATCGCCAGCTTAGCTCCTACATACGTATAGCACACACAATCGCCAGCTTAGCTCCTACATACGTATAGCACACACAATCGCCAGCTTAGCTCCTACATACGTATACAGAAAAATATGGAGCACTATACTGCGATATAAACAACTTAGAAACATAACATGTAACTATAGAAACTATTTCTGTAGTTAGCATCGATAGCACTGATCAGCACCCAACAGTATGTATACATGATGTATTGTAGCACTACATGTTATGTACATGAAATATACATATGAGTAGCTTAGTTCCTGGAGATTGGAGGTCATATCAGCTACTTTGTTAATCTTCATTGAAAATGATTTTGATATGTGTACACGGGGTGGTGGAGGAAATCTTGTGTCTGGTAGTGGTAGTTGAATATGTAGCTGCCAGGGTGCATTCATTAGATTTCAGGGAGTTTACGGGTGTACCCTCGTATAGGTTGAGGGCTCCTTTGAGTATTGAAGCCAGTCTGACAGAGCCATTAAGGTTAAGGTGAGGCTCGTTGCGATAAAGATGATGCTTGATTTTATATCGTTATGGTGATAATCTGGTTGAAGTTTCTAATAAACTTGATTTTAGTAGCAGCACACACTTCTTGTAGCACATTATTTAGGGTGTGAATAGGTTTATTAATGTTGTTCAGTCCTGGCAAGAGCTCAAGAAAATTCACATTTGCTTTTGGGAATTTGTGTTTTTAAAGTTTAATAAGAATATAAGGTACGAATTCTTGCAATCATTGAAATCAGTATGCGGAGAGGCATTATTTGATCCAATCAGGAAAGCGAGAGAGAGAGAGAGAGAGAGAGAGAGAGAGAGAGAGAAATGGGGTTTAACATGGTTCAATTTTATTTCAATAATTCGCTTGCGCGTAGGGGTCTTTAGCAGTGGGAGGAAACCGGAGGACCCGGAGAAAACCCACGAGTTTGGGCAGGCGACCCTACTCCTTGTCAAGTACAACCGGGGATTCGAAACCCCGCCAGTTGACTCAATGACAGACCGTATGATACAGTGCAGCGCGCACGTGCTAACCATTCGGCCATCCAACCCCCCAAACAGAAAAGCATTTTTCAAAGAATTTGTATGTATCTCCTATTTTGCCACCACTATATGTACGTACTGCTGTGTCACACCTACATCTGTATTTTAATTGGATTGCTAGTACATCGGATGCCTGAGATTAAAAAGGATTAAAACGCCCGCAAGATTTCATAATTTAACGATAAAATGGATAAGCGAGACTTAGACTAGTTTGTCCAGTACCGTTGCAACGATAATAAACTATCTACGCTACTTATTCCAAAACTAAGAACGGTCAGTTCTTAATCTAAATCTTAATTTAAAAGTTCTAGATATACTATCCAACTAATATGTTATTCTATCCCATTAGTGCCAGTTACCCAGTGATGTTATCTTTTATTAGTACTTGATACTAGTAATAACTATTGTTGGAACTATTTACTTAGCTATTAATCACTTGCATGCTTAACCCACATTAACTAGCTGAAACGAATGGTATTATTATATTCAACACAATTAAATCACTTTGAAATTACATTTACTCAAAAAAGATAAACCTCTGTAACTTAGTTTAAATAAATGTGGAATTGGATTTATCCGATGTCGATTAGTGATGGGACAAAATTTAAAACTTACTGGGTATAAAATATTAAAGAATGGAAAAAAACCACAAAGGATATTTACCGTTAATGAAGGGCTGGTAACCTTGAGTGCATGACATTATAAGCCATCGACTATTATGACCAGGTTACCTGGTATTTGTAAGAATAAGATTTCAACTTTTTTCATAAAGGGTATATCCACTCCCCCAACCCCGTCACAAAATGGTCAGACAATTAAAAGGTGTTTTCTAGGCGTTAAGTCATTTCATTAAGTTGAATTCAAATTGCTTGCCGATATAATTTCACGTGAAATCCATATTGTCCCAAGATACATTTGAGTGTAATCTCATATGGATAATATGGCTATCATGATGGATCCAGATTAGACCATGCTCAACTTATTGCATTCTTAACACTGACTGATATGGTGCACGACCTATCAATTAGAAGACTTAATTATCGCGTTTTTACGTTGCCTTTGATCCGTATTATTTTATACTTTATTTGTAATACTTAATGTTTAGATTTAAATATAAATAGAAGTCCTACTGAAAACAGAAATTGGATTTAAATTTAGCTCTAATAAGAGATCCAAAATATTTACAGACATTAAACAAAGAATCCTCGAATTTTTTAAAATTAAAATGGCATCTTGTGTCCGCACATGTCTTGCCGAGCGATCGTGTTACTTTTATAGTTGCTTTTGCGATCTTTAGTAAAATATAAAAAACCAAAAGTAAAAGGGAAAATTCTTATCTAAAAGCGATGTTTTCGAGGAGAAAATTTATAATTGAAAAAAAAATCCATCTTGAAATCGTCCAAATTATAATATCTGCTGTCAACGTTTGACTTTCGACTTTGGTTTTTTTTTTCAAACATAATTTCTCTAATGGAATTACTTCTACCGACTGGTATAATACGGGAATAAATCACTAAAACACGTCAATCTTTCAGACTAACAGTCATCTGCAGTGATATATTTGAACGGTTTTTAAAATCGAATGAAAATTTGCGACCTCTAGAGGGTCCACGAGCTAAAAACACGATTGTTCGTACAATCGGAAGCATAATTATTCAGAGAGTGTCGGCTTCATGTGCACCAATCTCGAAAGGACACGAGATCATTGGGATATAAAAATACTATTTAGGTTTTATCAAAGTCGGATAAAAATTGTGACCTCTGGATTGTTCACAAGCTAAAAACTTGATTTTTTCGTACAAATAGAGCCCATAATCCATAAGTTTCGTCAAAATCGAATAAAATCGTTCCCTGTAGAGTGTCCACAGGGACAGGGGAGACGATAATGTAATACGTCCATATGAAAATGTTGGCGTATAAAAAGTGCCCTCTCTTCTTAAAAAATGCTTTCCCGTCTGAATTAGTACCCTCCCTTCTGAAAAATAATTCGAATTTCGAAAGAGTTACTTGAAATACTCATGGAAATGCCCACATCAGTGTCATCATATTCCAGTTCCCCTATATTAATGACAATATAGTGCCCTCTTTACCTGCTGCCCTCCCCTTGTTCCAACTAAATCCCGTGACACTACACTGTTAAAAATGGGTATAATTAAAAACTATAAGCAGTGTTAATTAAGTGTAAACTTTACACCACAGCTAGCGTTTTTTTAAATGTAATACCTTTCCAAGGGTAACCAACTAAAAGAACTACACCTAACAAGTATAACCGATATTCATGACGATTGAACACCTGAATAGGTGTAACTGTGGGGTGTTTTGGATGAGCTACACCACTACCAGTGTTATACTGCATTTACACCGAAGGGTGTAACTATTATTCGGGAATAAATCATAGAAAAGCGTTAATTTTACAGCGTTTATTGGGTTGCAAAAGTGTAATCGCTATTCACGAGTACTGAACACCGGGATTGGTGTAATTTGGTTGCAAAAGTGTAATCGATATTCACGAGTACTGAACACCGGGATAGGTGTAATTGTAGCCACTAAAGGTCTTTGGGGTGAGCTACCCCTCTACAAGCGTTTTATTGCATTTACAATTACACCAATAGTTGTAATTATTTTAGGAAAACATTCCTCCGAATAAGGTGTCAATTTAATACCGTATCTTGCGTTACAAAAGTATTTTTGTACTCCAATTTGAGCGTTTTTTTTTGTAAAATATGTCGTTAATTGCACTAGTTACACAACTATAACTCGTTTTAGAGTGTTTACTCATAACTAGTAAAGTATACATTATTTTAGCTTGTATAATACACTTAAAGACGTGTAATTGTTCAAATATTACCAAATACAATATCTTAATTAATAATTCTTAATTCAGGTGGGGTGTATAATTGAATAAGTTGTAAGGATATGTGTATTGATTTTTCCTCATGCCCAACAGCAGTTGAATTTGAATCAGTCTGATGGGTATTTGTCAATTTAATGTCGTTGTAAAATGAAGCTAAGTAGCCGACGATCTATATGTAATCTGGGTCGGGCTAAGCGCCCTTTACTAATTATCATAGAGACCGATAGTCAATTTCAAGTTTTCTGTACTTAGAGGTCGTTGGATTGAAATAAATATCCAACAAAACAAATTACACCCGCGTTGGTTTAATAATTAAAATGGAAGTGTAATTTACAAAACATCCTTGGGGCGTAATGCTTGATCTACACCCACGGGTGTAAACTATTTAAGTGTAACATTACACTGAGTGCATCAGGCAGGTTACACTACTGGAAATAGCAATAAGTGAAACCAGGTCGGAAAATCCCGATGAACTTTCGCGGCCAATGCAGGGATCGAACACGCGACCTACGGGCTAGCGAGCCAGCGTCTTACCCACTTAGCCAACGTGGCTCCCTTGATTAATTGTGATATTACATATGCCTATAATGCTTATAGCTCGCGCTTTGAATGTCCATCTCATTCCGCCATTTGTCGATAAAGGATAAAGCACACGACGGTGACACTTTTCTCTTAAAAAGTGTTGTTTTACAATTTTTTTATGTAGCTGAACGGGGGAGGGGGATAGACCCCACCCCGACCCCCACCCCGACCCGACCCCACCCCCTCTGTAAGGAATACCAGTGACTATTGACGCCTGTTTTATCTCTACTCATTTGTGGTTTACTTCTTAGTTGTTGCTAACTATGATCATATTCAGGTCGTCAGGATTTAATCATAATATTTCAACCAAGTGTCAAGGTATTGTATGCCATGGCTCAGATATACATCAAATTTCTCGGTGCTGCCCCCCCCCCCCCAAAACACACGAAAAAAAAAAAACAAACAAAAAAGAATAAAATGGTTTAAGTTTGGTCTACCCACCTTAGCCCACTTAGCAATTTTATTGTAAGCCGTCGTACACAATGAAGAGCCCAAACACCAATATAGGTGTATTTTTAGTGTAAAATACCCCAAAACGATCACCGCTATCCCTGGTAAACGACAATAGATGATCAGAACTCTTTAAAAGAGAATCTGGTTTACGAGTATCTAGTTTAATAAAATCCAGAATAAATGGACGAATATAATGGGCATTTGGTGATTTTTAGAATAGCTAATCACAATAATATATCATATATCTATACTCAGCCAAATTAAAAACTTGACACTGATGAATTTCAACAAATTTTTTTCTTCTGGTAAGTCAAGTAAATTTTAAAGTGTTTCTTACGATAGTAAGTAGTAAGAAACCTTTAATTTCATAAAATTGTAAAGTCACGTGGATCACGTGACTTTTGAGCATATAAAGATGAAAAACACGTGCAAACACAAACTCGTGGGGTCAATCGATGCAAGTTTGCTTAAACTGAACACGCACACGTAACTTGAACTGGAAAAACAAATTAAAATTGTTATTTTCATCTTTGTTAAAAAATGCCGCGCCTTTCAAATGTAGAACGTCTACGTGCTATAGGTAGGCTCTATGCTGGTCAGTCTGTGGTCACTGTTGCAAGAGCCTTTAATTGTTCACGCCAGACAATAATTAATCTTAGAATGAGAGTGCTTCAAACTGGAACTATTGCCGACCGCCCAAGGGCGGGAGCGCCACGTGTGACGTCACTCCAGGAAGATCAAGCAATACGATTACGTCATCTTAGAAACAGATTTGTCACTGCAACCTCCACAAGTAGAGAGATGTTTGGTGGAAGGGTAACTGCACAAACTGTTCGAAATCGCTTGCAGGCTGCTGGTCTTCGAGCTCGGAGGCCCTATAATGGACCAATATTGACACCTCTTCATCGCCGATACCGACTTGTGTGGGCCACAAGACACATAAGATTTACTCAAAGACAGTGGAATTCGGTTGTCTTTAGTGACGAATCTCGATTCACTTTGAGATTTGCCGATGGCAGGGCCCAAGTGTACCGCAGACGAGGTGAAAGTTACGCTCAAGTATGCGTTAGAGAAGTTGACCGATTTGGTGGCGGCAGCGTCATGGTTTTGGGTTCTTTTTGTGCACATGGACGTTCTCCTCTTGTTGTTGTCCAAGGGAACTTAAATGCTGTCCAGTACAGGGATCAGATTTTGCAACCTGTTCTTCTTCCGTTTATGCAGAGACATGGGCCTGGACTAACGTTTCAACAAGTCAATGCTCGACCCCATACAGCAATTGCTACCCAGAATTTTTTAAGAAATGCCGGTGTCCAAGTCCTGGATTGGCCGTCGCTTAGCCCCGACCTTAATCCTATTGAACACATCTGGGACGAACTGGGTCGACATGTTCGTCAGCAAGTATATAGTCATTAAGTGTTTATTGATAAATCCAATCATAAATAATTAATCCACCTTTCCCGTAAGCACATCCCAAGTAATATGAAAAAAATGTTTTAGGGCTATTGACACATGTCAGAACTTTCATAACCGGTCTCAGATTCTAATGTTGGTGATTTGTTATGAGTTACCGATAATCTGTGTTGATTAACCACGGCTACGGCAGTGCTTGTACCTTCTAAAAATTGAAAGAAATCCTCGTCATCTCTTTCTTCGTCCGGATCCTGTATCACACACATACGACAACAAAAAACATTTCTGTAAATGTTTACAAGTTCAGCTCGAATTGCACGATTTAAGCAACCATACAGAAATGGGTTGATTGCGAAGGAGGAGTAACCCAACCAGAGAACAAGTACCTCTGTTAATTTACGATTACTTACTGTTCCGTGTATAGCACCATACATATGATATATGAAATACGGTCCCCAGATAGCCACATATGCTGTTAAAATTACCATCAACGTATTAGCTGCTTTAAAGTGTCTCTTGTTTCCATTAAACATAGGTCGAGGAACGTTTGTCATGTTCGAAATATTTTCATTCCGAGATCCGCTTGTCGATCCTGATGTTGCACCATTACCATAGACAGCTGGTTGTAACGGAATTCGCCGTGTTGTGGATTCTGGCTTTACTTGAAGAACAGCCTGTCTTGCCACACGAAAAACTCCCCAATACATGATTAATAATATAATCCCAGGAAGTACAAAACAAACTATTACAATAGTTATCACATAGGCTTTGTCAACGACGTCAAACTCCCAAGAAAAAGAACACTGTTTTTTGAAAGGCTGAAACGAGTACGAATTTACTCCTAGTAGTGGCAACATTGAAATAACCAGACTCTCTGTCCAAATCAGAATTGTTACTCCTAGAGTTTTTGTCAGAGTCATATGAGCGGCATGGTGCATCGGGAATTTAATGCTGTAAAACCTTTCAATACTGATAGCACATATGTTAGTGATGGAACCAAATGTCAAAAGAGACCCCAAAAATCCAACAAGAGTGCACAGAAAGTTATTCAGCGGCCAGGAATCCGTGATGAATGATGCAATGGCAACTGGCAAAAGCATAATGGAAGCACATATATCAAACAGACACAGATTTAGTACAAATATATTAGTCACATTATGTCGAAGATGATAAGTGGAGAGTATGGCGATTATATTAAGAAGGTTTCCCCAAAATGCAAGAATGTCTATAATCACCATACCTACGACCGTAAAAATATCACCACCCCCAAACACATGTGACGTGTTGACAACTGTGCTGATATTACTGACACTACTATGCGAATTCATATCCAGACACCCCGTGTATATAAGATAGTCTGCCGATTAACAAAACTCGACTGTTCTCAACGGATTCCGCAGTTTACTACAGATCACTTAAATGCGTTAAGCAGCCATTTCCATTAGTCTTATCCGTCTCACGCATCCGTTTACAGTAGTAACACAAAAAGGATTACCATTCTGTTTAATAATTGACTGGTAGAATATCATTTCAAGCACAAAGTTAAACAATAAATACTTAAAACCTTTTAAAATACCGAATTTCTGTTAGATGCAACTTGTGATCTGTGCTAAATCATAATCTATAAAACAAGTGCAACAAGCTAAGACATTATCCATTCAATGATTAATAACTTCCCGTGACTTTTTAATTTTTATAAATGGACTGGTGTGAGGCAATATGTTGATGATCTTTTCCTCTTTGGCATTAACTATACCAATCGATGTATTAGCTGCAGTATAGCAACGGGATTGGTATAACAGAAATTAATTTTGTTGCCCAGCAACGACCAGCGTGTTGTCACGCTATATCGCATTCTAAATACCGGAACTGATATAATTAAAATATATAATATCTAAGAAAAACTATGCTATGTGTGAGTTTTAAAAAAACGTTTTAAGACATATGTATATTAAAATAGATAAACTACAATAATAGACGTTATTATAAATATCTGAAGACGCCCATAGAAGGTAGACAGCTAGCGATTATATGCCAGAATGAAGTAGAGTGGTGAATTTTTTACCTGAACGTATTTTTACAAATATTACGACGATATAATTTCTGGAATGCGGAATTCTGTACTTTAGTTGTCAGCAATAAAAATAAAATCCTCATTATACGTGCATACTCTGCTGCGAGAACCGAGACATATACCACGTGACCGAGGTATAATTATTAATTATCAAAGGAAATTGCAATTAAATCACAGTCCAACTTTGTGGAAGTTGACTAAGAACCCGGCTAATTCGAACCTAAATAACGTTAAACTTGATAATATATATATATCTGTCAAATCATATTTACAGTTTTGCTGATTTATATTGAAGTCACAGATGTCCATTAAGACGATGTCTGGTATATGTTGTTTTACTATAACCGACTTAGCGAATGTCAAACATTCTGGTCGTTGTCACCACTGTTAAAATGCCTGGATACATATCATAGATTTTTATGATAGATTTGGTGAAAAAAAAATACCATTGCATGTTGACGACCTGTATCACAGATTTATTCTTGTCTGTAGATTCCACAGTTTATCCAGAGTAAGCTACAGCTCCTCTTTGTTAGTATTATCCCAACTTATTACCATATGTAGGTTGATATCAAGACTTCTGATCACAGAAGTCGTTTACTCAGGGGAAACGATGCTGTTTCTGATACATTTTACACCATAATTAATAACAATATCTTATTAAAAGTGTAAAGATTTTTACACCATTCTGTGTTATAATTGATATCAATATCTTACTAAAAGTGTAAAGATTTTACATAATTCTGGATGTTATTCATAGCAAGATTTTACACCATTCAGGGCGTTATGATTAATAGCATCATGATAAAGGCTCAATACCACTCTTGTTGTAACTGAATAATATGTCCCAATCTTTATTCTGGTCAACAAATTGTACTATTTTAGAATATTTCAATTAATTGATGATACAAATTTCATCTTAACACACCTTATTTAAAATTTTTGAAAAATTCAACATAATGGTTTGAAACGTCTAACGTAAACCTTTTCAAATGAAACTTCGATTTAAAAATATTTTCGAACCCTCTGGACAAGTAAAATAGGGTGTAATGGATAATTTACACAACAGTTAGGACACTTAAACATCTAGTACTTAGATAGAGATATTATTTATTTTCTGGAGCTTTCAAGCCAGCAAGAGTGTTATTGTCCCTTTAAGGTTACACTTCTGAATTTCACCGAACGCTACACTTTACCTGTATTTGGGTGTTATACTTACGATTGTAAACTATTTAAACCTGCATTTAGATACAATGTTACACTATTTTTAGTGCTTATACTCTATTGAAAGTGACAGTCACGCCTTAATTGTCGGATCAGTACCACCGGATCGACAATGGGGCCTAGTGAGGCAGAGTCCCCAGGGTCTCCACACCGGTCGCGTTAAATGCAGTGAATGTAGACTTGATCTGAGGAGTTCCGAGCGAGACCCGAGTGATGTCGGCGGACTCACATCGCGTATCCCGGATTATCGGGTGTCGGGAGCCCCCCCCCCCCCGATCATTCTAAAATTCTAAAATTAATCACAGCACGTCACCCGTGAAACACCTTATTCGCGCCGGCGCCTGTCTAAAGGAGCTAAATCTCTAATTCAATATTTTCCATAATATTCGAAATAAAAACACTAATTAGAAGTCGATATTGACCAATTTCCACCAATTGATGCTGTCAATTTATCTTGTCGTGAAAATATGGAATCCTGATATCCAGTATTTAAGACACAATTGACATTTTATAGTCATTACACGATTCTACACTAAGGCTTCGGGTGCCTTTTGTAATGGGCAAATAAAAACATATCCAACAAGACAATGTGGAAGTAATTAGTAAAAGCTGATTCACAGCATGTAGAATGGACTAAGCAGGCGTAAACCACGGCCGTTCAATTTCTACACTTCCTTGATTAGAAATTTCAAAAATTGAGTATAGATCACTTTACATACATTCATATTACATTACAATGTGCTTTTAGAACCATTTCCGTTTTATTCAAGGTTCCATACACCCTTGAAGTCCTTAAAAATAAAAATGTGGGATGACCATTATCCATCAGCTTTAACTGGCACTGCAGCACCCACCATTTATCCGTAAGAGTGCCACCGGGTTAACCTGGTCCGACCCAGCTCATGATCGAGTGTCCAACTGACTTAAAGACAGTGAAAACTCTGTTCAAATTTAAAATGTTTTGAGAGCATGGCTGCTGGTATATGTATATAAATCATGACACTCACATTATATGTTTTCTGTTAGTGTTGTCATTATCTCTAGTTTAGTTTAAAGAGTTTATAAGAAATCAAAAATAGACAATTCTGTATATGCTCCGTCATGGCAACATATATAGTTTGGTTGTAATCTATTTAGTGGTGTTGGCAAAATGTCGACAATATTTCGGTCTGTCCCTTAAGGTGTTCCTCTCCAACTCCTTGGGGCTAAATAACTCCATATGAATAGGAATCGCCTAGGAAACATGACTACCAAATCAATCAAGCCTTGTGAAAATGTCTAAATTTGTCCGAACAGTGTACCCTAATCCAGCTCATATCAGGCCATGGTTGAACAACTCTGAATAAGCTCCACGTAGGCACCTTATCTACCAGCATTGGTTGTTATCCACTTCGACGAAAGCGTCTAAATTTGCGCCTTTATGATTCCCCTGTTATGTCCCATTTCAGCCAAATAACTGAATTGAACAAAAAAGTCAACATACCAACTAAATTGGTGGCAATCTTTCAATTTGCGCAATCATGGTGCCCCGACCTCACCGCTATAACCGAAGCAACATATACCCATTGCTATCGAGATCTGTCAAGCTATATCAAAGAGTAAAAACTTCCAGTTGACCGACCTGTTATTTTAATCAACTCATAAAGATTCCTGCCAAATTAATAAACACCTAGTTAGCCATTCTGAAGATGAAGACGATTGTTTTTAAGACGATTATTTTTTTTCTTACAAGGCGCTCTAGTCCATTACCAATCGGGCTAAGCAACTTGTTTTGTAGAAATCCGGAAATCACCACTCTAGTAGATAAATTCTAGTAGATAATGACTAATTGTTTAGACAGACCAGTCCAGTGTATGGACTGAAATTATATATCTGTCATTTACATAAGGATAAATCAATGGGGAGTATTGTGACTTCCTTCCGTCTATTATGATCAATTTTAGAATAATGTTTGGATCTACATACATGTTGAAACGATTGGTATATTATATTGTGTATGGACTGAAATTATATATTTGTCATTTACATGTATTCTAAAATGTTGTGTCTTTAAACCAGGCGTCGATATTTATCAGTAACAAGAATAGAATTACCCATTTAAGAAACTGTTTTAACCCAATTACAATATTGTCATTTTTCTGTTTTTATTTATCTCTTTATTTTCTTAGATCAGTGCTAAGGATACCCTGTTTCTATTTTAATCAATATACGGCATATAGGCGATTTTTAAACTACTTTAAAGCGGAAATTGCAAATTTTCTAAGAAAGTCAAAACGTTATTATTTCTATGTCGTTTGCTCAATAGGTTGTCAACTCACAATTATACGATCATAGGTGTCATTCTCACACTTTAAACTCATTTACACAGGAAATAATAACCCCATTACCTCCCAATTACCTCCCTTGTTTTCTATTCTCCACCATGGAGTAGCTTTTTCAAACGTTTGAAAATGAAGAGGAAAATGATATTTTTGCCAATTTCTCAGCTGGCAATAGTGAATTATAGGATTAATAGGATTATTTTTTAACACGGTAGGACTGTTTATGGATACCATCTATTTTCAGGCTTTATTTTAATAAATTTTAAAAATATAACTTAAAAATTTGCAATTTCCGCTTTAAGACTATACATTAAATGATGCAACATGAACAGTACGATATGAACTGGTCGACATACATCGATAAAGAAAGGAACATTTCATATAATAATTTTGGCATTATATTATGTCCCTTTGAAACTATTAAACCTCCGTTGATTAAGATCAAAAATAAAACTGTCTTGTTCATTGGTGTTGATTTGGTTGTAGGATGACAGTCTACGTTGACAATTTTACCTCTGAAGAAAAATGATGTAACAGATTTTGTATTCTACTGTCGACACAGTGAAACAAACATTAAACTAAATAGTCGACAATAACACACCTCTAAATGCGTAACAGGAAGTGTGTATCTCCTAATTAGTAAACCAACCGACTTCCAAACAAAAATGTAGTCATCACTGGTGGAAATAACACATGAACGTGTCAACTTTATTTTGAAATGAACCAATCACATTATCGATATGAGGTTTGGCATCCTACTGATCTGCTCTGACTGGGCTAATAAAGACAGGATTCTAGAATGAAATGATCACAATTAGCGACTACAAGGGCGTGGATTTGTCATAACGTTTGGGGGGGGGGGGACGGACGAACCCTGTAACCTTTCATTACCAAACCAAAATAATAATTACGAACAGTTTACCAGTGTTATTTCGATGAAAGCTGAAACTAGGGGTAATATGATGACGATATGGTAAAATTGACTACCTACAATTAAGGAGGAAGATATCATGAAGATGAATTACTGTGGCTAGACCCAAGCAGTGGTTAGATAGCCTTCAGAACGGGACATTCATGTGGATATAAACCTGAAAATCTGTCCTGGCGATCAAAATCATGGGGGGGGGGCAGAGACCTATTCGCCCCCCCCCCCTAAATCCACGCCCATGAGCGGCTATGTTTAATTTTTCAATGGAAACTAATTTTGTGGAATTAATTACAGGTAACGTGGTGTAATTTATAGCTATATGCTATTATCAATCATACATCAACTTCTATAGTTTGTTATCCTCTAATCACATGTGATGACACGAGATAAAAGATACCCCCTCGTGATGACTTGATACATCTTTTAAACAATCTCTTATCAATAACTTGTTCATATTTCGATTTCGTCTCATTGTAAACAGGAGGGGCGTCGTTTATTTTATTTTTTTATCAAAACAGCTTTTAAATTTAACTTATGTAGTTGAAACTTGATTTGGACAAAAACTTAATAATCAAATTGGTTTTCGAATTTTCAGGTTAGTATATTTTTTTTAAAACAATATTTCCGTCTTAATAATGACTAGGCTCGATATCTAATCGGTATTTGTTTTTTGCTTTGTAATGCTGATTAATTTCATTTCATTTCGAACCCCAACTACTGGTATCAATTTAGTGTTCTCACACAATTCAAATAACAAGGTACGTTTCGCTACCTAACAGTGCACACAGAATATAACTAGGATTCATGGTTCAAGTGGCATTTAGTAACTGGATGAGAATAACACATGACTCTTCAAGTAACTTGTATTCCATATAATTGTGTCATGTGTTATAACTAGGATTATCTGAACAATTAAGGGGGTCACGGTGGCTAAGTGGGTAAGACACTGGCTCGCTAGCCTGGAGGTCGGGTGTTCGATCCCTGCATTGGCTGAGAAAATTCATCCAGTGATGCAGGACGTAGGGCCTCACAAGGACAGCTGTCTAGTCGTTCGGATGTGACGAAAACCGAGGTCCCGTGTAACCTTGGCGTGCACGTAAAAGATCCCTTGACAGTTGGAATTCGATATAAGAGTAGGTCGTAGTGCCGCTGTCCGGGCAAAAATTTCTTCCATAGCACACTGTATGGCGTATGCCCGTTTTCATTAGCCCAGCTAGGAGCAGAACAAACGTTAAACCCCATTACATTTGCATTGCTGAACAATTAAGAGGGTGGTATGCATATTAACATTCATTGTTAAAGACGCACTATTTAAGTGCACAATCTGCCTATTACAGGTGTTTGACTTCAAATTCAAAAATGTTATATACATTATTTTTTAGACATTTATTCACTTGACAAGCCTATAATCAACTCTTTCGGACGGCAGATGGCGCAGATGTAAACAAATTAAAATACGATTCAATTTAAATGGAGAAGCTAGACAGAGACTCGATTAACAAGTAACGTTGCTGTCATGATTAACAAATTATTTCAAAACTTCAAACAGTGATAACGTCGCTCAGAATAAAGTAATTTGAATGCACTTTTCAATACATGTACTCATTTTCCTTATCTTTCCTTATCTATTTTTTAACTATTATAGTGTGAACGGTCAGCTCTTTATCTAAATCTTACATAATGCATCTTTAAGCCATGCAGTTTTTGTTATCATTATTTTCTTCAGATACAGGCACTTGAAGGGATTAAAATAAAAAAAATTACCACTGCTTGACTATATACTACAATAACAACAAGTGTGTCACCCGCCATATTGTTTTCACTCGTTGAAGAAATTTCGTCTGCTATCAGTTCACAATACTCACTAGTTTTAACACTTTCCGTCGCTTTTATTGCCAACGAGACTTTATTTGATTATTATACAGCTTCCAGTCGCGTTGGCAATCAAAACGAAACGACGGGAAGTGTTAGAATCAGTGAGTATTGTGTGACGATAGCAGACGAAATCTCTTCAACGAGGAAAAACAATATGGCGGGTGAGAGAGAGAGAAAGAAATTGGGTTTCACGTCCACTCGACCCAGGCTAGGTCATTTCGGGACTAACATATGGTATAATTTTATTTCAATAATTCGCTTGCGCGTAGGGGTCTTTAGCAGTGGGAGGAAACCGAAGAACCCGGAGAAAACCCACGAGGTTGGACAGGCAACCCTACTCCTTGTTACGTACAACCGGGGATTCGAAACCACGCCAGTTGACTCAATGACAGGCCTCATGATACAGCGCGCACGTGATAACCATTCGGCCATCCAACCCCCCATATGGCGGGTGAAACACTTTGTTATTATTGTAGTATACAGTAGCAAGAATTTTTATTTTAATCCCTTCAAGTGCCCGTGTCTTTAGATAAAATTGTAAACATAAATATTGATATTTGGGTATCTTTTTAAATTAATTCTTAAATAAGTAGTATTTTTATCATTAGAATATTTCTATCAATTGAATGACAGAAGCAATTGAATGACAGAAGCAAAACTGGTGATTTATGATCGCAGTATTTTAGTTCGAAATATCTGATCCACTACAATCATTCAAGTCCCAACACACCATTTTAAAAGTTAAATGCAGAATTCAAGACGACACAAAGTAAAAATTATTCATGTCCATCAATTCTAATCTAATATGGCCAGTTTAAGTTTGCATTAATTTCACACAAACGCTTTTATCTCTTATGAGACAAATCGTGCTATCTACATCGTACACAAACCATTTTACATAGAAGTATTTTTTATACTTCGAGTAACTTAGATGTGCTTAATTTCATAATAACAAGTAAACGCTTGACTTTTGAAATGTGTGAACGACCCAGCTTGTTGCGCCTTTAAAATACCTATAAAACACCCCAAAACATCAGACATTTCCGAGTATTCGTATATTGTTATGAAATTTTTCTCCATACTGCAGCCTCCTATTATATTCATTACATTCGATCCAACAGGGGCCATTGATATGTACCCGTGAAAAATTAGTTATTTTTCGGAAAATGCAAATGACGATCTGCGCTTTAATCATATCGTTAACCCGGATTAATATTCAAAAGAACGGGTAATATCATAATCTGCCCTGTCTATGGATGTAAACATTTCAACGATGGGAGATATAATTTGTGGAAAAATGAATGGAATGTAAACCGTTTGAAAATGATTAATGTTCCCAACATTGTCCCGTTTACTACATCTTCCGAGGCGGGGCAGATGAAGAGGGACATTTTATTTGTATGGTGGTTGTTATCGAAAAACTTGCCCTTGTTCTTTTTCTTTATAACTTTCCAATGAAATGAAGTTGGATATTGTGTATTATTATCTGTGTAGGCATGGTGCCATTCCAACTCCTCGGTCTGATTTTTATAGAAAGTAAAGTTGAAGTCTTTTAAAAGAAATCTTTTCTCAAGAATAAAAAAAAACAACGTTTAGTGACAAGGAAGGGGGACTGGTAGTATCCTATAAATAAAATAATTTATCCAGTATAAAGCATTCTTTGTCTATACATTACCAATATCAGATTTAAGCAAATATGTGTTTCCCAAAATACTTGTAGTTTGAACACAGCTAGCTCGACTGAATATACCAAGCACCAATTTCAGTAATAAAAATCAAGTATATAATACGCTTACTTCAGTATAAATTGTGATCTGCATACCTGACAGTCGCCAGTAAATAGATCAGTAGATATATAGACATATTAGACATCGTCATAATACATATGCGAAGATGGGTATATAGCCTTGGAAATGATAATGTTATATTATATAATTTAAAAGACGGTAAAAATTAATATCAAACATGCCAGTACGGTCTATGTCATAACATATACATACATATTAGTTAATAATTATTATTAAAGAAAAGTATGTCGATTATTGTACACAAGTCGATCTTGCATAATACGACCAGAAGAAAATCATAGAGAATTATTAGGTCGGGATATGTTACTGATCAAGATATTCTGATTTAGATTCTGCGTAGTGATTTAGTCCTGCACTTTAATATTTAGGTCTACATTTTGACTAGACCGAATAAATATTTGAATTGTTCATTTCGTACGAGACTGTCATACTCCTGTTCATCGGATTCGAACAACATTCTACACGAGCTATCAATGGGATATTTTTTAGGTATTTGGATATTTTAACTAAACAATTCCGTTAAGGCTATAAGTGAGGTTTAGGCTTATAAATGTTCCCAAAACTTAAAACGTTTCTTTTTTTATTTCTATCTTCCAGGTTATGAGGAACATCTACCACATCAATTAAACTGGTTTACAATAGCAATTTCTTTGTCATCTTTATCGTTAAAATGTCATTGCTGAGGGTTGATGACGAATCGGAGCCACTCTTGGCTGGCAGCAACTCAAATATTCAAAAGAAAGACAATGTTCTTAACAATATCGTGGACGGGGAGTTTGTGGCTACCAAACGACGCTTTGTATCGAGAGGAACTCTGAACGTTTTTATAGCTGTAATGAACATTCTAATGAATGTTCTGATGAATGTGTCCTTACCAGTATTTGCTGGAACAATGAATGAAGTTAAAAGCGATACATATGCTTTGCTGATGATAGCTAATGTGTGGTTTATGCTTGTCTTTGTTGTAATCATGCTTGCTATGAAATTTTTCGTTAACCGATCATTGAGCTTTAAACCCTGCACTCAATGGAAATGGTTATTTGTCATGGGGCTAACCACGACCCTGAATGGAATTTTTGTCGTGTTTGCCAGTCCCCCTAATAGAACACCGCCTTATCTCCAAGGGATCTTAGCAACAACCAATATTCCATTTACCGTTCTCTCGCGATTTGTGCTGCTTAGGAAAGGTAAATTAACATGTTTTGTATTAACACGAAAATAGCATCAACTCCCGTCTCATTATCAGAAAGTATAATGAACATCTTTTAACGTATCGCCAGCATTTTAATAGCATCAGTTGAGACTAGCATGATAATTAATATGAAATGTTCCAGCAGATTGAAAGAAAATAATCTTACCCTTGGCGTGACACTTCTTCGTCAAGTTCCTACTGGCATCAATCTTATTAATACACAGATTCTATTTCGTTTCGTTTTTTATAGTTTAAAATTTTGTTTTGCTTGTCTTTACTACACTAGGACCTGGAAGTGTTGTTATATAACCTGCGTTCTGGTTGATGTGAGGGATTATGAAATGGTCTGTTGGGGCGAGTTCTTGGCGTGCTGTGCACGAAACTGTGGGCATCCCACTAGAAACATCAATGTGGATTGGTTAATCATATGTCTGACGTCATAGGCCAAAAGCCGCTCGTATAACCCCTGACGCGACCTTCCAGTACAACCGGTCAGATCATCATGCAAGTGCAGGCGATCGAAAGTATGAAAAAACGAAACGAAATATAGATCTGTGTTTTCATCAGAATGTACTGGCATTGGTTCTTTTATCTGGCCTGCGTGACGTTCAAAGACATTATTTGCATTAAAAGATAAATCCTGCTCCACTTACACGGGGGAACCACGTAAGGAAATCCCGAAGAACTTTCTCAGATAACAGGTATACAAGCCAGCGCCTTACTTACTGCATGAGCCACCAATGCCCACGGAATTCTATTGCAGTCAATAAACTAACTCCCCTTGTATTGGGTTTATTTTATCTTGTTTTATTTTACAGGTATAAGTTTAAGAAGATTTGTTTGTGTTATTGTTGTATTAGTTGCATTGTTTATCACGGTAGAACCCCAGATATGGAACCTAAACGGCAGTGGTGGTGGCAGTGGCGACAGTTCTGAGTCTAGCAGTGCTAGAATTCTTTGGCCTATGTTATTTGTCATTGGTTTTATACCCATAGGTTTCCAGAATGCCGTGTGCGAAAAGGTCCTAAAGGGGGATGAGGTAAATTATAAAACCTTTCAAATATAGAGCTTCTTAAAACAGCGTTTGCCAGGCAGCGAAACACAAGCCACCCTCAAACCCCATATAAGGGAAATAATCGATAGGTTAAAAATATTTTAACGGTGTAGGAATGAATGTATCAAATTGAATGTTAAAGTATAAGTACTCTTTTTGACAACAAAGCCCTTGCACAAAGAAACGATCGACAAATTAACAGCTCTCGCCAGCTGAGTCACGTGTTAAGCAACACATTCAAAACGCGAGATGAGGGCGACAACCAATTAGAGTGAAGTTTTTAAAAAAAAACGCAGCTGTGTTTTCCCGGTAGCTGTACATTAAAAATAATGATATCATAATGTAGACATAAATAATTTTTTGCCCTTACATAGTTGAAAATCGAAGGTTTTTTTGCAAAGATATCGGATGATAATTATAACTTCTAGCGATTTAACACGAGTCTTAATCCCAACAATTAACCATCATCTATAATATCTAAGTAGACAACCCACAGAGATATCAAATAATAAACATACAATATCATCGAAGCCTAATACAAAGTGACAACTTTGATGTTGATACTGTAGCCCCTAGAGTGTTAATGAGGTTTCCTTGAAAATGATCATTCACGATAGATATCCATTAAAATGTTTACGTATAAAATGGCTAATGTCATTACACTATACAAATAAAAGGCCTGTAGCATTTATAGGGCGGTAACTAGGAAATGCATAAATGCGAAGTATCAAATTAAAAATCTAAATAAAATCTATATAGGGTTCCTCCTTATCACAGGGTGATATTGCACCCCACCCCGCAACAAACGCGTTGACTACGGCTAGTAAAACTATTTAGATGAAATCCTACAGACTCTGGCTTGTAGAATGTTTACAAGGGATGGGGACAGACGGGGAACATACAGGCCGATTGTTTGGCGGATAGTTATTTCCACTGGAAAAGTGACCGATGAAATGGGTATGAGAGAAATTTTGCCTGGACCTCGGACACCGGCGCTACGGCCTACTCTTATATCGAATTCCAACTGCCAGGGAATCTTATACGTGCACGGAGCCTCGGTTTTTCGTCCTATCTGAACGACTAGAAAGTTGTCCTTGATGGGCCCTCCGTCCTGTACCACTGACAAGAGTCAACCACGCCGTAAAGTCCCGATTAACTTTCTCAACCAACACCGTGATCGAACCTGTGACCTCCAGGCTAGCGAGTCGGCGTCTTACTCACTTAGCCACAGTTGCTCATTGACCGTTTAAAGAAACATTAGTAGGCCTATCAATGGACCCCAATGTCGAAAAATACATGAGCTGGACAATATTCTCGGAATTTACCAACACTGTCTCAGTCTGGGGTTTCTTTACAATTCAAACAAACAATGTAGCCTTTTGAACGACCGGATGATACAAAATAAGTAGTTTAATTGGATATTTCTAGTTTAGATCGTATTTTTACTATTTCAGGCGCATTCCTTCAACTTCCTAATGTGGACTCAAGTGTTTCAGATTCTGACTATTTTCCCAATGTTTTGGGTTGATTTTATTCCTGGTTTTGGCGAGGTAATGTTTATAGACTACAACAAATTAATTTTTAATTTTGTCTGACGGCTACAATTTTAGCTTATTGAATGTAATGTACGCGAAAATATTTGTGTGTTAGACCAATCTTAGGTGCTTACATGGCTACATCTATGTGCAAAGTGAATAAGTGAACCAATGAATGAATGAAATGGAGTTTTACGTCCTACTTATCTGCACGGACTGTGCTGATGAAGACGGACTACGTCATGAAGTGTATATGAGGGACATTTATTTTAGGGTATAGATGGCAAAATAGCGTTTAACGTCCACTCAACACCAAGTCAATTTTGGATTACAGATGTAAATGATTTCCTTACATGGGTCCTTAGCAGTAAGGGAAAACTGGAGTGTCCAAAAGAAATCCACGAAACTAGGCAGGCAGTGGTGACCATTCTCCCTGTCACGTACACACCCGGGATGGAAGTAACACCCATTTGACATGGCTACCCAGCCCCCCTTTTGATGATGGGTATCATATGCACGCAAGGTTCAAACAATAACACAAATAAATTAAGAGAGACCTAGGGCCGAAGTGCCAGCGAGCAAAATTGGATTTTCGATAATTAATTAATCCATTATTACCGATAAGGAGTATAGGGTTTTATATATTCTTCATAACTTATCCCAGTGCAAAGTTTTTCCACAAATATTAACTACATGTATATTACTTTAAACTTTTAATTTCAGGCGGCTTCCATCTCCGATTTTGGGACCAAGTTGTCAAGGGGTATTCACTGTACTTTTATGTCTCCTTGGGACTCAACATGCAACGGTTTAGTTGGAAAAATGTGGATATTTATTACAGGATATTGTTTCGCCAATCTTTTTCAATTCTTGCTAATTGAATACGCCGAGGGTGCAGTTTATGCCGTTGTTGTCCAGTCACTTGTAACTCCCACGGCAACATTGTTCTGGTCTTTCTTTAAATTCCAGACAAAAGAAGATCATTTCTTTTGGTCGCCAACTTTCAATACAACAACAGGTTTCACTTTAGCGGGTCTAGCAATATTAGCTCCAACTGTTGTGGTGTATAATTACTTTAGTCGGAAAGATGCAGAAGAAAGGCTCACTATGGAATTTACAGTCGAAGAACCCAGAGATAAGGATTAAGAACTACATGTGTAGGAGGGCTGGCTGAAAAGTTCTAAGTCTGAAAAGGATAGATCAGTTGGTTTGAAACAAACTTTTGCCACCAACAAGTACATCCATTGAATAAATCATAGACGTAAGAACTGCAACTGTAGTGTTATTATTGTCTTCGTACTAGACCAACTTGTGAACCTACCCCGGAGATAGACAAAACTGGCTAAAGGGCAGTCATCTAGTACCTGCATTTGAAAGGACTAACTCCATACAGATACACGGTGATATGTTCTCCACTTGTTAGGATCATGTCCCTTCCTTGCCCACAGTAAAGAAGTGGGCTGTGGGATTTAAGCGTGTAATTAAAATTAGACACCACTTTCGTTTCTTTTTCTTTTACGAAATGAAGGAATCGTGTATACGAATTGTAGCTATTCAGTTACGAATGAGTTACGGACGGATATGTCGAATTGCTTACGAATATTTGACACTATTCCTCAAAGAATCGAATAGGAAGCTTTTACAACGATAGGAATCACTCAACTGCCAAGGGATCTTTAGCGTGCACGCCAATGTGTACACGACGAGACCTCGGTTTTCCGGTCCATCCGAACGACTGGATACTTTGGATTCTGATGGGTGTGCCCATGTTGTGTCATATCCCTCGCTAAAAACTACTTCAGCGGCATAAGCACTACATTAAGGTTTAATAATATTACATTTTAACTAGTTTCTATTCAATCGACAATCGCATTTCTAGGATAATTTTGTACGTCTGAATACACGTTACAGGGTACTCGAATTAATTAATTAACATTTAACAAAGAAAACACAATCAAAATATCAACGATATAAAATGTCCTGGTCAGTTTTTTAAAGATCCGATGGGTCTCTAGGAGTACTTTTCAGAAATCGTTCATAACCATTATGCGTCTCCTTCCATTCAGCTCAATCCATTTAAATTTTAAAAAGGTCCAATGATAATTGTGACGTCAAAACTGTTAAATAGTTTTTATAGCTCAAAGTGTTTAACAGTAGCAGAAATTGTCATAAAGTTCATAATCAATAAAACAAACATTAAAATCGCATGGTAATCCTTGTGTCCAGTAGACTTCTAGTCAAGTGGGGACCGACGTACGGGCGGACGAAAAAGTAAGGGCGACAAATCATTAAAATGTATTAACCAATCACCTGCAGTTAGACTTCCAAAATATAACTTATCTATAAGGAAGTGGTTAGACCTTGGTGTAGTGAATACAAATGTGAGCGAATACAAATGGTATTACCAATCACCAGCAGTTAGTCTTCCAAAAGATAACTAATCTATAAGGAAGTAGTTAGATCTTCACGTAGTGTAGATCAACCAAACTGAAACTAGAAAGAAAGAAAGGTCCAGTCGGCTTTATTAAATAAATGAAAGTGCTATGTTATATGCGTCAATTCGTCGTCTGTATCGTTTGGTATGTTGACGCAAACACGCCTTTGTAACTTACTATTTGATATAGTTTAGCCATATCTGATCATTGGAAAACTGTGGATAAACGCACCATGTACTAAAACTTTTAACAAATTGTGAAAATAACACATAACACAATTAAATGGAATACAAGTTACATAAATGTTTATTTCTGGCGACGTTTCGACCAGGGTTCTCTAGCCAATAATCACCAGAAATTAACTTTTAAGTAACTTGTATTCCATATTAATTGTATCATGCGTTAAACCTTTAACGTATTTGGTCAAACTTACAACAACATCCATAGCAAATCATGATGTATAGCGTAGAACGGGGGATTCTACTGGTCAGAGCTGGGGACACTCTCTCATAGTAGCCGAAAAATGGTCCTAGTAAACGCCAATGCCTGTCACTATTCTATATCACTGTATAACTAAACACGTTACGGTTTGCTTGCGTTTCCATGCTAGTATCAATACTGATAACTGGTTGGTATCATAATGACTAAATTGTGTGAGGGACCAGTGATGAGGGGTCCGTCTTATTTACCTCCCTTTGTCTTATAAACCGCCCTCAAAACAATGATACGCATTTGCTCTTCATAGAATTTCATAAATGCCTGGACCAAATATCAAAACTATGCAAATCCATATACTAAGCCGTTTTCCCGTTCAAAATATGTATTACCTTGACGAAATATGCGGGTGTGTGTGTGGCCATGGCCATTTGAATAGATGAGGAGATTGAATTCAATCAAGGGAAGGACTATACCATACTGCACGCAGCGATCCATCTACTTCAACTGTACACAGGCAGCCTAAGTTTGGGATGTATAATTCCGTGAATATAAAGTCACACGGTGTGTTTCATTTAAAGGGTGCATGGCTCTGTTCTTTGGAACCTTAAAATAGCCGAAAATGGATCTGAATGCATATATTAATGTAATATGAATGTATATCGTTTACGCTTGATTAGTCCTTTCTACGCGTTTTTATATATTATTTTTTATCGTATGAGAAGAAGTCATTACTAATTACTTCTGCATTGTCTTGTAGTGTACGTTTCCCATGTCATTACAAATGGTGCCCGAAACCATATATACACGACTCGTGTTCTGATTTTAAAATGTTCATTATGTCTTAAATATTGGATATTAGGATCCCATATTTTCACGGAAAATGACAACATCAATATTGATTGAAATGGGCCAACATTGAATTTTAATTCGTGTTTTAATTTTGACTTTTACGGAAAATATTGAGTTAGAGGGTCCAGCTCCTTTAATATGGAAATTTTTTGACGAATTTCTACTACTTAGATGTACGGGCCAATAACTCTGTCACGGCCAAAAGAGAATCACATTCCAAGTTTCATCAAAATCGGAAGAAAACACAATTCGTCTCAATGCATTCACAAGCTATTTTTAATGTATTTCATCGGTCATTTGCGACAATTGTTAACGAATAATTAACGAATCATGTTTCAATGTGAATTCGTTTGAGACCTCGATGAATTCATAACATACTGATTGGAATGCGGGCACAATTAATTCGAATTTAAATGCCTATTAGGACATACAGTATGAGTTTATTTTCGAAGATGAGATAATCTACTGGTGCTACAACAGTCTCCAGCACTGAATGTCACATTTTTCGAATTGTATTTATACCTTTTCCATTTATTTTTTTTATAAGATAAAAATAAATGTTCAATGTACACGCCAATCAAACATAAGTTCACTTTTATGTATACCCTACACATGCATTAACCCTGAAATAGTTTTCTCCCTTTAATAATAAACCAACTTGTGAGACTTGTCGGTAACACTGATCTTCTTCTTCTTCCAATTATCGATTCTGCCTCTGTTAGAGTGTAATTGACTTGGACACATGCACAAACGTATAGTAAACTTCTCCGCAAGCACTTAAAAGTCCAAAGGTGGATAGTATGTACAGATATTAACAATTATTAACAATATATACAGGTTTGGATGTGGTCTATCATGGTTTTTGCTGTGTAGGTTTCCGGGGGGTGGTACACGGCCTGACCCTAAATTCTTCTAAGGATCCCGCCTCCATTACTTGTGATGAGAGTCCGTTCCAGTATCTTACTGATCTTGGGAAGAAGGAATGCTGGTAATTCTCTTTATTGGCTCTTGTTTGTCTAAGTTTGTGGTTTCCTCGGGTTCTGCTCTCGCAGGCTGTCTAAAACTTCTCTGGGTCAATGGCAATCAGTTGGTGATGTATCTTATAGCAGGTGACAAGACTCTGCTTCCACCGACTGTGTTGGAGAGATTCCCATTGGAGGTTGTCTAAAAGTTTTGTTACACAGCCTGGGAGTTATCTTGGTAGCAGTTGAAAGCAAAGCGGGCTGCTCGTCGCTGTACTTGCTCTATTTCTCGTATGGTAGTTATCTAGTGCGGGTCCCACACTGTTGCCGCATACTCGAGGACTGGTCTCACAAGGGCTGTGTAAGCTGTGGCTTTAGTCGAGGTGGTGCACCTGCCAAGATTTCTCCCCAGGAAACCAAGCGTCTTAGAGGCCTTCCAATTGTCTCGTTGATATGTTTCGTCCAGGTCAGGTCCCTGTTGATGGTTTATCCCAGGTATTTCCCTCTATCAACTACTTCCAGTGATTGTCCATGTAGTGAGTGTGTCATCTGATGGATTTGACGTTTTCCTGGGACTCGAATGACTGTACATTTTTCTGGGTGGAAACGCATCTGCCACTTCTTCTCCCAGTCTTCCAATGATATTAAGTCCTTCTGGAGGGCTGCAGCATCTTTGTAGTTGCGGATGCGACGGAAGAGGAGACAGTCGTCTGCGAATTGCTTCTGGGGGATTGTTGATATATGCTAAGAAATGTAAGGGGCCCGTGAATGTACCTTGTGGTACTCCTGATACTACGTTGAGTGGGTCTGACTTATGGTTCTTGAGTATCACGGACTGCGATCTGTCGGTCAGGAACTGCCTAATCCACTTAAGCGAGTTATTTCCGACTCCGTAGAAATCCATTTTGTGTAGTAGTCTGGCATATGCGGCACTTTACCAAATGCCTTAGCAAAATCTAATAGGATTATATCTGTCTGATCTCCATCCCCAATGTGCTGCATTATGGTGTTCACTGTTATAAGGAGTTGCGATTCACATGACCGTTTAGATCGAAAACCGTGCTGTTCATCGCATAGTATCTGGGTTCGGTCGAAGTGATCCATAATGGAGCTATGCACTTTGTGTTCTAGTAGTTTGCAGACAATTGAGGTCAGAGAGACAGGGCGGTAATTAGCAGTAACATGTTGCTCTCATTTTTTGTACACTGGTACGATGTTGGCTTTTCTCCAGTCATCTGGTACTGGTACAATTTGGTAAGATAAGGTGCTAGATGGTCTGCCAAGTTCTTTAGTATGAGTGCTGGTGTATCGTCTGGTCCTGTGGCTTTAAAGGGTCTCAATCCTCTGAGTAGTTTGACTACACCCCTCTCACTGATATGGATGGGACTCATTGTTGGGTGAGGGCTAGGACCTCTGTCTGGCATGCTTGTGTAATCTTCGTTGGTGAACACAGACTGGAATTGTGTGTTCAGGATGTCAGCTTTTGGTGGTGTGTCGCTCTTTGTTCTTGAGCATTGTTATACCAGTAGTCTCTTGTTTTCTGCTGTTAATATACGACCAAAATCTCTTAGGGTTTTCATGGGGGTCTTCACTGACGATGTTCTGCATGAAGCTCGTGTGGGCCTTCCTGGATTCTCGTTGTAGGTTTGGCTTGATTTTCTTGTATCTCATCCAGTCCTTTGCATCTTTAGTCTGTTTGACTTTGGTGTGCGCTCTCTGTTTCTGTTTACTTAATCGACGAAACTGATTATTCATCCAAGGATGGCTGAGTCTTGCTAGGCTTCTTTTGGTTGGAACATGTTTTTCTATCGATTCTGTGATTAGTTGTTTTATTGTTAACCACATGGTATTAATACTGGTGTCTTGGTTGTTGTTGAACTTTCCAAATTCTGTGTCAAGGTGGTTCCCCATATTTACTAGGTGAGCTTTCTTCCAGAGAAAAATCTTTCGCATGGTTGGCTTTGGCTTGTGAGCATTTGATGTTACGAGGTATGTCAATCATTAGGATGTCGTGGTCGCTGTTTCCTATAGGAGGTAAGGTTTTACATCGATCTGGGATGTTGTTGCCTCGTGTAAGTTAGTCATTCACCTGTTGGACTGATAGATCCGCTGTCATTTGGATAAAGGCCCTGCTGATGGCCTTAAGGACCTGGCTACTAGTGATGTTGTTGGCTCCTGATATTCTGGACATAGTGGGATATACATGTACCACCAATATTATCCGAGGAATGACCACTGACCAACGTTGACCAATTGGTCGCTATAATTTATGATGGGTGATAGGTATCATGTCCTAGTGTCGTGGTGTCGCCCTTCATACGGCGACAACCCGACATCACGATAATTTAACCAGACACTACGACAACCTGACATCACGACATTTTAACCAGACAATACGACATTTTCACCCGACACCACGAAATTAAAAATGTCGTAATGTCGCGTAAAAATGTCGTATTGTCGGGTTAAAATGTTGTGATGTCGGGTTGTCGTGGTGTCGTGATGTCGGGTTGTCGTGGGGTTATCGGCCATATTCCTCTCAATACTATGATTATGTTCCCCGGGATTTTGCAGCGAGGTTTCTCCATGTCGGCAGTGCAGGACAAAAAAAACCAGCAGGGGATGGGACAAAAAATCGAGCTTCCGTGTACATATTAGGAAGCACGTAAAAGAGCGCCTGACAGTTGGAATCTGGGCAACGTTTCCCTCACAGTACATTGTACACTGTATAGCATATGCCCGTCTTCATTAGCAGTGGCATTTGCCCCCCCCCCCCATTAATCTGCTCTGCCCTCTGTTTGCCCCCCCCCCCCCAATAATTTTAGAAAATAAAAAAAAGTATTTGTGATACGTTTCGGTAATCAATACCTTCTACGGTGAATAAATCCCACATCCCCACTCAGTCATAAACTTGCATGTTGTAGAGCATTTCCGACAGTCTATTTTTCAAAATTTTCTTGGCGAGGTCCCCAATTGACTCGCTACTTTGGCGCTCACAAGGGGAATTCGTTGAGGTTCGCAAGTCCGTTCGTTTGACATTTTGTTCTCTAGTCGGATAAATTAGTGATCAGGCGACGAACGGTATCTGGGCAGATCTATTTATCTTGACGATCGGTGCCTGACTGAATACTGTAAGACAGCATTTCCGGCAGTCTATTTTTCAAAATTTTCTGGGAGAGGACTCCCTACTTTGACGCTCGTGTGTGGGCTTCGTCGTGATTCACAAGTCCGTTCGTTTAACACTTTACCTCATCGATCAGTGCCTGAAATACTACCAGGCTGCATTTCCGGCAACCTGTTTTTCAAAATTTTCTGGGGGAGGTCCCCTACCCCTAGTTGAAGCTCGTGCCTTTGCCCCCTTAACCTTGGACTTTGCCCCAGCTTTGCCCCTCCAATCACCGACGGCTGGCGCCGCCACTGTTCATTAGCCCTGTCAGAGCAGAACAGTAGGGCTTTAAACACAATTTCATTTCATTCAATTTTCCTAATTTCCTGCTCTGCACCAATCGGGCTATTGGAGATAGGCATCATCGAAATTCAACTGTGAATTTCCGAAACCGGAAGCGGTAGACTAACGTCACCTGGCCTATGTTACACCCCGGTCCGAGCTACCCCTATACCCCAAATATCAAACTCGGGGCAGACCTAGTGTAGCCGCCAACCCCGAACAGACCGGCTTCGCTCGGGGGTCATAACTCCGAAACCGGAAGTGGTAGACTAACGCCACCTGGCCTATGTTACTCCCCGGTCCGAGCTACCCCCTATACCCCAAATTACAGACTCGGGGCAGACCTAGTGTAGCCGCCAACCCCGAACAGACAGACAGATACCCGGCTTCGCTCGGGGGTCATAACTCCGAAACCGGAAGTGGTAGACTAACGCCACCTGGCCTATGTTATTCCCCGGTCCGAGCTACCCCTATACTCCAAATTTCAGACTCGGGGCAGACCTAGTGTAGCCGCCAACCCCGAACAGACCGGCTTCGCTCGGGGGTCATAACTCCGAAACCGGAAGTGGTAGACTAACGCTACCTGGCCTATGTTACTCCCCGGTCCGAGCTACCTCTATACCCCAAATTTCAGACTCGGGGCAGACCTAGTGTAGCCGCCAACCCCGAACAAACAGACAGACAGACAGACAGACAAACGACAGTCACAAATATATATATATATAGAAGATAAAGATATCCCGTATTTTTGTTTTTAACTATTTATATACATAAAGGACTTATATTTATTTTTAAAAACATTATTGTCTGTGATACTTGTTTTTATTTATGTATATAAATATATTTATGTGATATTGTTTTAATTGTCTTGTCAAAATCACCATGTGTTTGGCACAATATAGCTCGGTTGGAGCTGACGTGCCAAAAAACTCCATTCCATTCCATTTTTATCCCACAACTAGACACTGTACTTTGCCAGACCCTTTATCCTGCACTACCGTCAGGGAGAAACCACTCTGCAAATTCCCTGGCAACTTTCTTGACCAACACCAGGATCAGTGTATATAATCATAGTATTGAGAGGAATATGGCCGTTCAAGTCTAATTATTATGATGGATGATTGGTATCATGTCGTGATGTTGGGCTGTCGGCTTGTTGCCTTATGAAGGGCGACACCACGACATCACGACATGATACCAATCATCCACCTATAATAATTAGACTTGAAAACCCCCGGTCAAAAGAAATAATTTACGAGTTGACCAATTGGTTAAATTTTAAATCGTAGGGTGTTCAAACTATATTGTATTCCAAACTTGGCACAAATTATGTTCGCAGCACATTTATTTTTATTCTTGATACTTTTAATGCAATGGGGCTAGTTCGACCATTTTGTCTAAAGATCGGCATTGATTAAAATTGTGCAAGATAATTTACTCGGGTTACTATCTATTTCGTAAACCACAAACAAAGCGAGTCTTCTTTCCCGCGAACATAAGGAATCAGTGAAAGGGTAAAGGTCGACCATGAGTGAATTTGCATATAAACATCCATATGCATCATATAAAGAACAATCAGTCTCAGTTAATTGTAGGTGAGATAGAGAAGACTGAAACGGGGGGGGGGGGGGCTAAATTTTACTTATGAAAGTCAAAAATTGTTTTTCGTCTCCCACATCGAAAAAAAAATAGTATAGGGCGAAGTTACTGATCTTAAGACCACTGAAAATGACCGATAATCAGGAACCGTTTCTCAGTCATAAGATATTTGAAGATATGGTTGAACTTGCCCTGGCGACGAACTAGCATATCGCGATACAATTTAAACTTCATTTCCTGTAGGATATATTTTGGGAATGTCGTTGGCTGTTTTAAATACAATTTAGTTAATGCTTCGGTGGGCATTATGGAATTAATTTTCATCAGTGAAGTGCAGTATGTGCAGTGCCCGGGTGATATAGAAAACGGACATTATTTATAGTAGTCTATCTCCAACTCTAAGCATAATATTCAAAATGTACTGAGAAAGATTCAGGGGGTCGATACAGGAGTTTTCAAAGGGGTGGAGTACCGAGCGTTTCGAGGCAACAATGTTTCAGATACTGATTTTTCCGCGAAAGTCGAATAAAAAGTACAATTTGTTCGAGCAATAAATAGTCAGGGCCGTAACTAGCTCAGAGCAACGAGGGGGGCGGAAAGTGTTCTCGGGGGTGCTGTAATATTGACGGACAATGTATATCTATTTTTTTTATGGTCGAAAATTTTTTCACAGGGGGGGGGGGGGGGGCGAAACTTTTTGTAAGACCCCCCCCCCCCCTCGCGTTCCCCCCACCCCTAGTTACGGGCCTGTAAATAGTCAGGTTGGTGTCAGTCGAGTAGCTTTACTTCTCATCCATGAGTGAAATGAAGAAAATATATTATTGCCCGCGACGATCTGTAAGAAGAAAAAAGACAGCGGAGCTGAGCGAGTCAAATAAGTTGACTCCACTCGAAATCAGCATTTTTTTCATGGAATCATATTTTGGATTTATACATACTTGGTGATAGTTATGTAGTGACAATGCCTCTTTAAAGTATGACCCTCTACCACCCACACCGACCTACCTAATAAAAGCCCCCAAATAGAAGCGCCTATATGGGTTAAAATTATTTAAAACTCTACTTATTACTAACAAAATACAGAATTATTATCTTTAAGCTCGACTGGTTATTGCTCTTCCTCGGTCGTGCACAAATTGAGCGTGATTCATGGCAGACGATAAATTTTTAACGGTAGATGGCGACACTATTACAGGTGAGACACTCAGGTGTTACTATTTTTAGATTATTAACTGCAAATAACTGTACCGCCATTTTGTTAACAAACTTAAACTCGGTCAAAACACAGGTATGATATTACTGTAATATTATATAATCAGATTTTATCTATGACGAATTCCTCATAGAAAATAAATCAGTGTCATTTAAAATGCAATTTTATAGGCTGTTAATGTCAAGAGTGTATTTAAAACAGTGTAACTGACAGTCACACTTCAAAACATTTGATAAATGACAATCATAAGGTCTTCAGATTGTCTTTCTCTGTAGTAAAAAATTACAACCAGTTATGAGTAATGTGTGAGAAATGTTCATCACCTTTAGACCCGTGGCATATGTAGAATTGATTTCTTGATTTTCTTTTAACAATTATTGTTGATACGTTGGTTTTGTAGTTCTGAGCATATTCTAAATTAATACATTATTTAAACTTTGTGAACAGGGTACTGTAGATGTAAATTTATTGATGTATAAAATACTGCTGTTTCCATCAGGCATATTACAAAATAACAATTTTACAGACAAGGCAGTCTTGTCCCAAGGCCAGTTAAACACCATCTCTCTCTCTCTCTCTCTCTCTCTCTCTCTCTCTCCCACCTACCCATGTTACAGAAAACTAAACATTTGCATGTCTGCATTTATTTTTCATTATCTGGTTGACTTTAAGTCACTGAACCACACACCCACTAGCAGCAAACTCGTCCAGGCTAGCTCTACAATCCATTTCAACAAATCCACTGTAAGCTCTTTTCCAACTTCAGCCCAAAAATGGGAATGGAAAAATAAGCCAACTAAATGTGTTCAAAATTAACAAGCAAAACAGTAGAACGTTAAACCCCATTTCATTTCATTTTGAAATTAACAATGAAAAAATCAAAATGTGTTCAAAATTAACAATGAGAAAATCATCACAGGCCTTGAGACTTTACCTGAGATTGCTTTGACCATGCTGTACATGTGTTTCGATCGAGACAGTTTTGACTGTATATAAGAAAATGAACGCCTATGAAAATATACTAAAAAAGGATGAAGTCATCTAAAGAGAATAAGTAATACAATTGCTAATCCCATACTCCTTGCTTGCAGTGTTTCTTTTGGTTAGACCTAATCCCACTAAACACTGCTGGACTCACGGCTAATTTCTGTTCTAAGTTATGACTGATTAACAGTGGGGTCAACAACCAATACATTTCAGCGTAACAAAATCAATCAGGATTAACCAAAGATCTGAATATGTTAACATAAAAGTGTATAATGAAAATTGCACGAAATTTACTATGCTCAATTAACCAGAATATTGCAGAAAAACTAAATGTGCGACAAATGAGGCTATCCAAAATAGCTACAAGCGTAAACACTGGGTAATCGCCACATGTAAATTATCCTTAGTCAACATAATATTTATGGCAAAAATATCATCTTTTGACTAAAAATATTTTCACCATCTTTTAATACATTTAATGAACTCTCCAAAGTTTTAAGGAAGTCCCCAGATCAAAAAACTTGATAGAACTACAACTTCCAACAATGAGTGATTTGATTGGACGATAAAAATAGACACTTTCTGTCAAAGCCTCAAGTTTTCGCTCTTTGTACAGCTATGACTAGAGAAAGATTTCTCGAGCCATTGCATCAGTAATATGTGCTAATCTGATTCCCACTTGTCATGGGTAGTATCGGTAGGGTTACCATGTTGTTTGGATCGGATGGAAAATCGATGTCCATACATAGAGAAACCCCTTGCTTTTGAAATTTGATAGAGTAGGAAGTGCCGTAAAATTTTCTTCCCATGCGACCATACATGTAGAACAAATAAACCTATATTAGTCGCAAAGTAGCTGAAGCATTGCGTTAATACGAAGTAAAATTCCATTCCTACATGTATCTAATGAGACTGACAAAACTAAGTTGAACATATATTTATGTACATAATAACAGTTTGAGTTACCAGTCATGAAATGTACATGTAAAGGAACTGCATGTGGGGAAGTGTCATAATTGTACTTTTGTATAGAAAACATTTTTTTTAGAATTAAAAGATCTGTAACTTTGAAATTTTAATAGAATAAATACATATGTACATGTATGTTTAAAGAATTTTGTATAAATATCATTGATTTATTGTTGTTGAGATAACTAGATGTTTGTTTACTCCAGATAAGCCTTTATGATTATTAGGTGTAGTTGAAACAATAAGAACTGTTAGCACCAAACTTAATTTAACTGCTGGGCCAATAGTCGTAATTTTAGTTAAAATTTTCAAAAGTTAAATTTTAATATCAAGTTGAGAGGCAGATTGAAAATAAATTTCTTAAAGATACTGGCAAGAAAATATTTCAATTACTAAATATAGTGTTAGAATTGATACATTCTTAATTTGTAAAATGCAACCCTAGTTAAAAGAAGTTGATAACTGATTTTGTCCATGAAATTAGCCAAGCATGTTTTCTTTCTTATTTACTGTTACTTTTTATGCCATTGTTATAAACTTTCAATTAATAGTACTACTTTATACTTGTTCTGTATTCCTTGTTTCAGTGATGAAAGAATGTGGAAAACAATTTATCTGTGTTTTGCTTTATTAATAGCAAATATTAGTGGTAAACTGTATGGTAAGTAAAATTTATTATGATTCCTTTATTTTTTAATTTTTTATTTGACTGCTGTTATTCAAGGAATATCTTTAAGTTAATGTTGCATGATTTGCATTTTTCGAAAAATATCAAATTTCTCACAGATTATTCTATGCCGATATGTAATCAGATTGATTATTTAACAGTAAATTAAGAAATCAAAATATCAATGATAGATAATCTCATGGCTTGGATTCATTGAATTAAAAATATGCCAATCCATTTAATTTTGGGAGCCGAATGGTTAGTGTGTGCCTGTTGTATCATAAGATCTTTGATTGAGTCAACTGGGATGGTTTCGATTCCCCCTTTGTACGTGACAAGAAGTAGGATCGCCTGTCCAACCTCGTGTTTTTTTTTCGGGGTCCTCCAGTTTCCTCCCACTGCTAAAGACACCTACGCGCAAGAGAATTATTGAAATAAAATTGAACCATATGTTAGTCCCTAAATGACTAAAAACAAAGATGGCCGTGGGCGTACTATAATATCTGACAATAAAAACACTACTTGTATGTGGCGATTAGCAGGGCTCACGCTGTCGGTCGCCAAAGTCGCAATTTGCGATAAAAATATGAAAGTGGCAATTAAAATTTGATTTTGGCGATAATGTTTTGCGTTACTGCCGATTCTTTTTGAGAAATTGTGGAAAATTTTTTAAAAATTCTAATCATATTTATCCTGGATTAACCATTAATTGATCGAGTGTCAATCACGTGGCTGAATACTATAAATAAATCAACTGGCTGATAATCCGGATTGCGTCAATGACTAATACTAATCAGTTGCCTTGGATTAATGATTAGTTAATTGATAATTGCCATGATGTATATAAAGCCTATCTCAAGTCATTATTTACTCCTACTGAGGTCGGGTGTTCGATCCCTGCATTGGTCGAGAAAGTTCATCCAGATTTTCCGGTTTGGTTCTCCCTTGTCGGTGATGCAGGACGGAGGGGCTGACAAGGAAAGCTGTCTAGTCGTTCGGATGGGACGAGAAACCGAGGTCCCGTGTACACATTGGTGTGCACGTAAAAGATCCCTTGGCAGTTGGCATTCGATATAAGAGTAGGCCGTAGTGCCGCTGTCCGGGCAAAATTTCCCTCATAGCACACTGTATGGCATATGCCCGTCTTCATTAGCCCAGGTTAGGAGCAGAACAGTAGGACGTTAAACTCCATTTCATTTCATTTATTTACTCCTACTGATTAATCCAAGCGGTGATTATTTGATGTTTCGTTTTGTCTTTAAAAAATGGTAATACATGTAATCAAAATGGCCGACAGATCATTTTGAAGAGAATTAAATATTTTGATAGTTGAACTGTGGCTTCATAAACAGCATATACAAGCATGCCGATCGGATATCATTATTTCAAATTATATCATCACCACTGGTCGAAAACGTAAGAAAGGGTTGAATAGCGACGATTCTTGAGCGAGAAATTATTTCGCCATATGCATCATATCGCCAAAATGCTCTAAAGGTGAACGATGGGTATAATTGTAAGCATCTCTTACAAATAAAATCAAAATTTATATCATTCTATCAGGGATTCAGATTCTGATACCTTTACGGTACCTGAAATTAACTAAAGGCCTATGGTACACGCAACACATAAATTTATAGAAAATTGTCAATCCTTGAATGAGATCTGACATGTAAATACTGAAAATATATAGTGCAGTACGGTGTTCAAATAGACTAAAGTCACCAAAAAAAGGATCTTATTAAATCCAAGGTTGTTGTATATGTATTGTATATATCGGTAATTGTTTTAGAATATTAATAAGCCTAGCTGAGACATAAAATCGTTAGATGTTGTCTTTTTTATTACACATTTTTGGCAGATAAAATTTACAGTTGGCGGAAAAAAAAATATGAACATTTTTTTATATAAAAATGATCATCCATTAAATTTTGGCTGAAAAAAATGAAAGTCAAGTCAGTGTGAGCCCTGGCGATTAGCCTACTGTAGATTGCAAAATAGAGAAAAGTTCTAGAACTGTTTTGTTGACAGATTCGGTCAAGAAAAAGTAGTGATAAGAGAAAAATAGAACAAGTAAACTATACCAGACAGTAGTATTGATCAAGACTTTAACCCATCAATAAATTTTAAAAGCCACATGTGTACTGGTAATTGCTGTATGCCGTGTCTGTGTTTAATTCTGATGTTATTTATGATATATGTTTATTAAAAACTATTAATTCGTTATGTAATATTCCATTTTTATATTTTTATTTGAGTGTTTTATTTATTTCAGACTGTCCAAGTGAATGGGATGTATATAATGGATTCTGTTACAAATTTGTAGGCTACCCAAGAAGTAGTTATCAACAAGCAAACACAGCTTGCATGGTAAATTTAATTGTATTTTTTAGACAAGACTTTAGAACTTCTCCTCCACTCTCATATACCATATTGTATGCACAGTTAATATAGTTTAGAGTTCAAACATGTAAACTTCCAGTGTTAAAAACTATTTGTGGACAGATTGTGGTCTGCTTTCAGATAATATCACAGATACAATCTAAGAGAAGCCAAAGCTCGCTGCTGTATATGGTATTAGAATATGAGTTTGCAATCATTCCCTTTGCAGCTCATGGCCATGGATTGGTTTCGTGGAAATTTCTTTCCTTTGGACAGAATTTTATTTTAGATGTATTCACAGAATTTCCCACATGTTAATGTGGTTGGATATTGTCATTGGCTTTGTTCATCCTCACTTAGAGGCTTAGTTAGTAAGACACTGGCTCGCTATCCAGGAGTTTCAGGGTTTGCGCCCGGTGTTGGCAAAGAAAGTTCCTACATGGATTCCCCCTTGTCAGTGGTGTGGGATGGAGTTGGAGACCCCAACAAGAAACAGTGCATACAGTCATTTGGATGGGATGAAAAAAAAACAAGGTCCTGTGTAAAAGAAACCTTGGAAGTAGAAATTTACCTCATACATGTAGAACACTGTATAGTGCATTCCAGTCTTTAAAAGGCCAGTAGGTGCAGAAAAGTAGGACGTTAAACCCCTTTTCATTTCATTTACACTCACTGTACTCATTGTACACCCATTTTCAATTAATTTTCTTAAATACATTTATTTGATTTGATCCAATAGGAAGATGGAGCTGCTTTAGTTAGTATAGGTTCAGCTGAAGAACATCGGTTTATTATTAACTGGTTAGAACTAAATGATCAAAGAAGGTAAAAATACTTTATACAGATATTTTTGTGAATATTATGTACATGTAACTCAGATTGTATATTTCTATCCAGGTCATACCAGGAGCCACATTGTCTCACTACCTGTTAATGAAAAAAGCTCCACAGGATTTTCTAGTCTGATTTCCTCTTGTCAGTAACCTTCTTCATTATCCCAGTCGGTGCATAAAAATTGAACGTTAAACACCATTTCATTTCCGTGTTAGTGATGCAGTACAGAGAACCTGGAAGTAAAAATATATAGTTGTTCGGATGATATGGAAAAAAACTGTCAAACTTATACATAGCATTGACTGCGTATTAAAAAACAGATTAAGAAAATATGAAATGAGAGAGAGAGAAAAATATGGTTTAACGTCCAGTCAACACAAACTAAGTCATTTCGGGACTAATATATGGTTCAATTTTATTTCAATAATTCGCTTGCGCGTAGCGTTCTTTAGTAGTGTGAGGCAACTTGAGGACCCGGAGAAAACCCACGAGGTTGGACAGGCAACCCAACTCCTTGTCACGTACAATCAGGAAATCGAAACCATGCCAGTTGACTCAATGACTGACCTTATGATAAGCGCGCACACTCTCACCATTAGGCCATCCAACCCCCCAAATATGAAATCATATGATAAACGATTGATTATCCTTCTATAGAAATGCATTTTCCTATGTATTTCATTTATATTTTAATCTTCATAAATAATTGAAAACGACAATATTAAAGATACATTATGTAAGATTTAGATAAAGAAATAGCCATTCTTGCTATAATAGTTCGAAAGTAGATGATGTAAAATTAATAATTTGAAAATTTCATTCAAATTACTCTATTTCAAGCTAAGATATTAGCCTTTGAAGGTTTGACAGACGTGTGCAATAATTTCAACCACCGTACTAGTTGATCAAAGCTAAGTCTTGGTCTTCCATATTTGATTAAATCAAAGTATCGCTGAACCATTCTAATCTATTTAATATCAGAGAAATCTGATGCCATTGAGAGTTGATTAAGGCCTGGATCAGTTAATTAATGTCTAATTAATACTTTAGAAAACATTTCAGGCCTAAAGAAAGACCTGCAATAGGCAGATTTAGCTCTTGCATAATGTATGTTTAAACAATACATGTATATAAAAGTAAATATATAATTTTTTTGTTACAGAGATTCATGGTTTACGAGTGGTGGTTTGAGTTCAACTGTTTCTGGTGGTATCCAGTGGAATGGAGATGGAACTTTTTCTCAGGGACTCAGCTTCTGGTTAAATGGTACAGATCCAAGTAATAATCGAGATGGAAATAAACTGGTTTATAAATTTTCAGGTAGGCCTATACAAATAAGAATTTTTTGTTTAGTTTTTTTTTTTTTAAAGATTGCTGTGACTGTTTAGCTAGAAGATAGAAGACAAATAAGTTTCATGTCAATTTAGTAAAAAAGAAAAACCTTTGAATAGTTTATATAAAGTATATATTCAGATATTACAGGTATTATAAAGTATATATTCAGATATTGAAGGTACAATGTATTATAAAGTATATATTCAGATAGAATTATTATTACTTTATCACTATTTGTCGAAGATACATTAAGATGGTGTGTGAAATAGAATAGAATTCTACTTTGAAAGACCATGGCTCAATTTGAAAAGATCAGAACAGTGTCTAGTCATTCGGATGGGACAACAAATTGAGGTTGCATGTACACAGATACGTGCATGTAAAAGAACACTTGAAAGTTGGAATTAGAAATAGAGTAGGCTGTTGTGCTACTGTCTGGGCAAAATTTCTCTCATAGCACACTGTATTATGTCCATGTACATTAGCCCTGTCTGTGCAGAACAGTAGGACATTAAACCCCATTTTATTTCGACTTGAATAATTTTTCAACCAAATGTTAATGTTTGATTATGCATTGTCTTTATCTCTGTTCTGGCATGTTGGGGTTTAAATAGTATTAGTTATAATATGATTTCTATGTAAATTTGTCTCATATTAGGTACCGAATATGCCTGGAGTACAGAACCTCCAACTTCTGTTTTATCATTTATTTGTGAAATCAGTCAAGTAGAAGCTTATCGTATTATTGAAGATAACAGAGATTTTGGTAAGTGTGTTGATTAAACCTTTCCTCACAATTTATTGTATAACAGAATTATATTTTATGTTATTACATAGAGTCTTACCTCTTTTTTTGAAATTATTTCACTTTATTGAAATTATTTCACTTTATTGAAATTATTTCACTTTATTGAAATTATTTCACTTTATTGAAATTATTTCACTTTATTGAAATTATTTCACTTTATTGAAATTATTTCAATTTATTGAAATTATCTCACCTTATTGAAATTATTTCATTTAATTGAAATTATTTCACTTAATTGAAATTATTTCACTTAATTGAAATTATTTCACTTAATTGAAATTATTTCACTTAATTGAAATTATTTCACTTAATTGTATAACAGAATTATATTTTATGTTATTAAATACAGTCCTACCAGATTTTTTGAAATTATTTCACTTTATTGAAATTATTTCACTTTATTGAAATTATTTCACTTTATTGAAATTATTTCACTCTATCGAAATTATCTCACTTTATTAAATTTTTTATTGGAATTATTTCACTTTATTGAAATTATTATTGGAATTATTTCACTTTTTTGAAATTATTATTGGAATTATTTCACTTTATTGAAATTATTATTGATATTATTATTGAAATTATTTCACTTTATTGAAATTATTATTGGAATTATTTCACTTTATTGAAATTATTTCACTTTGGTGAAATTATTACACATGATTGAAATAGGCTGGTAAATACATGTATCTTGTCCGATTTTCTCTTGTGTTTAAAATTATAGTAAATTGTTGAAATTATTGCACTTGATTCATACAGGTAAGGTAGAGCTGTCCCTTGCTTAAATTTTTTACCCTTTATTCAAACGGGGAAGGTTCATTAGCCCAGTTTAGGAGCAAAACAGTAGGGCGTTAAACCCCATTTCATTTCATTTCATATTTAAAATTATACCAATTTATTAAAATATGGTGCTTTATTGAAAGAAGTAAGGTAGAATTTATCCAAACAGGGACAGGACTCCCCATGTTTAAATTTTGATAATTTAGTAATATTATTATTTTATTTATTAAACTGAGTTACATGTTGGGTTTTCTGATTATGTAACTGTAAGGACATATATCTGCTACAGTTTTGACTTTCAATTTCCCAGTCATACAAATCTTTAAGAAGCCTTCAAGGAGTTATAGAAGGCTTGTTCAAAATATCCTTCTCATATTAGATAGATTATTCTATTTCAATATATACATGTAGGTGATTCTAAATTTAAATATATTACTTCAAGTTATGACTGAAAGTGATTATGACTCTGATTTATTTTCTTTTCCAATAGATTATGGTTTGGATATTATTGATCCAAATTTAGTTCCTAGAGGTCCAGACTTTCTTATTGAACCTGCCGATACAGTTATTTTGGGGAAAACAACATCTATGTATTTAGATTGTGTAGCAACTGGAATGCCGCTTCCAAAGTATACTTGGCACAAAATAAACTCAACTGGAAAAATATTGGTGTCCTATGAAGCTGACAAGCGTTACACACTTACAAATGGTCGTTTATCGATAGCAAATCCATCATCTGTTGATGAAAGTGATTACCAATGTTTAGCTGAAAATTCACAAGGAATGGCTCTCAGTCAACGAGTAAAATTATCTTTTGGAAGTAAGTAGTCAGATACATTTCGCTATTTAAAGATGCATTATGTAAGAGCTAAATCTGTCTGTTGCAGGTATTCTTTCAAACTTCAAAATGTTATATTTATTATTTAGTCATTTATTCACATGACAAGCCCATAATCATCAACTATTTAGGTCATAGGATGACTTAGATATTTAATGGATTAGAAACTTCTCACAATTTTAAATGAAACGATAAAATGGATAGTCAAGGCGTTGTTTTTTATTGTAGCAATGGTACATGACAATCGAGATCATGTTGTTAAGACTTCACTTATAATAAAAGAGTTTGACTGAAATTTATCCTTTTTCTAAATCTTGCCTTTAATGCATCTTAATAGTTTATATGGCTAAAACAGCATTGCAGTCAGTGAAATGATATAAAAGTCGCATGAATTATTTATATAATATCCTTCTGTCTTGAATCATAAAATCTATTTTTTCAGCATAGCAAGTGATGGATTTCCTCGAATTTTATATACTTGTATAATAAACATAAAATTGCTGTATCTCAAGTCAGTGTTTACATGTTGTTATTGTCATTATATTAAATCTTATTTTATTTTGACTGTTTTTAGCTTTGGGAGAGTTTTCTAATGTAGAAACCGATCAAATAACAAGCTACCAGCATGATGGAACACAAATGCAATGCCCTTCTATAACCTTTAAACCTGGTAAGCTGTATACCTTTATGTATTAAGGTGGGTGGGCGACTGAATAGTGAATGTGTGTGCCTTAGATCAGAAGGTCTGTCATTTTGACAGATTTATTTTAAATTTGGTGTGTAACATTGGGGTCATGAGAGTACGAACCATATCGATATTCAGCGATCTGTGACATTCCGTTCTGAAATTATCCACCTTTTCCGAAAACCTTGTGAGCGCAATAGAGACAACCGCTTGTTTAAAGAGAAATGAAAAGTTACACATTTAAATATTTGACTATTGTATGTCAATTTTTGATTTTTTACAGCTATTGTATACCAGTGGTACAAGGATTATGTTCCGAATTTTGTTCGACCTTCATTACAAAAGCATATTTTCATTTCGGATAATGGAAAGATGTACTTTTCTGAGGTAACAACAGAAGATGCTGGTAGATACCATTGCATGGTAACCCTGGCAACTACAGGTGTCCTTGGAAACTATATTGGTGCTTATCAAGCCCCCAGTCGTGCAAGTTTGGGCTTCAATCTTGTGGTGAAATCTCAAGGTAAAATCATGAATTAATTACTGTGGTGTCTTTTTCAGTGTATTCTATTTTGTTTTATTTTTCATAGTTCCAATTTTGTTTCATTAGTCTTCACAACAGCAGGATCTGAAAGGATGTTTAAATAATCCCTGTTCTCTTTAATATAAGAGATAAGGCAATGAAATGGTCTTTTAAGTTGAGCTTAAGCCGAAGTGTGCACTAAATTATGGGAGACATCTATAGGCGTAGGGGGCTGAGGCTATTTGCCAGAAAATTTTCTTAGTGAATCAATCATTAACTAAAACGAGTTTTCCTCAAAGCTGTGATAGTTGTTTATTTTTAATTAATTACAGAATTACACAACAATATAAATTTACAATATGTTAAGCAAAAAACAACTTAATGTTTTCCATTCTCTGAATAATAGATGGTTCACCGAATCTGGGGGCCCCTGCTCCTACGCCTATGGAGACATCTATGGAATCAGGGCTGCCGACAACCAGTATCGCAGCGCAATTTGCGATACATATTTTGTCCGTTGCTAATCAAAAATTAAAATCTAACGTTTTTGATTCGCAGTAACTGCGAATCATTAATATGCCTGTCATTTTGGATATTGACACAAAGATTTATCCACATTTCTCAACACTTTCAACGTGTATAAAATATCAAATAAATTTTATAAACAAAACGGAATTCTCCGTGTGACATTTTCTTCTCAAACTACCCAGACTCAATTCATGATACTATATAATACAGGGACATAACTCTATGAATCGAGACTATTAAACCGGAAATAGGGAATCAAGTAGTACCACTCACGTTGCGAGACATGTCAATTTCGAGTAATTATATCAGTATTCAATTTGAAAAAAAATAAATTCAGTGTATCCCCCACGTATTGTAAATAAAATATAAAAAATAAATACGTGTAAACGTATTGTAAAGTGAGAAATCAAAGTAAGAATTCCCGTAAACTATTATTGTTTATATCGCGTGCGTCTAGTTAATCGAGATTATTCGTAAAATACCGCGTGCTTCCGATTGAACAAAAATAATAACACACGATAAAAAGCAGACGAAATTGTTTTCTAACGAAGAAATAAGAAGCTACTGCCAAGAATTGGCTTCAGACATAAGGCCTAACAAAAGTCTACATTCATTCAGAAATGTTCACAGCTAGCTGTAGAAGTGCTAAAATTCTAAAAAAATCTTGAGAATGAAATCTAATCATTTGCTATCAATTAAAATTAAAATAATCTTGTTATTTAGGTGTTTTATGTTGATTTGAAACTGAAAAAGTGCTAATCAATTTTTAAATTTGCTAATCAACTTTGGCAAAATTGGACTTTTTGATTAGCAGTGCTGCTAATCATCTGTGAAAAATTACCGACAGCCCTGTATGGAATAGATCATGGCCTCCTTCACAAACTGGTCTGCCTTATACAATGGAGTGGTGGCCATCGAAAATATATTTTTCTTTACCCATACAGTAAAACTTGAGCCATACCTCCAATAATATTCTGGTTCTCAGACAAACCATTGAAAAAAATCTGAAGTTTTATTTTTTTGTTTTATTTTTTTTTAAATCATGTGGTTAAATGACTTTTTAACAAAAAATATTTAATGGTTGTACTTTTATCTCATCTGTTTATTCATGCTTAACTTTTTGATTTCATATATTATAATGTCTAATGGTAAACTTAGTTTTTGTAGTTCCAATCTCAATGATGTTCCTTCTATCTCCCATTTCCTTGGACAGTGGTGTATGATTTGAGTCATTACTACATGTAATTTCCAGGATATTTATTCAAGAAAGAATGCACAAAAATTGTCTTTAAAAACTATATAGGCAGAAAAAGTTACCTTCCTTCACGAAAGAAGCATATGAAAGTGTTTTAATCAGTCAAGATGTTTTATGTTTCGAAATATAACATAGTATGTGGACCCTTTAATGTGATGCATCAGTATCTTAGAACCAGGTGGTTGACGTTGTATTTCTTTGGAAACTTGATTGTTATATCCCCATTTGGATTGACAGATTAAAATATTTTCCAAATGTAAACTCTTACATTTTCTTTTCACCATGAATAAAATATTTAATTTTTTTTTATAGCTGCTGGAAATTTCCAACCCCAGATTCAAGATGATTTCATATCAGTTTTTCCTGGAAATCCTAAAAGAGGACAGTCTATTTCATTAGAGTGTTTTGCCTTTGGAACGTAAGTAAAAGTATTAAAAATGATAATCTCCAGCATTTTTGATTTTGCTCATGAAAATTTACAAATTCTGGGCATAATCCTTAAAGCTATTTCAATAAATTTATGGATGCTTATTTCCATGGTGATAAATATGACTTAATAAAGACCCATTTTTACGGTGAGACTTGTAGTAACTACTCGTAGTATCGACCCGAGATGCAGTGTGAGAACACCCTAGTCGTACCAACTTTTACAAGCTCCCAACCAGCTGAAAGCGAGTTGAGTGAAATAGAAACTTCCCTATTTCAGTCAACAGATCGTATGAAATTGACCAATCAGAGATGTCGAGTATTAGTACAAACACAAGTTCTGTCCCTTTGTTGTTGGTAAACATGGACGCAAACGGATTTGAGTTTTCTCTTTTTCTTTTTGTTCTTATTTATCAAATGTAGGGCAATAATAGCCAGCGTCTCTTGATGACACCATTATGCTAAGACAAGACGAGATTATCGCGAGATTCCAAGTCGTATCAACGCATTTATATACGATTTTGTAATCTACATGTAGATACTACATGTAGATACTACAAGTAGTTACTACAAGTCGCACCGTGAGAACGGGCCTTAAGCTTACTTAAATTATCATTCGAAATAATTTAATTTACATGATAGTCAGTATAAAGCTTACGGTTTTAAAGAAATTTAATTAGAATGGGGTATATAATTTAATTTACATGGTAGTCAGTATAAAGATTACAGTTTTAAAGAAATTTAATTAGAATGGGGTATATATTTTATCACATTTCAGGGGTCCCTTGTTCTATACATGGGAAAGAATAGGTATTGACATGCCAAAAGGGGTGACTTTTGGTGATCATAATCGTAAGTTGTTGATTCCAAATGTGCAGTTAGAAGATCAAGGTATTTATAGGTGTCGTGTCTACAGTTCAAAAACACAATTATCAGACACAGAAGATTACACACTACGTATAGAGTGTAAGTATATATTAAACAAGGACTTGGACTGTATGGGAGATAGCATTTCAGCCTGATAGGCTTGGAAAATTAACTGTCAGTTTGTTTACTTTCTCCAAAATTTAGATTTGCTCTGGATTTAACACTAATTAGCATTAAGTGTTTCTAAAGAATTATGAAATATACTGAATTTGTCCCATGTGGAAGAGTAATGGTATGTGATCAGCATAAACTAATAACATTATGCAGGGATGTATAAACAGAATGTATGATTTCCATACTGTTTTGTGTTTGGAGGTTTGCATATATTCTATAAAAAACTAAATGGTTAAGCTGCATTAATATGTTTGTGAAAATGGAGCGGTGGATGGCTTGTATTGAAGTTGTGTAATGTGTGCTTTAGATCATAGGTCTGTCATTGAGTCATGTGGTATGGTTTTTATCCCACCTGTTGAGAAAGGAGTAAGGTTGTCTGACTATCCTTGTGGGTTTTCTCCAGGTGCTTCTGTTTTCCCCCACTGCTAGAGAGAGAGAGAGAAATGGGGTTTAACGTCCACTCGACACAAACTAGGTCATTTTGGGACTAACATATGGTTTAATTTTATTTCCATAATTCGCATTGCGCATAGGGGTCTTTAGCAGTGGGAGGAAACCGGAGAAAACCCATGAGGTAAACAGGCGACCCTACTCCTTGTCAAGTACAACCGGGGATTCGAAACCACGCCAGTTGACTCAATGACAGGCTTTATGATACAGCGCGCACATGCTCACCATTCGGCCATCCACCCCCCCACCCCCCACCCCCCCACTACAAACAGGTGAATTATTGAAATGAGCAAGAGTGTGTTGAGTGGCCGTTAAACCCCCCATCTCTATCAGGTCAAATTGAAATTTCATTGATTATCGTTCCCCACCTTTTTATTCTTTCCTTTTTCAAAATCATGCATTATTATCATTTAGTTAAATACATGTGCACAAAGAAGTCAGATGTTATTTAGTTATTTTTGTTTTTCAGCAAAGCCGTATTTCACGTTTCCACTAAAGCATCAGCATGTTGACATGAATGACAGATTAACTTGGCATTGTGATGCTGGGGCTAGTCCTATGCCTACCTATCGCTGGTATAAAAATGGGGTTCCGGTTACAAATCAGACTGGTGTTATAACTGCTAACAGAAATACACTCAGAATAGAGAACCTGCAGAAAGAACATGCTGGAATTTACCAGTGTGCAGCAACTAATGTTTATGGAACTGTTTTCAGTACTGCACAACTACGAGTTTTAGGTATGACCCCTGTTATCTAAGGTCATTGTACTTTCTAGCAAGAACCATTTCCACGCAAAAACTATGATGTGGTGATAAAATAATTCCATGGTTTCAGATAAAAATTTTAAACTTTTGTCAGGGAAATTTGGGAAAGGTTGCCAGTCAAAATCTTTTGAGTGTTCATAGAATACAATTTATTACTGAGACATAATGATAAATGCACCAGTGATTTAATGGAAGTGCTGTTAAGACATATTGTAGCTGAAATGTGATTGTAGCATTTTACTAACACAAGAAAATCTAAGAAAGCCCATAACTTTACAGTGAAATATGGCCACGAGGGATAAAAATCATAAGTCAGTAACAGTTGGTTCAATGTAAGGCCATCGGGCAGGCAGTCTGGCAAAGCGACAAATTGTCCACGTTGATGAACCCATGTTACAGCAGTACAGGAAGCTGGCTGCATGTGATCATGCAGGTGTTGCTGAATAATGTGCCGTGTTTTTCAGGGCATTGTTACACATTGCCCTCCAGGCAATGACCGATCTCAAATGGAACTTGTCTACTGTTAATGAACGACCAGCCTCAAGATGGTGGTGTGGTACCATCCAAACCCTCTCGTGACGGCTATGGTTCTCAGGCCTACTTGATTGACATAAAGGCTTGGTCTGTGTTTTTGTGTTAACCTTTGCATATTATTTTTAAAAGCCCCATTTTATACCCCATGTCTGCACAATGAAATACTGATTTTCAAAATTCTCCTTGTGTTAAATTCATTTTTTTGTGTTTGTGAGAATTTATTTGTGTTGCATTTTCTCGATCCATTGATTGTATGTAATAAGGATACTTTGAAACTTCTATGTGGTTTAATACATTAAGAGACGATGAATTGGACATGTTCAATGAGAATTTAAACTACATATTTATAGACTGGTGCAGACGTATTAGCCTTAAACTATTTATTGATGACGTTGCTGGATCCCGGGCAAATATATAGATTCTCTCGTTTTTATTTGGACAATAATATTATTAATGGAAATAAATTAAGTGGAATTGTGATTCCATAAAAATATTACTGATAATGAAAATCATCTTTTGGATTTCAATAGTAAAGGACTTGTATCAAAGAAATCAAAAATATTTTTTTTTATTAATCGTTTCAGAGTTCAAGCCATCATTCAAGAAATATCCATTGGAACAACGTGTGGCTGCTACAAATGGGGGTAATGTTACTTATGTTTGTAATCCGGAAGCTGCACCTACTCCTGTCTATAAATGGTTGAAAAATGGCCGTGATCTGGGCCTGACTCCAGGAACAATATCTGGTAATATGCGTATGCTGATGAATGGAAATCTATATATTGAGGGTGTACGACAAGCTGATCAGGGCACATATACATGTGAAGTGGAGAATGCTTTAGGAAAAGCTTCAAGTTCTGGTCAACTTACAGTTGTTGGTAAATACCTTTCTATATTGTTAAAAAAAATTATGTTTCAAACATTGAAAGTCAGTACTTTACTGTGAAATACAACTGTGCCTATTGTTTCACTAACAATGCCACTAAAGATCATCAGAAAAGTTTCATAATTCTTTTTAATAATGCAAGTCATTATGTCAACATATCCCTTCATAAGTTTAAAAACGATCCTGAATGTCAATGTTAACTGCCACAGATAAATTTCACCTTAGTGATTTCGCCGTTTTCCATGAGTAGTTGTAACTACCGCCAATAAACAAGCCGTGATGTTATGTTAGTCTATCTCATAGAAATATAGACTAGAATATGAGCAGAAGGACTAACATTACGTCACGGTTTGTTTATTGGCGGAAAGTTACGACTACTCACAGAATATGGAGGAAATCTACCTGTGGCAGGTAACATTGACATGTGGGATCATATTATACATATGGAGAGGAAATGCTGACATAATTCTTGGCATTATTTAGAAAATTTATGGAGAGTTTCTGGTTACCTTTAAGGACACTTTTCTCAGCAAAAAGTCTCTTTGAAAATAAGAAATACATGCATTAAATACCATTGACTATCTGTCTCTTTAATTCTATCGCTAATCAGAACAAAGATAAATAGCTGATCTAATCAATATGGTTAATAACTTAACAGCAATCCTATCATATTTAAACTAGTGTATAATCTCTATTTAAGATACATTCGAACGAAATTATTTCCAATAAAAGTATGGCATGTTTGGTATTTATGGAAAGTAGAGACACGTGATCTTACTAGTCACGTAACAAATAAGGAGGCTCCAAAATAGGTTGTTGCAGCGTGGGGTAGTTTTCTTAAGATTAAAATGTTTTGAGAGGGATTTGAAGAAAACTTTTCATAGATAATAAATTAGATTAAATATTTTTTATTCCAAATACATCACTAAGTTGCACAGTTTGTAGGCAGGAAGGCATCTTTAAAAGTAGTCCCACGGATGCATCTGGTCACATTATATCCAGTTATCATTTATGTTGAACCCCTTTCAGGTTGCATTTAATTCATGACACATTAATTTCTTGGTTTACAGTAATACATTCTGTGTTTATTGATATATCTGTTAAAATCTACTTATCTAATATTTCAGAGGAAACAAGAATAACTAGAAATCCCAGTCCTGAAAGAGTTATTATTAACTCAACTGCTACTATGATATGTGAAGGCTCATATAATCCAAAAATGGACATGGTTTACAATTGGTTGTTTAATAAATATCCAATTGATTTTGAAGATAGTCCCCACTACAGAATGGTAATTATCACATATTATATACGTCTAGACTGTAAAGTATCTTTCTTAAAGTAACAGTCGTTTCCAAAAGGGGGATTTCTGACTAAATCGCATGCACCAATGAAAGAAGAACATATTGTAACCTGCCATGAATTTAGGATCATATTTGTTTTGATCAGTTACATATGTGTCACAATACGACTCTGACTATCTCAGTTATTGGGATTGACAGAAGTGTGACAGGATTTAAGCCCATGTTACAATATTGCTATTCAAGCAAACAGCTTGGTGTAGCAAAAAGCAAAGCCATGTCCTAGAAATTCAGTGATGAGTTAAAAGGTGTATGACTCTATTCTTTGCAGACTTAAAGATACATTATGGGAGATTAGATAAAGAGCTGATAGTTCTCACTATAATAGTCAAAAACTAGATAATGTAAAGGGAATTTGCTGAAAATTTTAGTCAAATTGATCCACCCTGAACCAAGTATTTAATGATTGATTTTTGGGCCTAGCCTTGATCATCTTTACTAAAGTCTGTATGATAAAAAAAACATAGTCTCGATTATCCATTTTTTGATTTAATCAGAAGGAGCAGACCGGGTTCTAATCCAGGAAATATCGCAGACTACGATGCCATCGAGATTGATTATGGTCTGGATAAGTTAATTAATGTCTAATTAATAATTTAGATAACATTTCAGGCCTAAAGAAAGGCCTGCAATTGGCAGATTTAGCTCTTGCATAATGTATGTTTAAAATAGATGAAAATAGGTTTGAAAGCACATGTTAATGTAATATGAATGTATATAAAGTGATTTATATACAATTTTTATAGAATTTTTGTAATTTTTGATCAATTATGTTCAGTGAAATATGTGAACAGTTCTAATTGAACGACAGTCATCTATGTCTGCATAGTACATTCTACACGCAGTTTTATATTGTTATTTGTTCCTTTGTTAACGTTAGATATGTTTTTATTTGTTCATTACAAATGTCCCTCAAAACCATAGAATACATGACTCATGTAGGCCTACTGATAATAAAATGTTCATTGTGTCCTAAATATTGCATATTAGAATCACAGATTTTCACGGCACGATAACAACATCGGTATTGATTTAAATGGAATTGACCTATATTGAATTTTAATTTGTGCCCTGAACTGATTTTCTCTTAAAATGCTAGCAGGCGACTGAATAATCATTTATTTCCATATGCAAACATTAGAGCTAATGACATCTATCCTACCTCTTTTGTTTTGTTACAAGCTCCTGCATATATTTACTGATACTCTCCAAGTGAAGTGTACAATGTAGATAGTAATCAAGGATATCTATTAATATTATCTGATATTATATTTCAGGGTAGTGGCGTAACACAAGGTTATCTTTATATATTAGGTGCTCAGTTTACACATGCTGGATCCTATACATGTCAAGTTTCAACAGGCCTTGATCAACAATCTGCCTCTGCTATTCTCACGGTTTTAGGTATGTATTTTCATTTTTCAAGCTTGTTATGCTTGGTTAATCAGTTTTGTTACATCAAGGTCACACTATTGTGGACAGTTTGGAGAACTAAACCACAAAACAAAGACACTGCAAAAAACACCAGAACACACATAATTATCCGGTGCCCATTCCTCACTGCTTTTAGTTTTTAGTTATTAAGCATTTTGTCTATACATTGAAAGTGCAAATATTTTGTATTTTTGTGAGAATTTGAAGCAAAGAAATGCATAAAATTTGTATTGTTTTTTTTATGGTTTCATAGGTCCACCAGGAGAACCAGCTGGTTTGTTTAGAGATGTTTCAAATCTAGCTCAACCACGTACAGTCAGGTTATTATGGACAGACGGTTCTACTAATGGAGCAGAAATCTTGTACTATGTTATAGAATTCAGCACAAACTTTGATACAAAGTGGAGAGTCTTATTGGATAGTATGTACATTTTATTGTTGTATACATCATTCTTGAATGTTTAAATTTGATGTCAATGGTTATCAGTGGCGGACAGGGTATAAGGGCTTGGCCCTCAGACTGACTGGTTTGCTTGGGCCCATTTTGCGTGTGAAGAATATGTTGCTCTCACCCACTCTTGAATCATTTTCTCCTTGGATTTAGGCCATTATATTTTTCTGTGTGGATGCAAAGATAAATTTTATTTATTCAGAATGCCTAGTCCACTCCTGATGGTTATTGTTAAAACAGTTTAGTGCCAGTGGGATATATTTTACAAAATACATCTGAAAGATCACGTTTTCCTATTGGCATTAACACTGTTCAGTGTGTCTTGAAACTGTCAGACAGGATAATCACAATTTAACTCATGCACCTATTTAATTTTACTTACTGTACTAAACAAATAAAGATTTTTGATGAAAAAAAAGTATAAAGTTAATTTCTAACAAAAATTGTCTGTAGTAAACAAGATGAATAATTATTTGATAGTCATGTAGAGTCTATTACTTAATACGCTTGTTAATCATGCAGTCTCCGTACTTTCTCCTTTTCAGGATTATATGTGGGCGATGCTATTTCTGCTAGATACACCTCCAAAAAAGTTGCGACATTGAATAATCTGAAGCCAGGAGCTGGTTATCTATTCCGTGTACGAGCTATGAATAGATATGGATTAGGGGCTCCAAGTCAACCATCAGGTAAGTGAATCTTGTCTTCTGATAAAAGCAGTTTCATTTGCCAGAATATTCTAGAACAATGTGGGAAATTCTATATATTCATGAAGGGAGTCACGGTGGCTAAGGGAGTATGGCACTGGCTCACTAACCAAGAGACCCAGAGTTTCAATCCTAGCTTCCCTTGTCAGTGGTGCAGGATGGAGCATCTGATAAGGACAGCGTCTTGTCGTTTGTATGGACAGGGCCTAAAATAACGTGCCTTGGAGCACGAACTTGCATCGAAATGAAAACTCTGTACTTCAAAAATAAGAAAACCGTGCTCTGAAAAAAATGGTGTAGTGCTCTGAAAAAGTGTAAGGTAGCGATGCCTCCTGACCCCTAATGAGTGTCAACTGGCACTCCCTCGATTCATCCGACTGAGTCGATCGAGCGCCAGCCGCATCATGCTGATGTGATGATAGAATTTGAATTATAATTTAAATATTATCGTAACAAAAGTGGTGTGTTATCTTCATAGTGCTGAGTTTTCATGTGAAAAAAATCTGCACATAGCTAAATAAACTCCCATATAAACTGTGCCAGAATAGTCCACAGATGCCATTTTTCAGCTCTGAATTTTCAAAATTTTCGGGGTGGTCACCTGCCCGGACACAGAATCTGTGCTACGAGAATTTAACCTTATATTAGGCCCTGTGTATGGGACGGAAACAGAGGTCCTATGTACACGTATGCAGTCACATAAAAGAACCCTGGACAGATGGAAAATCGAAATAAGAGTAGGCTGTAGTGCATCTGTCGGGACAAAATTTTGCTCATAGCCCACTGCATGGCATACGCCTGTCCTCATTAGCCCAGTTGGTGCAGAACAGGAGGATGTTAAACCCTATTTCATTTATATTTTTATGAACTCCAAAAAACACAAAACAAAGTTGATTTTAGTTTTTATTTTCTTATATAACGATTCTGAGAAACAGAGTTTATTTGTACAGTTTATAATGTCCTAAAGTAAAGTATTGGTGATGTTTTAGATCATTTGATATTTTCATTTGTAATAAAAATGTCTTGTGTTTTTAGCTGTTATTCAAATTCCAAGTGATATTCCTAAGAAAGCACCAGATAATGTTGGAGGTGGTGGGGGTAAAGTCGGAGATCTACGAATATCCTGGACTGTATGTATTGCAATTAAATACAACCATTCGTGCCCTATGTTCTGAGCATATAAATGTCTTAACTTTATAAAACTAAACTTTAATTGACATATTTTTAAAAGAAAATTTAACTGTACAGTCAACAAAACTGACCAAAACATTTCTTTGTGTTTTGTTTTTTGCCCAAGATATATGAAAAAAGTTATTTTGAATTTTTTCCTTGGTCGGAGATTTGCGAATCATGGTGCAGAACATGGGGCATATAGAATGTAGTTGAACTTTAACCCAACTATTTAAATATGCCACTGGTATATTTACTGTAGATAAGAAAATTGGGCCTAATTATGTTGAATGTATTGCAAAGAAAATAGTCCAGAAGATATATTCCATTAGTCACTTGATTAACATATTTCAAGTAAACAATGTCATCAGCTGATTATTACCTATGGCTTATCAAAGTCTTTTCAAATTTTATTGATCAGGGGTTGAGCAATCACATTCCCATGGGTTGCTGAATGAGATCGATTTAGACAGTGATGTAGTGGAGTAAACAGGCCTTGTGATCTGAAAATCACGCTGGAGTGATAAAATGTGTTTGCCATAAATTTTGCGGGAGCTATTTAACACTGCCAAATTTCTATCCGAGACAGTGCTTTTTATAAATTCAAAGATATATAAATTATAAATAAACACTGTTTATAGGCTAAATGTTCATAGATAAAAAAGCATTAAACAGAATACCATTTCTTTAGATATCATGCATGTGTATGTCCAATTACATTTCAACAGGGGGGGGGGGGGCGTTGGATGGCTGAATGGTTAGCGCGCGCTGTATCATAAAGTCTGTCATTGAGTCGACTGGGGTGGTTTCGAATCCTCGGTTGTACGTGACAAGGAGTAGGGTCACCTGTCCAACCTCATGGGTTTTCTCTGAGTCCTCCGTTGTCCTCCCACTGCTAAAGACCCCTATGCGCAAGCAAATTATTGAAAATTAAACCATATGTTAGTCCCGAAATGACCTAGTTTGTGTCGAGTGGACGTTAAACCCCATGTTGAGGGTATACCATCTAGTGGTACATTTTAGGTAGTCCACTGAACGTTGACACAACAATACTGGGCTTCCTATAATGCTTTTTAATCACAAATTATGCCACGTAAAGTGAGCTTTTGTGCGTATTATTTATTTACTATCAAGTAACATTAAATAATGAACAGTAACAAGCCTCTCTTTGATAGATAACAAAACTACATTGTATCCACTGCCATACTGGTAAATCGCTTATTACAATTGGCTATGATTTTTGGAGTTAGATAGAGGTTCTAATGGAGACAAGCATTAAATTTCTTCACTGTATTTTGGAAATGTTTTTGGTTAAATATTCTTTTTAATTATTTTTTTAAAAACATAACTGTCAGTGTTTTTAAATAGTTTTGTCAAAATTCTCAAATAAAAATGTTAAAATGCACGCCTAGGTATTCTTTACAATCGATCTAAATTTCACATTTGCTTGTTAAATTGATAATCCCATGTCTTTGCACCTGAATAAAGGAACAGCTATGTGATGTTGACATCGAAAATCGACCTGAGCTTTATTGGGAGATTTCATCCATGGTTTTGGGGACGATGTCGCCTACTATTTTGAGCCCAAAGATCAGTGTTAATAAAATTGAATAATTTGCTGGCGCGATAATTCGTGTTCGCTAGTTTTAATTTTAAGGCCTGAGTTAACAAGCAAAAATAAAATAGATTCAATGTCTGCATAATTTTAGTGAGACTGCATAAGTATATGTTAACTTGATCAATGTGAACTATACTATTTGTACATCCAAATTGAAATGTGTTTATATATTGCCATCAACCCTGCCCATCGGCCGTCTACAATTTCTTGTGAACACCCTACAGGCTACATTTATTATCCAACATTTTTCAGTTAAATTTATGTATGTTGTTAAGAGCTGCAGAAGTCTATTGGATCATAGTTCAAACTCGTGAAACAAAGAATTTAGTTGCAATAATTTTGGATATTTAGTTCTCGAGTTATTGCTCTTGATTGTGCCATAGAATCTTGTCAATGTGCTTTTGAGATTATACAATATCGAATACTTTTTATTTAGCTAAAGATTTAGAATATAGCAACTTTTTGTTGACTAATTCATTTGAGCAGTGGGTGTATGTTTCATTGTCTATAAAAACCCCAGAAGATTTCAAGTGAAATAGTTTCCATTTCATATAAACAAATTATTGGTATATTTGATTGTTTGGAATTGTCATAATTGATTATATTTCCAGCCAATGAATAAGGAAGATTTAAATGGAGAGAACTTAGGTTATACTGTGTACTGGAGAAAAAAACCAACCCAATCATCAGAATCAAAATGGGAAGAGGTAATTTTATACGCTCACATTTTATTATCCAATTTCAAATACTACCAAAAACAAACACATTGCTTCACATTAATGATCCAGTACTACCAAAGAATGACAAATACAATTATTTTGATGAAAATACCTTAATTTGTGAAAATATTTTTGTATATATCAGTTTTGATGATAACTATATAGTAATGGGTGGTTATATTAACATCAAGTTTTTATATTCCAGCGACAAATATCTGGAGCTGAAAAAGGAGAATTCTTTTATACTGTTGGGGATGAGAATTTTTACTTAGATTATGAAGTGCGTGTGAGAGCCTTCAATGAAATAGGTGCAGGCAATCTATCAGACATTGTTACTATAAAATCTGCAGAAGCCTGTAAGTATAAGATAAAGAACAGAAACAAACATTTCTGAATTAATTGTAATATACACTATTATTATCAAGTTCACAAGTATATGTTAGGGTGCCCCATGCAATTAAAATTTGCTATTTTAAAAGGTTAACTCACCACAGCAAATCTTATCTCTTAACTGACAATTTTAAGTCTCCAAGCTATTATCGGCTAGACAGGCAGCACAAGAATAATCCATGGTATGTTCTATTAGGCTAAAATAGCCATCGAATGTGAAATTCTCTACACATCTATTAACTATTAAAGCTGTAAAAAAATCTATTGGTTAACGATTCTGAATAATCCAGGGTATGTTCTATTAGGCTAAAATAGCAATCAAACGTGAAATTCTCTACACATCTATTAACTATTAAAGCTGTAAAAAATCTGTTGTTAATGATTCTGAATAACATTAATATTTAACTTTTAGGTTGTTATAGCGAAACTACATTACCATACTTCAACTTTCAAAGCCGACAAAACAGGTTTTCTCCAGTTTTTGAAAGCAAAATTATATTGAAATGATACTTCTTGGAGCCCAAAAGAGTCTATATTCTTATTCTATATCAAGAGTTGCTCTATAACGACAAATATGAGGGGTCTAAATCTTTCAGAAATAATTTCCATCTGATCGTCAGAACTCAATATTCTAATTCATGAAGCGGAATAACCCTTTATTTCTCATTTTGGGGGCAAAAAAAAATTAGAACAGTATGATGTACATCCAAAAAGGTTACATATTTTTAATCTATGCATAGAAGTAATTCTAAAATCAATGTGAAAATTCAACCATTTTGATAATATTCATTTAAACTCCATCAGCGCACATATTTCAAGTGCCATCAAATACACAAGATGGAGTTTCATGTATGTTATAGTGGGGTAAATGAAGTTTCATTTTCAACCTGTTTCAAAATTTTACCTCCTGTGCAACATGGCCTAAATTGAAGGAGAAAATGGATAAAATTTGTACACTTTCAGTTTGCAATCAATTTTGAGGCTGAATATTTTGAAAAGTATATATCATATCCCATCGACTCAAAATCTTTTGTAAATTGATAACAGACCAACGTACATTAACTACACAAATTTTGAAGGTTATAAATACAATAGTGACTGCCAGAGGCTGCGGAAATCCTAAAAAAAAAGTAAATGGTTCATTTGTTCCACATTTTAGAAATGCGAGTTTCAAGCACCCGAAAACCTGAAAAAAAATTACTGAATTTATAGCCTGTTTCGGCACCCTAATTTTAATTGGCCATATCTCAGCGAGTTTTTGACCTAGAGAGTTAATTTTTTTGATTTGTTGGTTTAAGATCATATTCTATCACATATTTTTGGGAGGGGGTTATGTTCCCACCATTGGTCCAGTTGACATGGAATGACCCATATATCATTCAAAACAAAGGCAATATTTGTGATATATATAAAACAATCTGTTTGATAGAACGTTATGTTTTTCAGTACCAACTGGAACTCCTAGAAGTGTATTCTCTGATAGTTATAATAGTACATCTTTAATGGTGTATTGGAAACCAGTAACAGACACCAGAGCAGAAATGAAGGGGAAGCTCATTGGTTACAAGGTATAAAAGTTGTCTTGTACTCTGCATCAACTTATATAGGGATGAATGTAAAAAAAAACCCAAGGACATTGTTCTGCTCTACATTGTATGACTTTTCTGTTAGACAGCTAAATAAAGTGAAATGAATTAGGGTTTAACATTCTACTTTTTTGCACCAACTAATGCTGAGTATTGTAACCCTTTTACTGCAAAGTCAAAGGATATTTTTTAAGCTTTTAACTACAACAATTACTTGAACTATTCCAAATACTCAATGTGAAAATGTATAACTTTTTAAATTTTTCAACACCATTATTCAAAATATAATCATAAAGTCTAGAAAATGCGATCAAAATAAATTATTTCTTTCGGCATTGCCAGAGGGAAAAATTTAGCAGTTTACTGTAAAACCATTTTAAATAATGTCATTTAGTATCTTTAATTCAGTGGTTTTCAACCTTTTTTGCCAGCGGCACATCTTAAAACACGTGAAAAACTTGCGGCACACCTTAAAACATGTGAAAAACTAGCGGCACACCTGGCTAAATATATATGAAAAATATTTGAATTTTGCAAAATAAAAACATGGCAAGTCATAGACGGCATACAACCTTAGACAGTACAACCGTAGACAAAGACTAGTCATAGATACATCGAGTGACTCAAACTAGTTAAACAAAAACACAGCTATCAATCTACCAGTAAACACCAGTGAATACTCAATTGGGATCACATGGTTTTTTGCATTTTCTCAGTGTGTCGTTCAAAATTATCGCGGCACACTGGTTGAGAATCACTGATTTACTTGTTACCAAAATTCTGGCACAGCAAGATTTGGATTTACATAGAATAATTGGGTAATTAAGAATTCAGTGTGGTTTAATTGTCGATATAGGGGGTCATAAATAACTTCAAATACAGACGTTATTCTGCATGTGTATTACAGTGAAATGTCACATGAGTCCAATATTTCATTTAGTATATCATTATGTATGTTGTCTGTACATTATTTGAAATAATGGTGTACGATGTTACATCTGTATTTGAATGATTATTTGTTAATCCTATGAATGTTTCTATTATTCAGATCAATTATTGGAGAAAAGATATAGATATTGAGACCGGAGCTCCACAGAACATTTTATCTGGACAAATTGATCATGGTTTGATAATAGGTCTAGAAGCGGATACATGGTACACAGTTAATGTACAGGTTTATAATGGAGCTGGTAACGGACCCAAGAGTGAACTTTACCATCAAAGTACCGACAGACCTGGTAAACATGAAATTCTTTTGTACTTCTACTAAAATAAACAGATTTGGATTTGAACTAAATAACATTTGCAGGTTTTGTGTAGAATACTGATGAGGAATATGCATTGCTTCTTAAGTTATAATCAATTAGGTGCCTTGTTTCTTACGCAATGGTTAATCTTTGTTTTTACAGCTCCACAGCTTTACCCGACAGAAATATATGTAAATTCTCATTCAGAAGATTCAGTTCGTGTCTCATTCCGAGGTGTTAGCACACAGAGTTTTGAGGAACCTCTTCAAGGATACAAGGTAATGCCAAAAATCTGGATAAAATAACTGATCTCATGTAATTTTATTGACTGATTAGGAAATTCTGCCAGACCATATGTTGAGTCTGGATAATCAAGACTTAAGCTAATATAGAACTTTTTGTTGTTGTTTATGTAGTACACTTTTTAGCGCCCATCTTTTGAGTCCATTTTTTGTTTGTTAGCAAACCTACCGTTGTAGTTTGTTCCTAAATCCCTTAATCACATGCAAATAATTACGCGTTCTCGCCTCACACTTTGGGCGAGCTCCGCTGGTCATTACGAGTCATCTTTTTGTCATGGGAAGCCCTGACATTTTTATCTTTACATATTATATTTTTAATAAAATTGATAGGTTCAATATTGGAGAACAGGAGAAAATATACGAAGTGCTCTACATGTTGATTGTGAGAAGCAAAACAATGCCATAGTTCCTGATTTAGAGAGGGGTGTGGTGTACCAGTTACGTGTATTTGGATACAGTCAGGGAGGACAGGGAAAGATGAGTTCACCAGCCACATATTTTACTCTTGGTATGTACACGTCAATGATTATTGACATTTAGAATTTATGTAAGCTGATGTTGTAAGGATTTCAGAAATTATTTTGCTCCAAGAGAATGAAAACCAAGTATCTAGAATGCTAAACAGTGTACATGAAAGAAATGGTTTAAGTAAAATGTCATTTATTTTTATACCCCCAAATCCTGTTATTTTCATCTGCAGGAGATGTTGTATGTTGACAAATTTTAAAATCATCACATCTTTTTAAATATTAAACGGAATTGAACCATTATTGGACTGATATTAAAAATCCCTCAAATGACAATCAGAGACTTTAATATTAAAATTCAACTCTAATTTATTTAATGTTTTTTTAGGTGGTGAAGTACGTGTAGATCCAAGTTCAACTGAAATCTTAGCTGGCTCATCTGCTATTTCTCCGGTTGTTATGGTGATGTTGATATGTTCAGTATTGGCCTTGTTATTTCAATCATGAAATACTGATTTGTAATAAGTCTTTATACCTCTGCACATTATAACAATTAGCTATTATAGTCATTTCACAAAGCATACGCAACTAGAATAATGAATAAAACTTTTAGCCCAGTCTTGTACATCTGTCTCAATCTGTCAGATCCTTTTTCAGTTTTTATGTGTGGTTGGCAATAATCTAAGAATTTCATGCTTTCTCCAACTGCCCACATTGCCATTGAATAATGGAATTCATCATGCAATCATTTTTAAATGGCTCAGTATTTTGAGCTGAATCAAGGTAAATATATACTATTTCTTCTCATTTTTGTATTTGATCTGCATACTTTATCATTGGATATCCTCAGAAATTCAGGTCTTCTCCTTTACCACCAAATTACAAGGGTATGCCTATGCTTTGTGAAATGAAGACCACAACCATCTACCATATTCATGAACTAAACATTTTCTTTTGTACATATTTTAATTTTTTTTATGAAGATATAATATAGCCTATAGTATTTTGATCAAGCATAAGTTACAGGATAAAAAACAGTACACTAAGAAATAAAAACAAATTAACATCTGACAATTTGTTTATCAGAATAATTTGTTTTGAATTTTTCGTGATCCTTAGTTTTCATTAAGTGCTAAACAATGATCTAGGCAGTAAATATTTGATAGAGAATTATATTCCAAGAGAGGGTTTTTATTTGATTATCAATTTCTATTTTTATATCAATAAATGATTGTAAATAATTTTTTATCATTTTTATTCATGAAATATATAAGTTTATACATTACTTATCCATGTTGAATTCATGTTTAGCATTACATATCTTAAAAGGGAAACATTCATTTTATAAAGAATGTGCACCCTTTTTTTATCAGTAAGCCTAAGCCAGCTTGATTTATTACTCCTTTGTAGATGCTTGCTTCCCCCCAGTAGTATAATGATTTTTTTAATAGTCCCTTTTTGTTTTTAAAACTGGATCGTAGATTTCCACATTTTTATTTTATGTATATATTTCTTTTACAAATTCTTTACAGTTTTAGAATTTTTGCCTATTGTCCATGTTTTATATATGTATATATGTCTCTTTAGTTGCCATAAGTTATATATACACTTTAACAAATATTTTTATTAATTGGATCAAATTTAGAAAACAGTTATTGTCTTTAATAATAATTCACTTGTGTTGTTTTTACAATATAAGCCAACATTCAGAAATCTATGAATTGATATTTTAAAATTGTGTCTATACACTGACAATCAAATGTTCCATAGACATATAATCAATATACATTTCATGAGACATGTCCACCCCCCCCCCCCCTCACCCCCCCATAAAAAAATATTATTTTAACTAAAGATTCCAAAATAACTATCTCAACATTCTTATATAATTATCTAGTTATTCTTATCAAATGCAATCTATAAATTTTACAATTGAAAGATTTTGAGATCACAATATGAACATCTGGGTGCCCTTTAAACTCAATATCTTAAAATGTTTGAGACCCTGCATTCAAGAGGCAACAACCCACGACTTTTAAATCACTATTTTTTGTACTTATTGCCAGTAATTTACCTGACAAAGATACATTCCTGAATTGTGGAAAATTACATTCAATCCAACATTATTAAAATTTTGATGTTCTTATAGGTGTGGTGGCATCACCAGTTTATTAAGTCAGTCATTCTATGGATTTATCTATGAATATCTTAAATTATCTTTAAATATAATTATACTCCTGATATTATGAGATTTAACTTTATTCATTGTTTTTCTTGGCCATAAGACTCTGAACCAGGTAGAACTTAAAGCGACAATTTCATATTTTCTAAGAAAGTCAAAACATAATTATTTCTATGTCTTTGGCTCAATAGGTTATCAACTCACTATTATACGACCATGGGCATTATTTCCCACCCTTAAAAATCATTGACACAGGAAATAATAAAACAATTACCTCCCTTGTTTTCCTATTGCCTCCATGCATTAGCTACCTTCAAACGTTGGAATTTGAAGTTGAAAATGATATTTTTGCCAATTTCTCAGCTGGCAATAGTGAATTATAGGATTAATAGGATTATTCGCTAACATGGTAGGACGGTTTATGGATACCATCTATTTTAAGGCTTTATTTTAATAAATTTTAAAAATATAACTTAAAAATATGAAATTGTAGCTTTAAAAGAACATATTAAGTAAACTTTTTATACTCCTTCAGTGGAATCTCACCATTATTTCATATACCCGGTATATTTAAGATAGGTATTTTTATTCTCTGTGTTTGAGCATAGTTTAGGTTGTTTGATAAGCATAATTTAAGTATAAATTGTTGTTATACTTTTATGCACAAGTCATTCAGAATGGAAAGGAAGAATAAATTCACTATTGTGTCTATGTTCTGTGATAAAATAAATACATTATGTATGATTATATTATATTCTTTCCTATTCAAATTAAGGATATCACATTCCAAGGATTAAACATTAATCTTACTGCTCTCTCATTTCAGAATGGTTTCTCAATATAATCCCAGTAAATAATATATACCTTACTTGGGATCATTTTTATGTGTTTTTTCTGTAGATTCTGTTGGTTTTTTTTTTACCTTTTATGATTGCAATTTATATGGTACATAATGTAGGTGTTATTCTGTTGAGATGTTTTATACTTAAAATAAATCTACCATATGATATAGTAAATATTTTTCAAAACAACAAACTTTATGTCATGTTATCTATATTTTATGTTGCCTGGTACTTCAAGACATTGTAGTGTGAAATAAGATTCACAACAAACTAACTAAGAGTCTTATTTGTGTGTAAATTGTTAATTACATGCTTGATTGTGGATAAGTAGCAAAGTGCACGTGTTTGTATTGAATTGCAGTGAGTGTCATCAGTTGACATCAGCTATGATCGTTTGTTAAGACAAGTGCCAGTGGGTTGTGACAATGTGGCGTGATCACTTAGGTATTTCTGTTTTGTTGTTTATCTGATAGGTGTAACAAGTATGTTTTGAGATGGGATCTTTCTTACCACTATCCGCGGGTAGAGTGGTTTAGAGCCTCAAATATTTGTTCTTATAAAAACTGACACACTGTCTGATTGCATCGTGGAGGAGATTTTCTGAAGTGAGCAAAGGTCAATCCATGTGTGTGAAACTTTGTGATTCCCCATGTGTTGTTTACCCTGTAGCTGTGCAGTGCTATATGGTATATTTGCTTCATATTTTCCAAAGATACAAATGCCAAATTCATTATTTTTGATTTTCATCCATTTGTTCTGTTCAGTATTATCTCAAGCACATTTAGATACCAAAATACAGGCACTAAAGCTGTTGTGAATGATTTTTTTAGGACCCTAGGACCCCACCCCCCCACCCCGCCCCGCTCCAATTCAGGTGTTGTGACAATTTTTGACACTTTACCTTGCCCTTATAACATGAGGCGTGGATGTATTGCTAAAACAACTAAGAGTTTGCGCATGCGTACATATGTCAAATTCAATCGTCTCCTGGAGTGTATTCCGTTACTTTGCAGCAAGGAAAAAGAAATATTTGTTTCTGGGACGTAGGTATAATTTATAATGTCACCAAGGAACATAACTCGTATTGTCACTAAGAGTTCCCTAATGGTTATATCCTCCATAATATAAACCTGGTCAGACTTCCATTTTTGATGAATGAAGCTTTTATGGTAAGTCTTATAATATTATGTTAAAAGAATCCCGAAATATTGTCTGTTTGTTGTAAACAGTTTTGAGCATGAACCACTCTACCGAGGGACACTGATGCCTTAAGTTGATTTCTTATTCACGTGGGCCAGGAGCGAGGGAGTCCGATCTCCTTGTGTGATTTGATTTGGTTTAGTACTAGTATTTTCAAATGTTATATAGAATGAAATTTACATCCTCACGTGACATTTCCGATGATGACGTAGTATGATGTATTCAATTCATTCTTCATTAAGACAACGGGAGCGGTAGTCAGTTGTACGGGTGGACATGAGATATGCACACTATATCCCTCTTTTTGGTCAATCACCCAATCCCACCCACGGTCTTTCAATTGTGTTGATACTCTTGCATTCAGATTTATCACATTATTGCTTCCCAATACTTAATACTTCTGGAAGCTGGGGATTGGTCAGGCCCCTGCAAAAGTTCCCCCCCCCCCCCGTGAATAAAATTGTCGACCATAGATATACATTGTCCGTCAATTTTACAGCACCCCTGAGAACACTTCCCGCCCCTCTCGATGCTCCGAGCTAGTTACGACCCTGGGATTGGTGTACAACCGGGACTGAAACAGTGCACTTTACAGTCGAGCAGCAACTAAAGGAACAATATGAGAGTCTGGCTTATGCATTTTTATTACCGTCAATGGTTTTAGCAATATCAGTAACAATATGACCAAAACTATTTTTAATGTCTTCAATACTACCATTTAATGCTTGGTGAGCTTCTGGTGCGATGTTCTTTAAATCAGTTATCAGTTGAGAAACTTTGCTGAAAACATCTATTACTTTCATTGCTGATCCAAGCTTAGTTCCATCTGTCATAGTGGTAAGAGAATCTAATAATCCTCGAGTTTGAACTATAAGATATATTTTAAAAATTATTTTTAGGCATAAATTTTGAAAATAGAACAACTCTTATAATAATCTTTTAATATTTGAAACGTACGTGTACTGTATGTTTGCTATAAAGTCGAAGGGAAGGATACCATAAAGATAATACGCGACTTAAAACTCGCATGATACATTTTTTAAAACAAAAACTGGAAAAATAATTGAGAGTCGTCGATGATAAAGAATCATGTGAATTGTCGAGGTTGCCACATTGATAAGAAATACAAAAATAATTTGTGAGAAAATAGCTATTGATTAACATGTGTGTGGGTATAGGATAGGTTGTTCAACAGGGTCCCGTTTCATAAAACACATTTAAGACTTATCTACACTCCATTGAACCAACATGTACGTAACTTTAGATAGGTTTTGTGAAACGGACGTCAGACACCAATTTTAGTAAAACCAATGTCTATAAATATCAGAATATCCACAGGCTATATCGACATTTAATGATCTAGATATTTTCACTGGAATCACAAAATCCATAACGCTTTCCCATCTTCTGATTTTATATCTTCTTCACAAAATACGTAATTAAAATCTTATTAATTTCAGAAGACAATTTGTGGTAAGAATTATACTGATTAATGTGTTATATACTCATCCGAACTTCCTGAACTAACCTGATTTTGTTGCTCCACCTTCAATGGCTTTAGTAATATCAGTAACAATGTTACCCATACTATTTTTAATATCGGCTATACTGCTATTTAAAGCTTTATGGGCTTCTGGTGCGATGTTCTTCAGATCCGATATGAGTTGAGAAACTTTACCGAAAGCATCAATAACTTTCAAGGCTGATCCAATTCCAGTTCCACTTGTTAAACTGGTGAGAGAGTCTAATAGTCCCCGAGTTTGTACTATAAGGAATGAAAAGTTACGATTGTTTAGAAAATAATATGCAAAGAATCATATTTAGTCCAAGTAAGGGAGTCATCCGACACTATTCATAGTCCGTAATGCCTGACCGTCAGTATCTTCCCTAAGTCGAAGAAAAACCGTGTTCCATTTCAGTCAAACATTGTTGATCACGGACACCAAAAGTCTAGACAAACCTCCGAGATGTCATTTATGTGCCAATTACTATTCAAATCCTTCAATTATCGCGCACTACCGGGATTTTAAATCGTGAATAGAAATACGCGTTTAATTCGATTAAACATGAATCGGAAAATCATTCATTTACACCACTGGTGAAATCTGGGTTTGTGATTAGTCGAAATTAGTGTACAGTTGCTAATGAGACAGTTTAACAATTTTGTCCCCAAATAGTAATCTGTCGAAAACGGTACATATGCGGATTTGGGATAGTCGATATAGCAAATTATTTATCACTTGTCACGAAGACGGGCGACCAGAGAAAACGTCAGAACTACCAGGCTTTGGGCTTTGTTTAGCCTTTGTGAAACTTCAGCGGAACAACCATTTTCCATATACATAATATATGATATACTGCATACCTGTTTTGTTAGTCGCCTTTTGGATACTTTTAACAATTTCGCCTACAATTCCAGGTATGGTATTTCTAATGGCTTCAACACTATTATTCAAAGCTTGATTTGCTACTGGGCCGATGTTCTTTAAGTCAGTTATAAGCTGCGAAACTTTACCGAAAGCATCCAAAACTTTAAAAGCGGACCCAATACCAGTTCCAGTTGTTAGGTTGGCAATGGTGTCTAATAGAAACCTTCGTTGAACTAAATGAAACAAATAATTTAAAAGATCATTCAATGATTTACAGGTTGTAAAACTGGAGGCTTATGAGAGAGAATGTGTGATTGGATGTTTTTCTATCCAATTTTCTTTTCTTCCACAGTAACGCCGTTATAAGGAAGCGCTGTTGAAAGAAAGCATATCAATTGCATTTGGCATGGTGGGAGGCATTAGAACGTCTTAGAATATATGACGCGGATTTGCATGTCACGTGATGGTAGCTATCAGTTAAACATACATTATGCAAGAGCTAAATCTGCCTAAATTGCTGGTCTTTCTTTAGGCTTGGAATATTATCGAACTTATTAATTAGACATTAAATAACTTATCCATACCATAATTAACTCTCGATGTCTTCGCTAGCCTGCGATATTTAGTGGATTAGGATACGATCTGCTGCTCTATGCTCATTCATGATTAAATAAAGAAATGGATAATCGAGACTATGTATTTTTTTTTCGTAATGATGATCAAGGGAAGGCCCAAAATGCAATCGTTAAATTCTAGGTTCGGTGTGGATCCATTTGACTGAAATTTTCAGCAAATTCCCTTTACATTATCTAGTTTTTAACTATTATAGTGAGAACTGCCAGCCCTTTATCTTATCTCCCATAATGTATCTTTAACGTGTATTCGTCATCTTACCCAAATAGTTCATGTGAGAAGACTCAGGTTTTCCACTGTAAGTAAAATATTCAGACCCATAGACTTGAGTCACGAGAGAACATTAAAGAACAAAATTAAAAAATTAGGAACAGTAAAATGATAAAAGATACTGGTAGTAATTGCTCATCTGTTTTTATTTACCTGATTGTGTAGTTCCACCTTCAATAGCTTTTGTAATATCAGTAACAATGCTACCCATACTATTTTTAATATCGGCTATACTGCTATTTAAAGCTTTATGGGCTTCTGGTGCGATATTCTTCAGATCCGATATGAGTTGAGAAACTTTGCCGAAAGCATCAATAACTTTTAAGGCTGATCCAATTCCAGTTCCACTCGTCAAGCTGGAGAGGGAGTCTAGTAGTCCTCGGGTTTGTACTAAGAGGAATATTAAATTACGATTATTTAATAGACAATAATGCAAAAATCACTTTAGGCTCCCGGGTTGTCAGTTCGAGAAGCTTAATGCACCACCCGAAGTTGGGTTTCTAAAAATATTTGTTAAGCTGAACACAATCGTTACTTAGTTTGACTGTAATCCGAGCAAGACTTCCACCAAAAGCTCTGATTCATGAAGGCGAAAAATAAACTCGAATTCAAAGTATTCCACGGTTCTAGCAATTGAACTCACAATAAATATGCGAATTTGTAAGAATCAGCTTAACCCATTCTAGTCTAATTCTGATATATTTGCACTTTCTTCGGATTTCAAACTGAAGATCGGACTCCCGGGACAATGTAGAACCTGGACATCAGGCTTACAAAAATGACAATTTTTGTTTTGTTAGGTTCCCTTGCAAATCACACAATTGATCTTAAATTTTCGAATTTAACGGCCCAATGATTGTCTGTATGACTAACCTGATTTTGTTGCTCCACCTTCGATAGCTTTAGTAATATCAGTAACAATGTTACCCATACTATTTTTAATATCGGCTATACTGCTATTTAAGGCTTTGTGTGCTTCTGGTGCGATGTTCTTCAGATCCGATATGAGTTGAGAAACTTTACCGAAAGCATCAATAACTTTCAAGGCTGATCCAATTCCAGTTCCACTCGTCAAGCTGGAGAGGGAGTCTAGTAGTCCTCGGGTTTGTACTAAGAGAATATCAAAGGACGATTCGTTAATAGAAAATAATGATGTTTGGAAAATACGTAAATGTCACTTTTAGTTCTTGGATCGTCATTGAAAGACTTTGGCTTCGGGTCTTTATCGGAGATATTTATCATCGGTAAATACACTTCTAAATTTCCGGAAGTCTGTACAAGGTTTTACAGCCAACCATTTAAATAATGAAAACAGTGTTTGAAGACCTCAAGTTTACACCAATAGAAATGTTACATATGAGGTTGTGAAAATTATCAGAATGGGCAGATAGACCTATCGCTTGATGTTGAAGAGCTTTCACAAGAAGAGATCTAATTCATTCGGCAGTAATATGTAGAACTAAATCTCCGAATTCACTTTAAGATTTTATGCATTAAAGAGCAGAATCCACATAAACGATGTATAATGTGTTCACACAAATTTTTGAAGACCCCAAGTATGCACTAAAAGTAAGGGACACTTTCAAAAAGATCAGTCTGTATTTGGTTAACTAAACTTTCGTGTTTTCTGTCCCATGACAAACCTACCTGTTTTGTTAGATGCATGTTGGATCGCTTTAGTAATTTCTCCTACGATTCCAGGTATACTATTTCTAATAGCTTCAACACTATTATTCAAAGCTTGATTTGCTACTGGAACGATCTTCTTTAAGTCAGTTATTAGCTGAGAAACTTTACTGAAAGCATCCAGAACTTTGAAAGCTGATCCAATGCCAGATCCACTTGTCAAGTTGGCGATGGTGTCTAGAAGAAATCTTCGCTGAACTTAACGCAAGAAAAAAAATACGTTAATGTTCATTGCATAATTTGGAGCTTCTACGATTGTGATATTTTTAATAACTCCGTTTTAAAGGAAGGAATTTTGAATGAATTAAATTGGACAAATTTTACACATAGGGCTGTGCAAGACCTCACTATCAGATAGTATATTTACCAAAGGCAGAGTAGAACCTATTAAAGTGACACCTTTTATTGCTGTTTCCTTACAAATCACACAATTCCCTTTAAATTGTCGAAATTATCTTCGCTGCGATTGATTTTGTGACTAACCTGATTTTGTTGCTCCACCTTCAATAGACTTAGTAATATCAGTAACAATGTTACCCATGCTATTTTTGATATCTTCAATAGTGCTATTTAGTGCTTTATGGGCTTCTGGTGCGATGTTCTTCAGATCCGATATGAGTTGGGAAACTTTACCGAAAGCATCAATAACTTTCAGGGCTGATCCAATTCCAGTTCCACTTGTTAAACTGGTGAGAGAGTCGAGTAGTCCCCGAGTTTGCACTGAAAAGAAAAAGAACTGACTGAAATAGAGGTTGAGTATCGCATTGATATTAACTGGTAGGTTTTCAGTTTTTCAGTTTGCGTGATATCAACACCAACTTTATAGTTTGAAACTTGGCTTTTAAAATGTTATAATATTGATCCTATAAAATTTGCCCAAATGTGTGTACTTAATTTGGGTTTATGACTGACCTGATTTTGTAGTTCCACTTTCAATAGCTTTAGTAATATCAGTAACAATGTTACCCATACTATTTTTAATATCGGCTATACTGCTGTTTAAAGCTTTATGGGCCTCTGGTGCAATGTTCTTCAGATCCGATATGAGTTGAGAAACTTTTCCGAAAGCATCAATAACCTTCAAGGCTGAACCAATTCCAGTTCCACTAGTCAGGCTGGTGAGAGAGTCCAATAGACCCCTTTCCTGAACTAAGAGAATGTGTAAAGATTGTTTGAATTGGCAAACATGTTTTTGAGAAACAAAGAAAATCAGAATTGAATTCGTAAATTGAGATACGATGTGCACTTAAATTCGTAAATTAAGGCAGAAGATGCATATAACCTCGGTATAAAAATAACTACCTGCTGGGGCCGACACGGCCATACAAACACATGCTGCTAAAATAATGAGCCTCATGGTGATTTCTGAAAAAAAGAATTAAAAAAAAAAATTAAAAACTGACATCGGTTGTTTTTATTGTGAATTCTTTACATGTCATGTTCAAAAATATGGGTTTTGAAATTTGACTATATACCCGCATCGCTAAGATTCACTAAACACAACGGTTAAGTCCATTTTTTAAATTAAAATGTAACACAACTATACCTGCCCAAAATGGTAATAGAAATGACACATGGTTCACTGTATTTATGATTTATACAAAATATAATTCTCTTATCTATTACAAGATACAGCACCGTGATACACCGTATATAAATATAGTATATGATCTAAACATTGCCCGACTTAGACATACATACTACGTTTTAAACCTACAGTTTTGTAAAACGTGAGAGACACACGTCAGCTGGCATTACTTCCTCTACTTATGCAATATCCCAAAAGCACAGTAAAAGCAACATGAGAGATAGTTCCAATTAAATAACTTGTTCATGAATACCAAGAACTGTTAAAATCGTTAATGTGAAAAACTATGTTAGTTCTTATTTAGTAATTAGACACATTAATCCAAGCTGTCCTGTTCTGGACAGTTCTTTGGTGATATAAAGTTATTATAGCAATTTAAAAATAATAAATTCGGGACGAGTTGTGGCTATGGTGGCTGATAGTGGCCATGCTTAAATCTCCCATTTGCATAACTCTTTTCACTTTCACGACAGTATTAGGGCGACTATACGACAATGTAAACTCACAGTGAAGATTGGTGCGACTGTCTGGAGATTTATCATGTGCCCTTCTGGATCGATATTTCGGAACCTGTGTGAACGCATAAATAAATCGTCCAGCAGCAATGAAATTGCTTAAAAAGTTCAAAACATGATGATCATCAAACTTGGTCGAAGTATTAACGCAGATAAACTATACACCATACTTCCGAAATATATTTTGTACCAGCAATATATAGCTTCATACATAATGTAGTGGGAGCTGGCAAACTGTTGTATTTTGTGTCTAGGCGGTAACACAACGTTTCGGCAACAATCACGCAATATTTTCTAAGTTTACTTTATTGTGTCATCGCCCTAATACTGTCTCGATATCGTGTTTTCGAATTATGGCCACTATCAGCCATCATAATGTTAAGGAAAGTGTAGAAGGGTAAGGATGGTAATTCTGACCCGGTTACTTAATTTAGGTTACACCTGACATATTCTCAAGAAAGTATTCCTTGTATTATCTTACCTTATTATATAAACTCCTATTTTAAAAGTTCTGCAGTTTACAATAATATCGGCGATGATGAAAATTGTGATCTTCACACTGTGTTTGGTTTTAGTTGCTGAGGTAAGTTACACCAATTTTATTTATAGTTCTTTCTTTTTTTTCGGAACCATTAAGGACGGACCAATTATCAATATCCAATACCCCACTCTCTCGCCCATATCTCCGATTCCACCGCAATCATCACATGTAGCCCCGCATGAGAACAGACATGAAGTTAATTGACCGACATATTACTTCCCAAATCGACGATTTTTGTCGAAACAAAATTAGTTTACTTTGAGGAAATTGAAAAGTATTTTTTCTGCTTCCTTTCACTTAAATTGAAAATTGTTTATTTAGTCTTTGTGTGCATGAGATATGTAAACCGGGTAGAACCACATTACAAATGCGTATACTTTTGAAAAATGGCGGTCATTCATGACATAGATCTATTCTCAAAGTAGACAGTTCTCTTTGTCCAGAATGAACTAGTGCACATGAAGGGGTATATTTGTGATTTGAAATGTACTTTATTGTAGGGGGCGGTTGATTTAAAGTCAATATTTGGTAACACAGATAAAGGGACCTGCACCCCAGCATGTGGCGATGGCGAATGCTGTGTCAGTTTTTATCCACCAATTACAAGTCGTCGACAGATCAACATTGACACCTCCAAGTTCTTACCTAGCCATCTTTACCCTGGAAAAGTTCACATGTGCCAGACAATTAAACAATCTGGCGATAAATGTTTAACCCGCAATACTGGAGAATGGTGTGATTGTCTGGAGGGGTTATCATGTGCCCCAAAGGGTACTACCGGTCTGGATCGATATTTTGGAACCTGCACCACGGCATAAAAAATTTTGTTATTATTCATTTCTCTGAATTTGAATAAACGTCATCTGACATAAATACCTGTGTGTTCCATCTATTAAAAGGCCATCTTCCCGCGGTCTTACCAATCACAGATAAAACCGAAAATGCCCGACAAGGGCGTTTGTTTGTCAATATCGATTATGGTATTTCAAAAAGGGACCGATATGTTATTAAGGACTTAACCTGCGCATGTACAATACAATGTGACAGGCAGGGGAGATCATTTGACGCTTCATAATGACATATTCAGTACACAGCTCGTTATTGTTTGGTTTGGTACGTCAGCTTTATCGCGTGTTGTTAAAGAACATCTCATTATGTTTACGGCCCAAATTCCAAATTAGTAAATAATATTTTTGTGCATATATTGTTTTAGACAATTTCATTATTTATAACAAGACTACAATCTGATAAAAAATATTAGATGATAATATTATGTACAATCTATGGTGTTTTGGTATATACAAAATATAAAGTAGAAATTTAAAGCCAGTATCGGGTGCAATAATAACGTATTTTAAATTTTATCTTCGGCTAATGATTTAGTATAATCTAATTATTTAAACAGAAACAAGGTTTTCATAATAAGGCTAATAACCAAAGAGATTCTCAAATATTCTATAGCAGTGATCTATACTATTCAAAAAAAGTAGGGGATATTTGATTTTTAAGTGTTATTAAAGTCACCTAATGAAACTGACGAAGAAACAAATGACAAAATGAAATGAAGTTCACATTCATCGATTTATTCCAAATGATCGTTAGACTAAGTAAGGCACAGACTGACCATTATAAGGGTAAAATGATACCCGGGGTCAAACAGCAAAGTTACCACAGCATCACAACCAAGTCAGTAACGGGTAAATCCTCCTCTGTTTGCCAAACAAGCATTGATCCGACGTGGCATACTCCTAATGAGACGTCTAAGGTCATTTTGGTCCAGATTGTCCCATTCCTGTTGCAACGCAGCAGCAAGTTCTTGGACATTGGCAGGACGTTGTTGACGTTGACGTAACCTCTGTCCAAGCATGTCCCAGACATGCTCGATGGGGGAGAGGTCGGGACTCAGTGCTGGCCAAGGTAATGTGGTGATGTTCTGTTGTTGGAGGTAACCTGTAACGATCCTGGCCCTGTGACATCTTGCGTTGTCATCCTGGAAGATGAAACGGCGGCCATGAAGTCGTGCGAACGGCACAACATGGACTGCCAAGATGTTGTCCCGGTAGTACTGGCCTGTAACACGCCCTGCAACAACATGTAAAGCCGTTCTTCCAGCAACAGTGATGCCTCCCCACACCATAACAGAACCACCCCCAAATCGATCATGTCTGATGACGTTAACGTCTTGGAAGCGCTCGTTTCGACGACGCCACACCCTCCTACGTCTGTCCAAAAAATCAACAGTGAACTTTGACTCATCTGAAAACATCACATTGCTCCAGCGTCGATTATCCCAGTGTTGACGATCCCTACACCAACGACGTCTTGCCTGAATGTGATGATCTCTCAAACAAGGGATCACGCGAGGACGTCGGGCGCGAAGGTGACCCCTATGCTGTCGATTCCGAATCGTCTGGCCACTCACTCTCACACCAGTGTCTGTTTGAAGACGAGCGCTGATCTGATTTGCTGTGATGACACGATTTCTCAAGGCCAAGGTACGGATAAATCGATCCTGGGCTTGAGTTGTCGCCCTTGGTCGACCTGAGCGTGGTCTGTCCTGAACAGATTGTGTATCACGGTATCTGGACCATAGCCTGCTTATGACAGACTGAGAAACATTCATCGTCCGCGCCACAACCGCCTGTGTTGTGCCGATCTGTAGCATGCCAAGGGCACGTAACCTTTCATTTTGGGTAAGCCGACGCATATCAAAATTTGTTTTCTGGTCACTAAAACAATTAAACTGATGTTTCCACCCTGGAATTCAATGCCACAATGACTGTAACATTCAAAGTCAGAGTCGTGCAAATCTTGGGTTGGACCCCCATGATGATCACAAGCATCACCTGCATTCCATGCGGTAGCTATTGGTGCGTTTGGGCGTCACATGTAACTGGAAATGTTTCTTCTGTTAGGTTCTATAGTGACTTTTTTCGTAGCCATTTGCATATTTTAGTATTATGCCCCCAAAATCAAATATCCCCTACTTTTTTTGAATAGTATATATGAAAATACATTCAAGTATAGACATAGAAAGCTCAGTCACATCTTTCTCCCAAAAACAAAAACCCTGTTTGAGGCAAGGGTAATTCTGTAAAATAACAATTAAGCCAGGCAAATTTCAAAAATTCACTAATGACTATGGTAAAAAAATAGTTATAGTCTGAAATGTCTTATGGACGGATATGACATTATGCACTAATAGAATAGAATGGTGTAAGGCCTAGATTGGGAAAAGACGGTTTCGTGGTTGCATATATCATTATGGACATTTCCTAATACGAAAAGGCATAATAGTTTTATTAATATAGCGATTAAAAGGCTTCTTTAGCGGACATAAATGAAACACAATTTTAATTACATGTAGATTGTTTATCATTTAAACTGTAAAACACTTATCTCCCCCTTATTTTAAAGACCATCTGAAAATTTTAAAACTTATAAATTTGGGTGTTATTTTATGTTTAGCGATAATATAGCATAATAAACAAATTGACATTCAAATTCTTATATCTCTCTTAGACAAGTTATCATCAAATGAAATGTCTGGTTTCTCCAGGAATCCTATTGAAATTCCATACGACCGATAAATTATCAGTGTTATCAAATTTTCGAAAATATAAGGTTTGAACAGTTCCCCAAGCTACCTTTGTTTAGGAGGAATCAAATAATCTCATTGATAATGTATTTTTTTTTATGAAAATAGAAATATTTTATACTTGACAAACTATAACAACAAAATGAATATATAACAATGAATATGTACACTATTTTGTCATGGAGTAACTATTAAAGATGCATTATATCAGATTCAAGTCTGCTGATTGCAGATCTTTCTTTTGGCCTCAAATGTTATATCTATCTTCTATCTATATTAATATTTGTGACTGTCGTTTGTCTGTCTGTCTGTCTGTCTGTTCGGGGTTGGCGGCTACACTAGGTCTGCCCCGAGTCTGAAATTTGGGGTATAGGAGTAGCTCGGACCGGGGAGTAACATAGGCCAGGTGGCGTTAGTCTACCTCTTCCGGTTTCGGAGTTATGACCCCCAAGCGAAGCCGGTCTGTTCGGGGTTGGCGGCTACACTAGGTCTGCCCCGAGTCTGAAATTTGGGGTTTAGGGGTAGCTCGGACCGGGGAGTAACATAGGCCAGGTGGCGTTAGTCTACCACTTCCGGTTTCGGAGTTATGACCCCCGAGCGAAGTCTGTCTGTTCGGGGTTGGCGGCTACACTAGGTCTGCCCCGAGTCTGAAATTTGGGGTATAGGGGTAGCTCGGACCGGGGAGTAACATAACGTTAGTCTACCACTTCCGGTTTCGGAGTTATGACCCCCGAGCGAAACCGGTCTGTTCGGGGTTGGTGGCTACACTAGGTCTGCCCCGAGTCTGAAATTTGGGGTATAGGGGTAGCTCGGACTGGGGAGTAGCATAGGCCAGGTGGCGTTAGTCTACCACTTCCGGTTTTGAACTTATGACCCCCGAGCAAAGCCGGGTATCCTGCTAGTAAGTTATTAATTAGACATTTATTCACATGACAAGCCCACAATCAACCCTCTAGTTCATCAGATGGTTGTGCATTTGAACGTATTGAAACACGATCGCCATTTAATAATTCAATTTAAAAATGGTTATTATCGTACCTGCAAACAGGAATAGCTTACTTGACATTTTCAATGTATTAATTCACATAATGCATCCTTAACCAAAGTTGAGCAATATATATGATAAGAGAAACAAGTAAACATAACAATAAAACTACCTACACAATATACATGTATTATGATTTAAAAAATATAAACAATTATGCAATTCAAAATAACATGATAGATAAATAACATTATAAATTTTGTGGTTATAAGACTAATTATAACTTTAATATGACGAATAGAAGGAATTGATATATAATATCGAATGCCTTAAAAACAGGCAATGCAATGTAGGCCTAATTGGGTACTTAAACTAGCCCCCAATGTGTCATTTGGAATGGACATGAAAACAATCTTATCATCAGTTAAGTATTTATAAAATACAGTCTCCAATCTCCCTCCAGCTTTAGATGCATGTATATATAGCTTCAAACATAATGTAGTGGGATCTTGCAAAATTTTGAATTTTGTGTCTAGGCGGTAACATAATAGCGCAATAAGTTTACTCTGTTGTGTCATCGCCCTAAAACTGTCTGGATATCGTGTTTTCGAATTATGGCCACTATCAGACTTCATAATGTTAAGGAAAAGTGTAGAAGGGTAAGGATGGTAATTCTGACCCGGTTACCTAATTTAGGTTACACCTGACATATTCTCAAGAAAGTATTCCTTGTATTATCTTACCTTATTATATAAACTCCTATTTTAAAATTTCTGCAGTTTACAATAATATCGGCGATGATGAAAATTGTGTTCTTCACACTGTGTTTGGTTTTAGTTGCTGAAGTAAGTTACACCAATTTTATATCTAGTTCTTTCTTTCGGAACCATTAAGGACGGACCAATTATCAATATCCAATACCCCACTCTCTCGCCCATATCTCCGATTCCACCGCAATCATCACAAGTAGCCTCCGCATGAGAACAGACACGAAGATAGTTAACGGACATAATATTAGTTCTCAAATCGACGATTTTAGTCGAAAAAAATAGTTTACTTTGAGAAAATTGAAAAGTATTTTTTTTGCTTCCTTTCACTAAAATTGAAAATTGTTTTTTTAGTCTTTGTGTGCATGAGATATGTAAACAGAGTAGAACCACATTACAAATGTGTATACTTTTTAAATGGCGGTCATTCATGACATAGATCAATTCTCAAAGTAGTGTAGCACCATGGGCCTTTCTGTCCGACGTGGAGAGCGGGCGTATGTCGGAAACCTGTCGCCACATCCTACGTAGAACCACGCATCTTTTCTTACTACATATTTCTGTAGCCTTGTGATCGTCTAGAATTTGTCTCTAGCTGTCTTTACTTCTGATTCACGTTGTGTATTTACTTCTTACAGTTTTCTTAAGACGTTTGTCTTACCAGGAATAACAATGCAACAGTTCGCTTCTACATTTTATATATAGCTGAATACTTGTATACAAGTATAGCACAGATTACAATACTAGCGAAAACCATTTCTCCGCCCTAGCCAGCCTCGAGCCTGTCTAGGAACTCAGATGGAACCTCTCTGTAATCTAATGGAAGTCTGCTTGAAAGTTTCAAATAGATATCTTATATAGCACTCCCGTATATCACGCATGACAGAGCATGTTCATGGCCCTGAACTTGTGTAATTAATAAAATGATTGGTTAAATTAAACCCAATGACGCAATAGTACTTTTCCTTGCACACGTGCTCTCTGTGGTATTTTATAGACACATGTTTTGGCTAAAAAACTCTTTTTTATATAACAATATGTCATTTATATCCTAAGTTGATTTAGTACACACTAAATATATATGTGGATATGTGTGAAACTATTAATTTGCCAAATATATTAATTAATGAAATATAAAGTCATCTTATTTCTCTATTCTTTGTCTATAAATTTAAAAACAATGTCGCCACGACTATATTCTGTGTCCAGAATGAACTCGTGCATATGAAGGGGTATAATTGTGATTTGAAATGTACTTTATTGTAGGGGGCGATTGATTTAAAGTCATGCACCCCAGCATGTGGCGATGGCGAATGCTGTGTCAGCTTTTCTCCATTCATTACAAGTCGTCGACAGATCAACATTGACACCTCCAAGTTCTTACGCAGCCATCTTTACCCTGGAAAATTTCACATGTGCCGGAAAATTAAACAATCTGGCGATAAATGTTTAACCCGCAATACTGGAGAATGGTGTGATTGTTTGGAGGGGTTATCATGTGCTCCAAAAGGTACTACCGGTCTGGATCGATATTTTGGAACCTGCACCACAGCATAAAAAAAATTATGTTATTATTCTTTTCTCTGAATTTGAATAAACGTCATCTAACATAAACACCTGTGTGTTCCGCTATTACCTATTAAAATGCCATCTTCTCGCGGTCCTACTAGTCACAGATAAAACCAAAAAGGCCCAACTAGAGCGTTTGTTTGTCAATAGCGATTATGGTATTTCAACAAGGGGCCGATATGTTATTAAGGACTTAACTGGGGCATTTACGATACAGTATGACAGGGGAGACCATTTGCCGCTTCATAATGACATATTCAGTACATAGTTCGTTATTGTTTGGTTTGGTACGTCAGCTTTATCGCGTGTTGTTAAAGAACATCTTACATCTCATTATGTTTACGGCCCAAGGGTGAGATGGTGGGTATATCATTTTGTATTCTAATCCCCAAAATCAACAAACAATTCCAAATTAGTAAATAATATTTTTGTGTATATATTGTTTTAGACAATTTCATTATTTATAACAAGACTACAATCTGATAAAAAATATTAGATGATAATATTATGTACAATCTATGGTGTTTTGGTATATACAAAATATAAAGTAGAAATTTAAAGCCAATATCGGGTGCAATAATAACGTATTTTAAATTTTATCTTCGGCTAAGGATTTAGTATAATCTAATTATTTAAACAGAAACAAGGTTTTCATAATAAGGCTAATAACCAAAGAGATTCTCAAATATTCTATAGCAGTGATCTATATGAAAATACATTCAAGTATAGATATAGAAAGCTCAGTCACATCTTTCTCCCAAAAACAAAAACCCTGTTCGAGGCAAGGGTAATTCTGTAAAATAACAATTAAGCCAGGCAAATTTCAAAAATTCACTAATGACTATGGTCAAAAACCTGTACATATAATATTGACACAGATGTGCCGGATTTCGGTTGAAATCTTTGTTTTACAAAAGTTTCACGGTAAGAATCAGAACACTGTAAATGGAATGAATGTTAAAAGGGTTCATAAACCATGCAAATCTATACACAAGACAGTGAGGAATGACACCGTGATAACGCCGTACAAAACCTGGAATATGTACATACATAATTATTAAAAATGTTTGAATAAGGATGACAAACAATGTTTAGGAATGTTAAGTTCCATATAAATGAACGTTTATAGTAAAGTCACTGTTTTCTTTCTATTTTCTATTTTCACAAGTTATTGTGAAAAAGTTTAGATTGTGATTACTGCTACCAATGGTATTAATTAGTATTTCCAGTTATTGATACTGTAGACCTAACATGTTTTCAATACTACATAATAATCAGAGCTGCAATGCGAGACTGCAATGAATACTATTAAATCATATAATTAAATAAAACCCATATTATGGTAAAATATAAAGTCTATATCTAATCACATAGATTCATGTAAATAGGAAAAAAATCTTTATCAAAAAATAATTATAGTCTGAAATGTCTTATGGACGGATATGACATTATGCACTAATAGAATAGAATGGTGTAAGGCCTACATCGGGAAAAGACGGTTTCGTGGTTGCATATATCATTATGGACATTTCCTAATACGAAAAGTCATAATAGTTTTATTAATATAGCGATTAAAAAGCTTCTTTAGCGTACATAAATGAAACACAATTTTAATTACATCTAGATTGTTTATCATTTAAACTGCAAAACACTTATCTCCCCCTTATTTTACAGACCATCTGAAAATTTTAAAACTTATAAATTTGGGTGTTATTTTATGTTTAGCGATAATATAGCATAATAAACAAATTGACATTCAAATTCTTATATCTCTCTTGGACAAGTTATCATCAAATGAAATGTCTGGTTTCTCCAGGAATCCTATTGAAATTCCATACGACCGATAAATTATCAGTGTTATCAAATTTTCGAAAATATAAGGTTTGAACAGTTCCCCAAGCTACCTTTGTATAGGAGGAATCAAATAATCTCATTGATAATGTATTTTTTATGAAAATAGAAATATTTATACTTGGCAAACTATAATAACAAAATGAATATATAACAATGAATATGTACACTATTTTGTCATGGAGAAACTATTAAAGATGCATTATATCAGATTCAAGCCTGCTGATTGCAGATCTTTCTTTTGGCCTCAAATGTTATATAAGTTATTAATTAAAAAATTATTCACATGACAAGCCCACAATCAACCCTCTAGTTCATCAGATGGTTGTGCATTTGAACGTATTGAAACATGATCGCCATTTAATAATCAATTTAAAAATGGATAATCAACGCTATGTTTATTATCGTACCTATTATCGTGACAGGGGTAGCATGCTATTCTACAAACGGGAATAGCTTACTTGACATTTTCAATGTATTAATTCACATAATGCATCCTTAACCAAAGTTGAGCAATATGATAACAGAAACAAGAAAACATAACAATAAAACTACCTACACAATATACATGTATTATGATTTAAAAAATATAAACAATTATGCAATTCAAAATAACATGATAGATAAATAACATTATAAATTTCGTGGTTATAAGGCTAATTACAACTTTAATATGACGAATAGAAGGAATTGATATATAATATCGAATGCCTTAAAAACAGGCAATGCAATGTAGGCCTAATTGGGTACTTAAACTAGCCCTCAATGTGTCATTTGGAATGGACATGAAAACAATTTTAACATTAGTTAAGTATTTATAAAATACAGTCTTCAATCTTCCTCCAACTTTAGCTGCATGTAATGCAATGACCGCCATGATGAATAGACTAAAACAGCACCCTGCATAGTATTCTCTTCTAATTTGACGTTTTTTTGAATAAAGACAAATAAGAATAATGACCTGGATGATTGTAACTACTACCTGTGTTCATTAGTTTTTCGAGTAGTCAACAGGGCAGAAGTAGCTGGGTAAACAAGCCCACTATTCGTACCAATAGATCTAGAATTCACAATGCTCACTTTTCGTCTATTATGTAGAAGGTTTTGGTTGCCCTTTAAGATACCGTGCTTAACATGCAGTTAGTTAACTTGAGCAGAATTTAAAAAAAAGTATATATATTAGTCTCTGATATGATATAACCATGAATTAACGGTGGTTAGATAATTACTATCCGGAATAGTGGAAAACATATTGATATGGTTTGCTATACACACAACGCACATGTTCTTCTGTCAAAACTATGCCGGCATCTATGACCACAAAAAGGAACCACGACAAATCTGTCTTATATTGATATTTACCCTACCCTACTTGAAGTACGTTAAAGTACTACGTCGGCAAGAAGACGCATTCGAGTTAACTATCATTGTCAAATGGATCTGTAATGTGAAAAAACCCAACCCCCTTTAGTCTTTACATGGCGTTAACTGTCTTCAAATCAACCTGAGTTCGCAAATAATGTCTATTTGACTTTTCTAATAATAGTTACTATGTTTAAACTCGTGAGATTCGAGCCTCCATGCTGCCCTGTCGGTGATTCGAGCTTTCTGATGATTCTGAAAAGTGTTCTTCCTCTGAATACTGTGGCGAATCAAGATTAACTGTTTGATCAGATGACTGGCGTTGTCTCGGGTAAACAGGTACGTTAGCAGATATGGTGTTAACAGGTTGTTGTCTAATATCACGTCCGCCAATCAGAGGAGACGGTGTTTTCATTGGCTGTCTTCGAAAGTGCACTGGACTTTTTACATCATTCATTTGAACAGTTTCGTGTGGAGTTCTATTTATGGAGGCAAGCTGTCCTGGTACTTTTTTCGGGAGGTTTGGTGGCAAGTTTTGTCGTGGCGGTTTGGGCATTCGTTCGGCTCGCTGTCCCAACAGACCATGAGGATCCGCATCTGTAGGAGAAACTGTTGGAATGTTTGAATGTGCCCTTGGACGAAAAATTCCAAGGGGGTCGGCATCTGTACCACAAACGCCTGGAAAGTTCGGATGGGCTCTTTGAGCAAGTAGTTCGCGGGTGTCCGCTTCTGTTCGGGAAGCCGTCGGGATTCCGTTATGCCCATATGATGGTGTTACGCTACTATGAATACTTCCCGTAGGTGACATCTGTTGTGATGTTGGTGTTCCTGGGGTTGGTTGATAAGGTGTACCAGGCGACTGAGAACCCCGGTCACTGTGTACAGGAGAAGATAAAGTACTATTATGATGATGCTGAGGGGAGAGGGGAATATTTTCACTAGGTTCTGGAGGAGTAACAATATCGCTGTACTGAACAGTTTCTTCTGGTGATTGTTGTGCTGAAGCTGGTGTGTGGGGTGTTTGAATGGGTAGATGAAAAGCTCTGTTGTTACCTTGGCTGTTCAGATTATTAGACATTTGCCCATTAACGATAAGTGTACCATTTGCCAAAGGATCATCCATGTACAACTGACTGCCGTAGAACTGTGCCAAGGGAGAACTAAGCGTATTAATGGTTTGTCCATGCTGAGATTGTTGTGGAGTTATGTTCAGTTGATTTAATAACTGATGCTGAGTGACATCAGGTTTTGGTGGCAGAATACCGTGAACCGATCCGTTAGATATAATTGAACCATTGACATGAAGATAATGATCATCGTTCAAAAAACCTGGGTTGTTAACCCCAATGCTGTTGATACTATTTAGGGAATTTATTCTAGGGTTAACAAATTGAATCCTGTCATGTCCGGGGGTAAATCGTGTTTGATCTGAGGGCGGACGATTCTGATATCTAACAGGCTCGTAGACATGTTGATTTTCTATAGCTTGCATCTGCTTAGACAGACCTGAAATATATTAAAATAACGATAATACAATAAAAAAAATAGTTAGAAAATCAACCAAAGTGCATTTCAAAATGCATTTAAACGCTAAACTAAACAGATGAAACTAGGTGATAGTCTTAAAAAAGGATTGAATTGTGTGATTAATTTTAGCTGATTGGAGTTGGTTTATATTTTAGGTTATTTTGCCACCAGTTCATTATATATGTGTAAAACAAAACTATAATAAAGCTAATTTGAATAACAAGAAAAGTACCTACCCTCCATTTTTCGTTTAAAGAAACAGCAAGTGACGATAATAACAATTATAAGGAAGGTGATGATGACAATAACCAAAACAAGAATGATAGTATCCGCTATTCTAAATGTTCCATCATCTATACCAGTTAATCCATCAGGTTTAGCTGTCACATCTGCAATTGATGTAGAACGGACACACTTCTCACATCGATTACCTTCACAACTAGAAGCAACGTTTTCAATCTCCTGTCCCAGTTCAGTATAGAATCTGAGTTTATCTTTATCTAAAGAAAGACCAGTTTTTGTGTAGGAACCAATCTGTAATGAAATATTAATTACAGCGGAATATTAGAACACGTCAACTGAAACTTGTACTTTCTGAAGTTTATGTTATGACAATGTCGATTCAACATTTTCCGTACGGGCATCATTTATGGTTGAAGGTGCTTGTAACAGCCATTCTTACAATCTCTTTAGTAAAAGATGGGGTTCTGCATCGCGTTATAATGAGGTCTTAGTACACAGAATGAAAGTCTTTCGCAATAAAGCGGGTATAGTAAATTATGAGACAACCAATGAAATGAAATGGGGTTTAACGTCCTACTGTTCTGCTCCGACTGGGGTCATGAAGGCGGGTATACGCCATACAGTGTGCTATGAGGTAAAGTTTACGGACACGCCAATGTACACACGGGACCTCGGGTTTTCGTCCCATCCGAACGACTAGACAACTGTCCTTGTCAGGCCCTCCATCCTGCACCATTAGCAAGGGGAAACCTCATCGGAAAAGTAGATAATCAAGTCTTATGTGAAGTATAATGTATTGAATAGCTATTTGGAAATACTAACTTCTAGTCTCAAGCATATTCCTAATGTCCATATCATTATAATTACACATATACTAAACGGTTTGTTAAAAATATTTGGAGCATAATACTAAAGTATTAGGCGTTAGTGAAATGTCATGTTTGTTAGATCTGGAATAACATGGAACAGATCGCTTCATACGAACAGTAGTTTTAATAAAAACGTATAAATGAATTTATACCAACCTCTTCATAATATTGTCCGCCTTCATTTTGTCTTATATTAAAAATTTTGAAACCAATAGCACCATTTCCATTTTGATCAAATAATTTGAAATATGAATATAATGATTTAGTTTCCACTTCTGCATCTCGTATAAATGTCAAAACGCTCTGGGTATATTTCGGATTATAGTAGAAATCGCAGGGGAAGGTATAGTCCCTACATATGGAATCTTTTACTTTTTGCAAACCACTAGTAACAGCGTACACTGCACTTCTTACATGCGCGATTCTTTCGTCTCTGAGGTGTCCCTGTAATACTATGTCTGACAGTTTTAGGTCTGGTGCGCATTCTTTAGAAAAGACGTTATTGAAGCTTCCTTTTACGTTACATTCAAAGAGATGTTGCCAAAACTCTGTGAACCAGGGGTTGTTTTGCGCATTATTTAAATTCCTCTGTAACACGTAGTCGGTAAAGCCTCTATCAGGAAGCTGGGGTGAGGCTAGGTTTAATGTAATAGTTCCCCGACCTGCCTTTCCGCCATCCTCCAAAAGTTGATTCTTGGTACCCCATTCCTCACTTACAATAAATACAAAATCACCCAAGTCCTGCCTCGCATTAAGAGCTTTCATTAGAGCTGAATACCGTGTATCTATACCAAAGAACACAACAACTTTAGCTTGCGCTTTATGAAGTTCTGTTATGATATTGTACAATTCTACATCGTCAGAGGAGATCTCATTTATTTTGAAAGGTTCGCCAGTACAGACGTTGCTATTTGCTGCCATTCTTAAAAATGCATCCTTGCCTTTTGTACCATAATTGTTTGCCACGTACAGAACGTCCACGTATTCCCACCCCCTATTCTTTATTATAGCTACCATAGCCTCTGCCTGTTCGTCATCACTTGGAACGGTTCTCAAGAAGTACGGAAAGTTCGTTTTGTCATCCAGGTCAGGTGACGTCGAAGCATAGGAAACCACGGGTATGTTTAATCTGGAGAAAAACCTCGCCACAGGGATAGTAACTCCACTAGACAAGGGACCAATAACGCAAGCAACTTTATTCCAAGGAATGGCATCGCTAAACTTTTCATCAGCGATGTTTAAGTCACTGAAAAAGGCCGTGAGAGTTGATATTATTTTTAATGGATTATAACAGTCATCAAATGCAATGGCTCCATAATTAATACCCGTTCTGGCCCTGGCGTCTGCTACTGCGTGCAAGAAACCTTCCAAATATAAGGTATCGCTTGATACATTTCTAAAGCTAGAGCAACCGAAACGTTTGTCATCGGTGTTACCGGAATGTAATGAGAATATACCGAGTATGTAGACATCGCCTTTAATATGTACCATAGGAAGCAAAGAAGTATCTGTACATTCTGGGCAGGTTGTACTACATTCAGATTTCAGTAGATTTGAACCAGTAACATCTTGGCCGTTTGGTGTTTTCATCATAATCCTTGACTTGTCCAAATCTAAAACATCCCCACGAAACTCTCCAACTTCAATAAACTGAAAATATAATAGAATGTTGTAAATAAAGTGTGGGTAGTTATATGTTTCCAAGCTACTTCTATCTTGTGTATTTCAAAATTTCCACTGTAAAACAAACCTCATACACGTTTTTGAACTAGACTGGCCACTAGTTGCTCCATTTGTTACAGAAATCAACCAAAACAATTTGGTCAAAGATACGAATATTAACTTTAAAGTCAATATGGAAATCTATACTAAACATGGCCCCGATAATTACGTGCTCCATTTGTTACAGAAAACGATCAAACCCCCAACAACTGGTTAAAGATACAAAAAATAACTTTAAAATCAATGTGAAAATCTATGGTGAACTGGACACTGGTTATTTCTTGGCTACCGTATGAGTGGTCTCCCTTTCTCCTGTGGTTGCTATGGGGTACTCGATTGAACGTTCCGGAATTGAAATCTCTCAATCCCTAAAATAGTGACAATGGGTTAAAAAGGGTATTTCGGTCTACAACGCATGCGTCGACTGGATAAGTACATATATCAACCAACCACGCAGCCGAAACAGATTCGTTGTGTTCAATTACGTCACGATTCTACTCACACCACCTCCGTAGTCGGGACTGACAGAACTGTGACAGGACTAAATTCCGCGTCACTCGATTGCAATTCTGTCAATTCATGACGTTCTGAACTGTGAATCGAGCACCCACTATTTGAGACTTCTAATGACAAAGATTTTACGAATGCTAACTAACCTTTGACTCTGATGTGGATGTGTCAAACGAATTAATGACGTAAGTAGAAGTACCATTGCCTCTGATCACATCACCATTCTCATTAAAATTAAAACTGCGTCTATTTTGCTGGAACACTGCAGGGGCAAAATTCGCCGCCATTGATGTGTAATCCACGCGTGTATTACGGACGTATTCCAAAAACGTGTGGCCTTTAATATCATTTTTAAGTTCTTCGCACACCCCTGCTTCTCCACCACATTTTTCGGTGTGGGCTCTCTTCAAGGCGGTTATCAAAGCATACACTGCATCAATAGTTAAAGGCACATAATCGTTATGCTTAACGATATTTAGGTTTTCAGTCAGTGTTTTTTCGCTCAGGTACTGTGATATAAGATCGTCCTCCATATTGGTATTTCTTTTGAGATTGTTGTTGTAATATGTTGTAAAATCTGGAAGTTGAGTCCTGGACGGAGAAATGGTCAGAGCTCCCTGGACGAGATTGTCGGATTTAGACTGAAAAACATCAACGTTTCGACCGACGGCATCCGACATAATAAACAATAACTTCTTTATGTTCTTATCCTGATTTACACTAAACAGAAGGTTTTCGGCGCGGTCTTTCTGCCCAAAATATATAACAGCCAAAATTTCGTCTTTAGCATTATGTGTGATTCGTCTGAGTTCAGCGATAACATCGTGTAATTTGGTATTTGATTCAATCTTGATTGTCTTTGTGATGCATATATTCTCTTGTTTGGTTCGTTTCTTGATAGCTTCCATACCATTTTCACCATATGAATCGTCGGTATGGACAAGGGCAGCGTATGACCAATCCAATTTCTTCAAAGTCTGCACAATTACCTAAAATGTTTTTAAAAATATGGTAATTTTCCTTTTCTTGTCATACCAAATGGTATACGTAGTGATACAGCTATGGTTTGAATATCCAGATATAATAGAGTAATAGCGGATTTTATTTTCAACAGTTGACAGTTTAAGCCATATAAATACGACTAGTAAACAAATCGACTGTCGCAATAACATGCCAATCGGATTCCAATCTTGTTTTTGGTTTTTAATCAAAGACGTTTAAATCATTTATAGGTTGGGAGCCACTGCCAGGCGCGGATCCAATGTGGGGGGGGGGGAGGGTCGCATCCGGCGCACGCCCCTCCCCCACCCCTATTTTTTTCGGTGGCAAAAAGGAGAACAAAAATACTTAAAAATGGTAGTGATCCCCGTCGTAGTTTACTCCGAAACGAGCCGGTTGATGACTTGGTTGATTGCCCGTCAGTCAGCCCACCGAGGGCCGGGCTTCGCACTCCCAAGTCGTTCTGATCGTGCGAAAATCGAGGTTCATATATTTAAACATTTGCGTGCACGTAAAAGAAGCACAGACAGGCGGTAACACGGCTGTTAGGGCACAATTTCCTTCATAGCAAACCCTACAACGTATGCCCCTCTTCATTAAAATTTGATTGTGACTTACCTCAACTTGATTGGTATCGGATGCTGCTGTTCGAAGTATATTTGGATATTGTGTTTTATCACTAAGTGTCGCTAGTGTAGCTGAGGGTGATATGATCGGTATACCTGTTAATTTTAATAAATTACCAGTAACGGCTGTTGTTGAACTCCGACTTGGACCAATGATACCTGAAAAAGAACCAAGATCATTAATTATCAGTATTTAACTTATCGCAATGGGTACATCCAACACTAGATAAGGCTTCTCATTTATCTGTAAATTATATATACATATTATTGTACTATACGTCTGTATACATATGGGGTATAGAACTATATACTTCTCTTATTGTACTAAAGCTATTTATATAGCTGTCGCCTGATACTAATTATGTCATGATACTTCACTTTTTTCTCCATAGACTGGATCATGGCAGTAGAAATCCGTTCTTCGGCGGAATCTTTCAGTGCAAAGAGACTTTTTTTTTCTTTTGGAATAACATGTGTAATACTAAAATGTTGTCATATTAAAGAATATCTCAACTTGAATTTACCAAGAAAATATGTGGAATTTCATTTGAACCTCAGGCTTTCTTATTGAAAATCCAAATAATGTATTTTCAGTGAGCTTTCTTGCATCTCTTTGAAAACCACTAAACCGTATATTCAGATCTTAGCGCCTGAAGGGCCGATTAGTCCCAAATTTGGCATACAATCTAATTTCATAAACATCACACCCACCGACCCCCTATATGTCTGAATAGTCAAATCACGAAATCACGGTCACCCGAACATAACATTTTTAGGCGAAGATATCCTAGATCAAGCAGAAAGAAGGCTGGGTGAATAAGATGGGATGATGCATTTAGATCCAAAAGTATTTTATTTGCAATGAATAACCGTCGATTTCGCTGTAAGGTGTTCAGAAATCATTTTATCACGGACATATGACATTATCTTGATGTATTGACATCTGCCATACTTCATTAATTGAAGAATTTATTTATTTTCTATGATTCACGCTGATTATAAATTACTATGTAATATCCGACATATCGACTCCGTGTTCTTGTGATTTATCGCATAAAATAAATGTGTTGACAGAAGCAACAACCTGCAATCAGGCTCTAACGTAACATGACAAATTAGCATTTAATAGCTGAATTAACCGAATCGAAAAATTACTGCAAACTAGACGTGAGAAATGGGTCTTTTTTATGGTACTACATTTTTCTATAGACCTCATAAAATACTCGCCAGATTTAGGGGAAGTAAATGAATGGATTTGCGGAGTTGAATGTCTGGTCAATGCAATATTTATATTTTGAGACTTAATCTGTTTTATGGCCACGCTTCCAATAGAATGGAAGAGGATATTTTGCGTGCACTATCCCAAAGAGTCTTGACGTCCACTCGACACAAATTAGGTCATTTTGAGACTAACATATGGTCCAATTATATTTAAATAATTCGCTTGCGCGTAGGGGTCTTTAGCAGTGGGGGGAAAAGGGGGAACGGAGAAACCATACGAGGTTAGACAGGCGGGATCTAAATAGACTTAATAGTAAGTAAAAAAAAGAAAAGTAAGTAAATAAATAAGAAATATGACGCCAAATCACAGATTTATCTAATAATAAAAGGTTGTGATAAAAAAGTGTTGCAACGTGATAATTCAATTCTCGGTGGCTATAAGTTCAATATGTAAATCAACATGGAGCCGGGTCAAGTCGTGACACCGAGAGATTCCAACCCGTCGTCGAGATTGGTTTTTTTTTCAACACATTCATTACGGTAGGAATTAATTTAATGGTATGTTTGTATATTATGAGCTAACACTGGACATTATGAATCAGTATTCATTGCTTAGAAAACAAATAGAGTGTAGAAATAAGTAGAGCGTACATATTCAAACCGGAACTAAGAACAAAACACGGATGTTACCGAGCGTCAATTCAACTTTAGGTATTCGTTTAGCAGATCAAGGTTACAAACTTTAATTTTATTATTTCGATTTTCAAAAAGCGAAATAATTGGACTCCGCTAAATCTGAGTGATATTCTCAAGATAAAAATGAGAAAAACGGAATCTTAAAGAGGAAATTGCAAATTTTCTAAGAAAGTCAAAACGTAATTATTTCTATGTCTTTTGCTCAATAGGTTGCCAACTCACAATTATACGATCATAGGTGTCATTCTCACACTTAAAACTCATTTACACAGGAAATAATAACACAATTACCTCCCAATTACCTCCCCTGTTTTCTATTCTCCACCATGGAGTAGCTTTTTTCAAACGTTTGAAAATGAAGAGGAAAATGATATTTTTGCCAATTTCTCAGCTGGCAATAGTGAATTATAGGATTAATAGGATTATTCTTTAACAAGGTGGGACTGTTTATGGATACCATCTATTTTCAGGCTTTATTTTAATAAATCTTAAAAATATAACTTAACAATTTGCAATTTCCGCTTTAAGGAATCGATGCATTTTTCTGGAACTGACCTGTTTATAAATACAGATGCTATAGAGTATATCTAATACTGATGTCGTAGAGTATATTTAATACTGATGTTGTAATTTATATTTAATACTGATGTTATAAAGTATATTTAATAGAGTATATTTAATACTGATGTTGTATATTTAATACTGATGTTATAGAGTATACGAGACCTACCTATATTTAATGCTGATGTTGTATTATTTGATGTACATTGTGTTATTTGGTCAGGTAAGTATGGATTAACCAGGGCCAGGGCATTTCTGGCAGCAAAGGTCTCTGATCTACAATCATCATACACCTGGAAACCTGAAAAAATAATATCAACAATTAAACAATTTAATAGCTAGAAATTTGCTGAAGATGGGGTTCTTTGGGTTATAGGAGGGGATAGTTCCATACCAACTCCTCCCTCTTTCTAACCCATGAAACGTGCAAGAGGATTTTAATCACAGAATTTGCACATAAGTGCAAAATGTATTTGTTTATTTATTAACCATACGCGAGGTTGCGTACGCTTCAGAGTGGGGGAGGTGATGGGGAGTTTTTCCGATTGTTTTGATTAAAAGTAAGCCTTATAAATCACAATAGGTTAAATGATAAGGGAGGGTATTTATCACAATAAAATAAGTAATTATGGACATTAACGGTTTAATATAAGAACGGACTATGGTTGTGTGAAAATGCACTTTTGATGTAATGTTTATATTTTCCCTACTCATAGCGTAATCCTCTGATAACCTGCGGAATTCCACTATCGCAGACACATCATCAATAATTCCACAGAAAACAGGGCACGTGACTATATGTTGTTTCTGTGACAACCATAAATATTGACAATAATTGTACTTTCAATCAGCCAACGCCCTTGCCTTACATAGGTCTATACGTAAAATTCTTTCTAAATCGATTTTCATGACGTCGAGAGCAGTGCTAAATTCTAGTATAGTTCGAGGGTATCGATTTCTTTTTCAAACATTTCTAGAGCAATATCTCTCATTGGTTGTAAAATATATGTAGGCCTAATAAAACTTCGATTTTTTTTCTCCAGCCGTGACATATTGTGATTATGAAATACAATAAACTACTAGTATCTACATTTCCAGGTCCCATATGCCATTACTACCTTATAATATTATATTTATCATGTAGTGAGCTGGTTAATTGTATACTACTTCAGGGGTGTGGTGACACATGATTTTGCATGAGGAACAAGATCCAGTTCGGGCCCCAAAAAACAATATTTATATGTGTGTGCTGTGGAGGGGGTGAGGTGGGTAATATTGGGCTGTGTGGAACATGCTACAGTTATAGCATATCTGACCCACGGTATATGTTTCATACTGGTTAAGCATTATGAAGCATTATGATTATGATTATAATCTCGAAAACTGCATTGAAACCGCGTGCTTTTTTGCCATTTGCGAGGTGGCGCAAAAACTCAAGGGGAGGTTGGTAAAAACCCAAAACCATGACCAAAGCTCATTATTGGGTCCCTCTCACTTAGCTCCTGTACTACCTGTATCATATGCTATCGTGTTATATAGGTCACCTGGTGGGTAGATTTGCAATTTATTCAATCCATTATTACTGTTGCAGTCTTTGAGTATGTTTTCTTTAATAAATTAATTTGCCATTTTCAATGTAAATTGTATGAATGACTATATGGTTATATAACATGTTTTTATCAAATTGTTTTGTATTTCTAAGAGCAATGAAGTACGAAATCGGATTATGAGTTTTGTTTTGGCAATCTTGGCAATCGGTTTTGCAATCTTTGAGTCTGTATATCAAAAAAAAAAAAAATCAATTGGTCATTTTATCTTAGGAATCAATAAATGACCAATACACTAAGTCGAAAATCAACAAAGTTAGGATTCCTGGTTTTGCTGCCGGTGATTTGGGCAGTCAGCATGATTATAACGAACCATTAAACTGGCGAGATGAAATTCGACAGATGTAACTACTTATAAACAGTATCTGTATTCTTTTATCTGAATCGGAAAAACTTGAGAATTTGAGATTTAGAGTCTTGTTTATATCGTATTAAAAACGAAATAGCTTACAACTGTAGTTTATTACATACATAATTATATAATTAAGATAACATCTCAATATCCAACTCCCCCAGTGTACATTATGGAAGCGCGGGAAAGCAACATCTGTATGTTATTGATAATTACAAACACTATATTTATCATGCATCTTTTTATTGTCAACGTATAATGATGATGAATTGGACCCAGTAAAAAAAAAATCAGATGTTAATGGTACGCTTTGCCCCCTTTATCAAAGTAAGCATTAAAAGACAAAGATTCAATTATGAATGTATGCATAATTTGAAGTTCCAAAGAGTTTAACATGAATGGTTCACTTCCTAACTGGAGCTATAACCCAAGAAATTGAGGTCTGATGCATAGCAACAGATGCCCAAATGTCGCAGGCTTGTAAAATGACATGGCCAAGTTGCAAAAAGAGAAACGGCTCTTTTAATACGTTCTAAATTGGTGTTTCGATGGAAGGAGAGAGAGAAATTGGGTTTAAGGTCCACTCGACACAAACTAGGTCATTTCAGAACTAACACATCATGGTTCAATTTTATTTCAATAATTCGCTTGCGCGTAGGGGTCTTTAGCAGTGGGGGGGAAACCGGAGGTCCCGGAGAAAACCCATGAGGTTGGCCGATGGTAGGAAATAACTCATAATGCACATCATTGGGGGACTATAATTTTCAACAGAGCAGTCCTTTCCGACTATAGTCCATAGCTGACATCGGTCAAGATATGTAAACAATTTTGTGATTTTAAATGCTAAATGGTCTAGAAGATGACTCCGATTTCCTCCCGCTGCTAAAGACTCCTACGCGCAAGCGAATTATTGAAATAAAATTGAGCCATGTGTTAGTCCCGAAATCACCTAGTTTGTGTCGAGTGGACGTTAAATTCCATTTCTCCCCCTCTCTCTAGAAGATGAGAAAAGGGAACCGAGTAGACAACGGTTTTATTATTTGGTCAAGGGTGTTAATAATTGTCGTGTGATTCATACATTGGGTTTGATGACATTCTACGATTGCCCTACGTGAATAACAAAATTCTTTACTTTTTTGCTGTGATAATGTATGTGCAGTTCTGTGTAAAATGTCTTCCTGTTCTACATTGCCGTTCTGCAATAGCCATTCATCGATGTGTTTGGATATTGTATGGGACCCATTTTGGGTGACAAATGTCTTTAAATAGACAGAACACTGTGACATAAATACATGTATTTCTTCACCAGGTTTATAAATGCATTACATTCTGAAAATAACGTCCTTCACGCCTCATTAATCTTTCAAGTGGTTTATTTTGGGATATGGCTGGTCATGGGGTTCTTTCACCCTATATTTACTTTAAATAAAATGACTCATAAGTAAAATCAGACCAAGAGCTATAATCAAATGAACAACCACAGGCTTTGTATACAATTATTTGCGTTGAAACGTTTGTTTTTAAAAAAGGAGACTCCCGGGAAGAGCCGACGGCGATCAAACACGCTTTGGCATATATCGCCCCTCCTGACCTCCCACCCTTCTCCACTTTCCACTCTCTATGCAGTTCCTGCAAGATTTCTAATTGGGTATTCTCTCCATCAGTTTACATAAGCAACCAAATAAAATTTTGTTTTGTTCTAGCCTCTTGCCCCTGCGCAGTGGATATATGGGCAGATTATTTGCGGATTTTGGCATAATCCGGGAGTGGAATTTAATGATTAAGCGCAATAAAAAACACAGCACAATTTGTATGGAAAACAATCGCTTGTCTGTACACATACAGCACGACGTTTCGACAAGTATTCCCTTATCGTTATCCAGCACAAGGAGAACACCTGTCGAAACGTCGAGCTACATGTATGTGTATAAACCAGTGATTGTTTTCCATATAAATTGTGTTATGTTTTTGTAGGTTTGGACAAAATACGTTTGAACTGATCAGCCATTACGAGACTCGAACATGCGCAGACCGCATGTTCATTTTATAAATTTATGTCAGATATGTTGAGAAATGATTCTTTTTGCGAAAAATATAGAATCGCGGTGAAAGCTAGAAGGTGGGATTCCAAAATAGCCCGAGAACAGAGGTGGGGAAGAGCGGTATTTTACCGTATTTTCATTTTGCTGCTATATAGAAAGGGATAGGAACCTTCAGCGGACATCGTCCGGTCAGAGACAGCTCTTAAAAGAACTATAGACTTGTTAGTTCTGTGAATTCCTCAAATGAGAAGTGGCATCAGGCGTTCTGCAAAAAAGTAAGCATATCGCCATTCGCTTTGGAGCGACAGTTTGAACAAGGATTTCAGAAGTCTTACATGGGCAATGCCCGGTGTAAAAATCATCTTGTTTTGTTTTATATAGGAATATAGGATACAGAGGAGTTATAGGAAATTTTACCCGAAGAGCGAAACCCCGGCCTACGTTTATAGCGGCACTCCGGTCTAACTTTTATTTCGAATTCCGACTGAATTGCAACTGTCAAGGGTTCTTGTACGTTCACGCCAATGTGTACACGGGACGTAATGATTACACGCTGTTCCTTGCCAGTCCCTCCGTCCTGCACCACTGACAAGGGGGGAGGGGGGAGGGGACCCCGGAATATCAAAAGCAACTTTCTCGGCTAACACAGGGAAGGAACTAGAACCAGAGACCATCTGGTTAGCGAGCGGGGCTGGGAGGCAGAATGGTTTAACGTGTGCGCGTTGGGTCATAAGGAATTTCATTGGTTTATGTGTCGTCGTTTCAATTATCCGCCTGTACGTGACAAGGAGTAGGGTCGCATGTCCAACCTCGTCGGTTTTCGTCGGATCGTCTGGTTTTCTCCCACTGTTAAAGAAAGACCCTTATGCGCAAACACATTCTTGAAATAAAATTGTTGTTTTTGTCCCGAAATTACCTAGTTTGTGTCGAGTTAAACTCTCTCTCTCTCTCTCTCTCTCTCATTGAGCCACCGCCGATTCCGGGTGCACTTGAACGTTATATTTACGTTTGATAACATCAAGAGACTTAAAATCTAACAATGTCATATCGCGTATCGGGTATTTGTTTTGTTAAGATGAATATGCATGCGAATAAAAAGACCTTATGAATAAATTACATAGTTTGCTTGTGTAATCTTGTAACAGCAAGGCACGTGACCTTAAAAACAAACAAATCAACCCCCAGAAAGACAGGTATGTTGAATGAACCATTGCATAGTATAAAGTTATTGTATCATGATTTAGAAAATATCTCTCTATTTTCTGGAAAACATAATTACAGATAATTTTTTATCAGATAT